CGATCTGAACTCGGCGGCTCCTACCGTCCTAGTGCCCAGATGAGGACTTATGTAACTAGATTACTTAGTGGACGTTAATAATAAAACAAACAAACAACAATTGTATAAGACGCTGACAAATGCTGCCGGTAGCCTGTCTTAAATGTGGCATGGCTGCCCACCGAGATTCCTTCGTCAATGCCAAGGCTAATTGTTTCCATGTTGGGAGCAGTTGTTCAGATCCAAGAATGCCGTCCTCGAACAACAAATCCATCGCTACGACACCATTCATCAATGTCACTTATCCTGAGACGCAAGGGCTTTCTTCAAAACAGCGGACCGTAGTTCACTCTTACGCTGCCCGAACAGCCCACGCCAGGGTGAGGATTGCCCGTGTCAAAGCATACCAACTTTCCAAAGCTATTAAACTCCAGCAAGAGCAACCAGGGCACCCTCAGGAAGTCGAACCAAGTATAAAGAAGACACCATTAAGATCGGATGTGGAGCTAGACTTGGAGATGCTGGCTGTGCTGATGTCGAACAGCGGTCCAGGCGGTCAAGGTTCAGGGAGGGGAGACCCGTTTGTGAGCTTCGCAAGGCCCTTGATGAGTATGGAGCACTTTTTGCTCGACCAATGTGAGTGGATCTAGGTCAGGTTGTCCCCGATGAGCGGCAAACCAACGGATTGACATTGCTTGGCAGATGTGACAACCGTCTCCCCATATCTACTAGAGCACTGTGCCAGGTTTAGATATCCCGGATCGCCATTTATGGATAGCATGATTGAGGAATGGATCCGACTCAGCCTCAGCGATGTAGGGTTTCTAAGCGGCATCTTGCTTATTGCGTCTCGGTACCTCTCCATTTTCCACCAGCCATATCACCCACTCCAGAATCAGTTGTATACCGAGCAAGCTACTCGGTACAAGCTAGTCTGTTTGCAGACTTTGAACGAGGCCATCTCTTTCAACACGGGACAAGGGCCATTCAGCGACTCAGTTGTAGCCGAGACGATGGTATTGGCGTTGGATGAAGTGAGAATCTGGCTTCAAGATTCATGGGCTGGTGAATTTTCCAGGGCTAACTGTATGGCTTTACTTGTAGATTTCACTGGGTGACTTGGAGACGTCTAGGCGGCACATGCAGGGTTCTCTGAAGATGGTAGAGCTGAACGGTGGCCCGCAGACGTTGGGCTTGAATGGGTTTCTAGAGATGGTTCTAAACAAATTTACGAATCAAGTAGGTCTGTCCAATCGGTTTTTGGCACCGGCCAATGCGAGTTTGGCATCGAACTCTTGACTTGGGGACTACACATCTTTGAGTGTTGGAATAAAGCGGACAAAGAAAACTTGACAGCCTCGGTTGATGTCGATATTGAGAACATTGTTAAACAAGCATCTGTATAAGACGGTCATGTGTATGGCGATGGTGTCGATTTCGATAAGCGATACGCATAGCAACACTTATTCCAAATTGTCCAAACGACCTCTCTGTGTTGAAACAGAAGCACTACGTGATCCTTCACTCGCATTGATACCTTGATCTTATAAAATCACCAATGTAGACATCATAAATTGGGAATGAACAACGCCTTGCACTAAAACTAAGCCAAGCTACCTGTCCTAGTTGTCGGGCTCAACATCATCCGTGAAATCAACTCCCTCACTTGCTTGACCGGCCGCCTTCTTATCCAAGCTGATGTTGTTGTTGAGCTTCTTCTGCTCCTCATCAATCTTATCCTGCTTGTCTTTGCCCTGAGCCTGCTGAATCTGGAGGGCAGTCACCTCCAAGAACAACTTGAGAACCTTGTTCTTGATCTTGCCGTTTTGCAATGCCGTCGCAGCGGAACCGCTTGCCGCCTTGATTTGACCGTTGAACGCATCAGTCTCGGCTGCCTCTGCAGTCTCTCGCGCCGCGTTGATGATGGCGAGATCGCTAGCAGAGACGCCCTTCAGATTACTCGTATCAATCTGTAGCTAATTAGCCAACTAGTACTTGGGTAAATGTAGAGAGATAGGGTAGCGTACCGGAAACTTTGCTTGAACTTCGGCCAAAGCATTTCCGGCCTTGCCATCAGAAACCTGAAAATCGGCGTATTTGCGGAATTGCAGCGCTCTCCTCTCGAGTGGCGTGCTGCTGATAGGCAGAGCGAGAGCAGAAGAAACCAAGGAGATGGCGACGAAGATGTTTGAAAAGAGCATTGTGAATGTGGTTGAAGGGTGGGGCAACGGTGATTTGCAGGTTCAAAAGACAAAGACGAGGGTGTGATTTTGGCGTGAATAAAGGCGAGAGTGTAATTTTGGTGTGCAAGTAGAAGAAAAGAAAGTAGCAATGCCGTACCAGACGTTATTGCTATGAATATTAAAAGTAAACGATGTGTTATTGGAATGGAATGTCTCAGACTGTCGAAAAAAAGTCTCGTCAACTGTGCAGTAAGTGAGGATTTATATATTCGGTCCCGCGGTTGAAATGAATCCGACAACTAGGGATACACAAGAAACTCGCTATACTAGCACCGAGGCAGGCCATGCCTGTGGTGTTTCAGGTGCTGTTACGGAGCCGCCTCCTTGAAGCTTCTGGGGTATTCCCTGTAGCTGTAAGCGAGTAAACGGGTGGATATGAACAAACACTGGACGGTTTTTGAGGGGCTGTCAATGTTGATTGAAAACTGGATCAAACCGGCGGTTATTGTTTCACAGTAAGGGGTCACACTGAATGATAGATGATATCAGTAGCATGCGGAATTACATGGTCTTCTTGTTGCTCTCGTGATGAGCGGCTTGTACGGAGCAATGGAGGCGGCGAATTACCGGCTTCGGGGATACGGGCGTCATTTGGGGAGCGAGCTTGGCGCCTGGTGGGGATACGCAAATATGAAACAACATCAGCCCATAATCTTGACAAAGACGGGCTTCATAGACAAGTCCTAAGCATACAATCGGGGAAGAAAAAGGGAAAAGATTGTTTAGCGAGAAGTTACCGCGGGATACGACAAGATGCCTGACTTTGGAAGATGTGCATACCGTAGAACTTTGCCGCAGGTTGGGCAAAAAAGGACCCAGTCAATGTGAACTCCGCTCAATTGGCATTGAAACAATTTCAGGACGAGTCTAGGTTACACCCAACTAAAAGATCCAGGACATCGACGAAATGGTCTCCTCCGTCTATAGGGACTCTCTCAGCGCGCAGGTACACATCGGGCATTGGACTTTTCTTCACATGCCACTCGTCGAAAGGAAAAGCCATGGAGTGGCTAAACATGGGAGTCGCTTTGCTCCATTCGAAACCGTCATACCATGTTATACCGTCACTCTCGAGTCGTTGTTTGCCAGAGAAGTTGACTGGTATGACTTGTATGAATATCCGGTCATCAGTCAACAAGCGATGCAAGACAACTGATATTGCCCGGTCCTCTTGATCTAATAAGTTGAAACTCAGAATAAGCATTCCCCCATATCTACGTTGGGAGTCGGACGAAGACAAGAGCCCGATCCCGTAGTCGAAATCATACGAACTGCTGTCGTCTACCCAAATGGGGGTCACACTCTTTGCTGAACCAGTGTACTCCAATCGACGGAAGATGACATCCCCGGGGCGAACTTCGATTTGCTTTTCAGGAGCAATGGAGACGGTCTGCTTACTTGAGACTGATGAATAGATAATGTTCTTTTGGCGCCGGTAGCACAGGGTGCGAGGGCGACTGACTGTCCAGCCGCCATTCGCCAAGAGGGGGAGAATCACTGAGCTGGACGATGAAGGGTCATCCTCAAAGTGGCACAATAAAGCAGCGTAATCGAGGTATCGATACTGGGCAATGTTTGGTTCCTTCCAGTGATACAATGCACGCATCTGTTGACTCCACATTGGCATGTCGAGGCGAAATGCGTCGCGGCCAATCTTGGTGGGAAGGTTTGGATTGTCTGTCCTCTTATAGAACCATGCCGCCTCTCGTGACACAATAATCTTGCCCGAGTGCTCAAAGTCTTTCGGGGATGCGGCGAGCAAGCCGAACAATTCCAGCTCACAGGTGGCCGAGTCTGGCCGTGGCGGCTCCTTTTCGTGGAATGCCGAGGAATCGGAAATCTTGGACGCGATATCCGCCTCGTCGAGGATTGGCCCCCACGCAAACAGACTGTGATCGTCTGGAGTCGAAGCCATGATGGCTTCTTGGATTCTAATGAATGCCCTGCGACCTTCACCGTAGATCATGGGCATGTTGATGTCAAACAATCCCAAGAGGCAATAAGCAATGTCTTCTAGTCGCGAGGTCTGCCGCAGTGCCGCCCATGACATCTTCTGCGCCACGCTCGCATGTCGCAAGTCTCGACCTTGCAGATATTGTTTGTTTATCCTGGTGATGGCTGAAACAATGTCGACGAAATCTGTTTTCGAGCCGAGCCGGGTCCAGTCACTGGAGTAGAAGATGAGCTTCTCTGGGGGTGGCGCGAGGAGCTCCTGCAACGTCCATCCACGAGTGAACCATCGGCTCTTTGCCATGCGCTCTTCCAACACGGCACGATCAGACGTTGCTTCTACATCAGAAAGCAGAACATGGCACACATGGGCATTCGTGTACCAGCGAAACATGGAGTTTATCGCCTCGGTGAGCTCGGCACTGCTGGACTTGTCGATGCAACACCTGTAAGAAGAGTGAGAATTTGTACATGTGCTCTGTGCCGCGATAGGACAATGACCGTGGAAAGACATACGTATCAACCCAAACCCACTCAAGCCCGTCTCGCACGGCTTGCTCGCGACACGCCAGGATCTTGGCGCATCCAGCTTTGAGTTTGACATCGGACATGGACAGGTTTCGCCAGTCGTGATACGTAACCTCGTCGGGCCCCCAGGTGTGTGAGAGGATGGCATATCGTGGAGTGGCATCGTCCGAGATGAAGTCGACCATGCGCCATTCGCTGGCGTGCAGCAGCTTCATTGGATCAAGAGTAGATGGAACTTTGTAGCGGCAACAATCATCACATCGAGGCAAAAGGCTTCAACTCATCCACCAGCCATGACACTCAATCTCGATCGATTCCTGGGGCTGAATGGGCCATCGATGTGGGCGGGGTAAACAAATCAGGCACCCAAGCAATGAATGCAACGCCCAAAAGTATCCCATCCAGGTCGATACTCAGCGAACCGCCCTGTGCCCAATCCCTCGCCCAAACCAAACCAGCAGCCAATCCGCTCCATGGACGCTATACCGCCGGAGTGGCCACTGTCGATGAGATCAATCATGGACAGTTCCAGTGGCCGCACCCACCAAGTCGGGCTGCCAAACGCCCTCCAGCATAGCGGCGTGTGGAGCGGGATTCGTGGTGGATCGTATGCGGCAAGATCTAGGCGTGGCACAGCGCTGGTTAGTGCTGGGTTGCATGCGCTGATTGACTGACCTGTCGGTTGGCGATGGAGATGATGAAGCTGGAGGTGAAGGCGATTGACGAGATTTGGCAAAGGAAAAGCCTGTTATTGCCTGAGGCTGCAGGAAACGACCTGCGATTGTCTGCTGATGCCTGAGGCTGCGGAAAAAGATACAGGAGAAGGACCTTGGTACCTAGGTACATGTACCTACCGATACCTGACGAGCAACACGTGAGCGAGAGAAAGTCTTTCCTCGAGTAAATACAATTAGAGAATACATCTAGCCTGCAACCTGGCAACATCTGCAAGCTTTAGTAGTACCTCTAAGGGACCAAATTCCAAGTCTTTCGACCACCCAGCGAGCCTGGCAGATTCCCTCCATCCTTTCCCCACTACTACTAACTGCAGTACCCCCATGTACCCATGTAGTCAATACAGATTCCAGGTTACCAATGATATTGGAGCTGGCCATTGACATATGACTGATTGACGAACAAAGAAATAATGCAGTGTGCATGTACTGAGAGGCCATCCAAGGCTTCCATTACCGAATCATCAGAAATGCGGAGCTGGATATCATGGCCTTGTAGTGCGTGAATGGGATTTTTAGGAGTAAATTCACTGCATTGTCCACTGTTTGAAGAGGCGGTTCATTGCACGAGTGCATCATACCTAGGTACCGTGTAAGAAAAACGAACAAGTGGTCGACAGCCATCTTATAGGAAATTCCAAACACCTCGTCCATTAAGCGTCATTTCATCCGTACTTCTGCCGAGGCATATATGTGCCTTTCCTCGTTCAGATGACCCTAGCGGCGGAAATATTCTCCGTTGAAGATGAGCGTGTGAATGTAAGAACCATCCGCTCCCATCCACCCCTTGCTTGTGCAACTATTTCCCATCAATCCGACCGATAGCGAACGTTGTTGATAAGAAACCCCTGACAATATGGAAGATCATCATGAAAATCAGATCAAGCCAGTCCAAGTCCAATTCATAAAACCGATTCAAGGCCAGCCGGGACCTGAGTGGCGCGACAATGAGACAATTGTTCGCTCTCACACTTTGAAACACTATATCCGGAAGCAACGTTTTCCTTTGTCCGTATATAACGGACAGACTGAGAGCAACCACACACCTAAAGGCATAGAACATTACAAAGGAAGATACCGGTTGAATCCGACTCAAAAGTCTACTAAGCAGACAAAGCGGAGAAGCAAAAAAGGGCAAAAACAACACGCCATCGATGCAAATGTTTGACAGTGACACCCAAGGTCGATATGACGAGACTTATGCTTATTTCTTCTCCTCAGGGCAACATGCAATATGATTTACCCGCAATGATCGGTGGGCGACTTGATCCGTTCGACTCATTTGCGCCAAATCTGAACCCTATGAGCCACTCATTAATCCTCTACTGTAAGCTCAATGTTACCAAGATAACCTTGCCCTCACCTCATATACATCTCATATGCGCTGATACTCTAACTTGTAATGGAATACAGATCATCAAGTCTTCTCCATGAATTCTCCCATCCTCAACTTTCCACGGGATTGTTTTCTCCACTCGACGCCCGACTTGGCGTGGTTTCATTCGATTCTGTACATCGTATCTGCAGATTACGATGTCAAACTCGGCGTGTCCGACTCTAGCTTAAGCCTGTACCACGGCGGCGCTAGCTTTCAGTGTATAAATGCAGAGCTACAGGAAGAGGTGATACGTGACTCGACAATTTCAGCAGTGGCATTAGTTGCTTCCAGAGAGGTGCGCTGCCCTTCCCAACATGCGAGTAATCGTATTCTAGGGTTTTGTTAACATGTATGCTTTCCGACAAAGGGGATATGCGGCAACTTTGAAAAGTCAGAAATACACATGCAAGGGTTAGAGCGCATAGTGAACAAGCGAGGAGGGATACGAAATATAAAGGGAATACATGCGCAAATAGCGACTTGGTAAGTTGTGCGATATTTGCCGTTAGTTCATTGTAAATCCGGCCACTGACTGCATGCATATAGGTGTGACTTTTGTTACTCAAATATCTGGAACCTCCAACCGCGCTTTTCTCGTCTCTATAATATCCCTCTAGAGAAAAGCGTTCGAGACCTTGATCTGACCCCTACTGAATTTCCGGCCTTGAAAAGTATTGCCTCCAAAAGTTCAGAACTGGTTGGCATCTTACAGTCACTTCACCAGGTGTCCTCTTCCGCCAATGCTACCGGTTCCGCTTCCGATCTTGAGAAAACAAACATACAGATCTACAACATCGAATATGATCTGCTTATGCTTAATGAAACCCCGTACTCTCGAAAGACTCACAGATTACCGAATGAAGCCGCCGCACTCAAAGTGGCTGCCCATCTGTATCTCTACTTATTACTACGAAAACTTCCAAGCGGCTCGCCAGTCTTTTCAGAGTTGACTACTCGATTAATAAATGCCCTGAAAAAGTGTGATCAAGTATCCGAGGAGTCGCATCAAGACCGACTGAGGTGGCGCCTGTGGATTTTATTTGTTGGCTATGCAGCCGCTGCCGAGAGAGAGAATAAGTGGGAGTTTGTGAAGGGCACACGGCGGACATGCAATGCTCTTCATGTTACAAGTGAAGCCCAGCTGAACAACGTGTTGAGATCAACAGTGTGGCAAGAACCCTCGTGTGAACGTTGGGCTAAAAGTCTGTGGGCGGACTGTTTGTGTGAGCAGTGCTTATGAGTTTTGCCGCCCGAGGTACAGCCTTTGCTAGCTTTCTGTTGATAAAGGGGACAAAATACTAGAGCATTTTCTTCACTAGCAAGATGGAATTACCAACGGTTTGATATACATCTACTCTAAATGTATTTCCAATTGGCTATATTCTTTGCCCAGACAGCCTAACAAAGTCGATAAAAGTGTAAGCATTCACGCCTGTTCACCTTGCAGAGACGATTGCCCTCTTACTTTCGTAATAGTCCCCCACATAATTCCCTTATCATCTTAAAAACTCAAGTGGCATCCTTCTTAGCATATTGGATCATGGGATTTTCTTTTTGTAGTGGCAACCTTTGGTAGGCAAGCCTAGGCATGGGTGATACTAGAGATAAAATCTGTCATGGACCCGCCAAGTTCCACATACCAGATTCGGTAATTTTGAATCGTCTCCAATAGTGGTTTAAATTAGCAGTAAAACCGACCCCATTGCACGCGGCCTCAGGGAAGAGCCATCTAGATCACCATTGAAGAAAATCTATAAATCTGTTCCGTAACCTTCTGTCTGATGGCTGTCACTATCAGTTCAAAACTCATACTTCAAGTCCAATGTCGACATGGAGCTAAACCTCGCAAATGTCATGTTTTTTGGCCACGGCGCTATCCTACTCGGTAATGGACTGTACATGATGCTATTCACCGAGAGAGCGCTCAAAAATCCCAAGATGAACAACGCACCCAAACCATTGGTTACAACATTGGGGTAAGCATATAGAGAAATACTGCATTACTCTCCAGACATCTAACAATATTATAGCATCATATGTACAAGCCTAGGCTCAACGTTTCTCTACGCCGCCTATCAGAATAATCGCGGCATCATGGGAATTAGCATACTCAATCGTGCAATAGGCGCGTTGGCTTTTTTTTCGATAGGGATGCCGAGTATGGTCCTCTACGAGCTTGGAATGGGTGGCAGTCTTTGGTTCGCCCTTTGGCTTAATAAATAAATTGGAACATGTCGCGTTGTGATTGGGCTACACAGCCAAAACATGATCTGAGAAACTTTGAACTGAGTACGAAGTCATTGGTCGGGGGAATATGGTGACAAGTTCTTTAGATGTGACGATATAGAGGATGATAACTCGGTGGGTGGCTAACGAGTCCTTTTTATCGCTACAGTTATGAGCCCGGGAGGCTATTTAGTCTAGTGGTATTTAGCCTGCAGCTTCTACTCATACTGCTACTCAGGTCTGTGGTTTAACAAGCCGTAACATCAGATTACAAGATAGTTTAGTCAGACATTTAGTGATTACTAGCTGAATCTTCTTTTTAACTGGGATGTGAGTAATAACATAAAATACAGTAACTCGTTAGGTAACTAACGGGTCCTTTTTAATCGCTACATTATCAATGTCGTAGCTTTTAACAGTCGGTGTCAACGCTAGCACTTTTGTGAGTTACATTTCTTCCAGGAGAGGCTCGATCAGATGGAGATACCCTCCGAAGCGTCCTGTAAGCTTCCGTATCTACGGAGGATTTTCTGACGTATTTTAGTACCCACTTACCGTATCACGCAATTTTTTTCCTGCTCTTTTGCTGTGGACACGGCTGACAGGATTTGTTTGGGGGGCCGATGTTACAGTTGCAGGCACATGACTCACAGTATTTTACAACTACAAGAAGCACCTGGCTGCCGTTCGACCCGGAAAGTGCACGGATGCTGCCATACGCTTATAAGCCGTCGATGAACCATCCGATCTCTAGCCTCTAGATGATCAAGATTCTGTTATATACTAGAAGAAAAGGAGGATAGTTGTCTGCCGTATCTGAGACGGTACAAGCACAGTTTTTGAACAACCAATCGAGAGGTTTTCTTTTGTTTTGCTACATCAAGCTATTTAAAACAATCAACATGGCACAGGTAAAGGTTTTAATAACTGGAGCGTCAGGATATATGTAAGTGGCTTGTACAATTCGTTCAAAGACACACTCTGAGTAAAAGCAGCGGCGGTACTGTGCTACAGACATTAGTCAAGGACTTTGGAAGCGAAATCTCACTTTCTGCGCTTGTCCGGTCTGCAGCGAATGATGATGCGCTTAAAGAAAAGGGTGTTAATCCAGTTTATTACGACGGTTTCCATGATGTCGAAACAATAAAGAAGGTCGCATCAGAGCATCAAGGTAAGTGGGACAACTTTTATATCCATAGGTCATTATACAGCTGCCTCCTAATTGACGATATTGTGTCACAGTCGTTGTCAGCTGCGCGAGTTCTCTCGATGTGCCGTCCTGCTTGGCTTTGGTTGAAGGACTAGGGATCAGAAAACAGGCTACAGCGCAAGATGTATTCTACATCCACGTAAGTGCCTCAAACTTGAAGAATGGTCACATGAGGCTAAAGGTAGCCAGACCTCTGGTACATCGAATTTTGGAGATCAACCCATCACAAAGGTTGAGCTCAAGAACGTGACCGTCAGAACCGATAAGGATGACATCTACGCATGGGAGAAGGAACACGCCGACACCTGGCCTTCTAGAAAGGTTGATGTTACAGTTATCGAAGCTGGAGAAAGGCTCGGTGTTAAGACTATTATTACAAACCCGCCACTGATTTGTATGTTCACCGACGCATTACATATCCGATGTCTGCAATACTTGACTCTGGCTAACATATTGCTCACAATACCAGATGGCCGGGGAAATGGAATAGGCAACCAAATTTCCATTCAAATCCCTCCGCTTGTCGAAATTTCCTTGAAGAAGAAGCAAGCTATTGTGTTAGGGAAGGGTGAAGGTGTAAGTTGAAACACGGAGAAGACGAAAGGAAAAGATGGCTAACTCAGCATCCATTCATAGCTTTGGACAGTCACTCATGTCAACGACGTCGCTGCATTTTACTCAGTTGCTTTAAGGAGATATCTCGACGGAAAACCTATTGACACTGGGAAAAACGGCTACTATTTTCTTGAAAATGGCGAGGTCTCGTGGCTGGACATTGCTAAGCAAATAGGCAAGATTGGGTATTCCAAAGGCCTGTTTCCCTCGGAAGAGCCGAGAGAGATTAGTTTCGCCGACTTTTCAGAGGCACTCTCAATTCCCCATTTGAAAGACCACGACATGATTGAGGTAGTGTGGGGATCCAAGTAAGTGAAAAGGTCTCAGAATTACTGATCAAATGACTGATACAATTACTCAGTGCTCGAATCTCATCTGTTAAAAGCCGGGAGATTGGATGGCAACCTCAGTATGGCCTCGCAGACTTTTTCAAATCCATCGAAGAAGAGTTTTAGTCTCACAAAGCTGAGGAAACTCAAGGCTAAGAAGTCTGAAAGCAAAATACAGCGATATCATTTACTTGACTCATCTGTGAGCAAAGCGTAGCCCCCTGTCACGCCAAGTGTTAGCCTGATATCCCCGAATGTAGTTCAGAAACAAATAATCGGTATGAAGGGCTGTGAGGTACTAGCAAAACATAGGGCTATAGCTACCCAAGAGCATAACGTTTCGTCATGCACCTACTCATCAAAATTAACCATACTGCGTGTTGTTAGTCTTCACTGGAAGATAGCATACCGGCTGGCAATGTCGGTTCGGAAATACATCCCTTCGAATTGTATAGCCTTCACCCCTTGATACGCACGCTTGACTGCAACCTCCAGTGAGTCGCCGTACGCGGCAACCGAGAAAACCCTACCGCCCGCAGTGTGTAGGACATTCCCTGTTCGCTTCGTACCTGCATGAAAGATGTGAACATCTGGTGAAGAAACCGGACCAAGTGAGATAGGTTTGTCTATCGAATATTACCCAAGATATCCCGTTGAACATGTCACGACGTTGCAAGCATAACCGGAACGAACGCCTAACTAGGTATCTTGAAGAGTTCCTCAGATGCATGCCAACAATACTGAAACCAGGTCCGCATCCTGTGAGAGAAGTAACATCGTCGTCTGTGTTTCTGGATCTCCAAATCGAACATTGTATTCTAGAACTTTTGGGCCAGATCGTATTATCATGATTCCCGTGAAGAGTAGGCCTCGAAAAGTTCGGCCCAGAATACTTTTCGTGAGATGCATGACTCCAAATAGTGAAATATTGACATGAAACGCTGGAGTCACCCACCTTCAGCCCGTAAACCATCAAAGGTAGGCTTCAGGATTGACTCTTCGATGTTGGACATGACCGCGTCTGTAACAAATGGACCGCCCTCGAACTCTCCCGATTCCAGGAAGTAATTTTTGCTTCAACGCTGCTTATGACGCAGTTCTTTGCCCAAGCTGGGCTAGGACAGTCCCCCCATGCCGTTGTAATTCTTACAAGCCAATACAGCATCCTCAAAGTCATCAGTACATTTTTTCACATCACGAATCCCGGAGAGCTGAGCTGGTTGATAGCTGGATATAGCCTCACCATTGGCTCCTGCATCCCTCTCTCCGGACGCTTGCGATTATTTCGGCCACAAACCTTTTTTCATTGCCGGACTTGTATGGTACATGCTTTGGACGATTATATCTGGTGTTTCTATATATGCATCTCAATACTTATTCATCATCTCCAGAGTCTTTTGTGGCATTTGTCCGTCAATGTGTATCCCCAATGCATTGGCAATTCTAGGGCGTGCTTGTTCCCCCAGGGTTAAAAAAGATGAGCCCAACAACATAGCCATTGTGTTTTCAATGACTAGTTTCTTACACCACCAGTTCAATAGCTAAAGTTGGACAGAATATCCTCTTCAGTCTATATGGAGGGCTGACACCTGTTGGCGTTATAGGCGGCGCCACCATATCTGCACTATTCGCCGAATTTGTATGGTGGCCGTGGTCATACTGGTTCATGAGCTGTCTTACTGCCTTCATCTAAATCTCACTACCAGAGTCTGCAGCCAAGACCATGGCTGCGAGATATTCTCTGGGCAACAGACGTACCTGCAGACGCTTTGGGGATTGCCGCATTGGTATTCTTCAACCTTGCCTGGAACCAAGCTGTTGTTACGGGTTGGGCGACGGCGTATATACCAGTGTTTCTAGTCTTGGGGATTCTCTTCGCGATTGCATTCTTCTACATTGAAGTCAACGTCTCTCCCTCGCCGCTTATCTCATTTTCCATCCTGACCGGCGATGTGGCATTTGTCCTCGCCTGTGTTGTGGCCGCATGGGGTGGTTTTGGGATCTACGTCTATTATTTCTGGACAACCATGCTGATTGTTATAGAAACACCGCCGCTGTTAGCTACAGCGTGGTTCTCGCCTCCAACCCCCGTCGGTCTTGGAACGGCAGCTCTGACAGCTATCTTGTGGCCAGGGTTCACCCCGCCATGCTTATGGTTATGGCAGAGCTTGCGTGCTGGCTGCATGTCTCTTACTGGCAACTTTTCCTCCAGGGCAGACTTACTGGGCTCAACTGCTTCCTAACCTGATTTTCGCGCCTTTGGGGCTGGATATGAGCTTCCCCGCTGCGATTATTGGTGAAGAGAACACCAAGGCATGGCCATGAGTTTGGTCACTACTATTGTAAACTACAGCATCTCTCTCAGCCTGGGGATAGCGGGGACGGTTGAGCAGCAGGTGACAAAGACAAGACCTAAAGGTCCAGCTACGGTGCTCCTTGGATATCACAGCGCAGAGTACTTTTCGTGTGGCATAGTAGCATTTGGAGTTTTGTTGAGCATTGTTTTTATATCGCGCGCGCGGAGAAAGGGCAGTTCAAGATTGTCTCGAAACACGAGTGATGTAGAAAGAATAGAACATTGGAGAACGCATCTAATTTGACATTGAATAGAGCGTTGAAGATCTCATCTCATTTAATATAACACAAAGTTTTATAGTTGTTTCAAGTAAAAAGCCCCTCATCGTGCATCTAGATGAAGCCATCGGCATCTCGAAAAGGAACGGGAGAACTTTGCGATGCGAACTTGCTCGTCCGATACGCCAATGCCGGTGCTCGCAGACATATTCCTTATCGCGCCATCTGCATCGAGTACACACCATCAAGTCTTTATGCCGACGCCGGCCTCGGTGCAAAGGCCTCCTATGGGAAATGGTGAACCGAAATCGCCGAATCCACCAACAGAACTAGCAGAGTAGATGGTGTGCACTATTTTCTACTGCCGACCCTGTTGATCGCAAGTGGAGGGATGAAAAGACGAAAAGTTGTAGTGGAAACAAATGGGTTCCTCCGAAGCCGATTTAGCATTGCTTGGATCAGGCCAAGACCAGATGATGGGTGACGATGCAGCAAGATGTACGTGATGGGTGCACAAACATTTCGACGGGACACCACAACAAAGATCTATCACTTCCAGGCATCACAGAACGATAATGAGAGTTTTATATCATATAGTCCTAACTTGTTTCATATTCACATAATGATTATAAAAAAGTAACCAACCGCTGTAATCTTCCAATATGCTGCAAAGTGCCAGAAGACACCCGCCTCATTTCGCAACAGTTGCTTTGATAGCAGCCGGCACACAGTTGGAGTCGTACGAAGGAGTTCCCGTATAAGTGAAATACTCCACATAAGACCACGCGCCGTAATCGAGATCGAAATCCGCTATGCACAGCCGCCAGCCGTTGATAACCTCCTCCGGCTCCGTGTAAAACAGCTCATATGTATCACCACCATCGGGGGAGTTCAGCAGCCACCCCGCGTCGACTGCAGGCGGGTAAATGGTGGCATTGGCAAAGCTGAACAAATAGGATGACGAGGTGCCGACGCTTTCTTTGAGGTTGATGAAGCCAGTGGGCCCGAGATCGTAGAAGCTGCCGTCGGCATTGCGGCCTTGGCTGTACAAGACTCCGTCCTTCAACTTGGCAGCCAAGACCGCATCAGCGGCATCTACGCCGACGTAGTGGAAGGATCCGGCTGGGAATCCCTGCTCAACATCATATTGGTTTTCCCGTAGCCTCAACTGGAAGTTGCTATCATTGTTTGTGCCCATGACGACGTGAAAGGTATAGCTTTCAGTCGTGGTGTTGACGGAGAGTGGTGCGGCAAAGGCAATGGTGGAGAGCCCAAAGGCCGCCGCGATAAGCGCAAACATGATGAGTCTTGATGATGAGGAGAAGAAGAACTTGGGGCTTTGATGCCTGAGACGATGGCAGGAAATAGAAGAAGTGGTGGCTGCAGATATTAGTAGATTAGTGAATTCTTGGCGATATAAATGCCATCGGACATGAAAGGAGGGGTTACATATAATTTGTCGAGCTCTTGGTCAAGGGTTATCTACATGCAGGCTATACCCCACGAACCAATTACGGGCAAACGCTGCGATGCATGAGGAACCGCCTCAGTCACAGCATAACGCTATCCTGTTCGAGAAGGAAGAGTCGAGGATTTGGAAGATAAGAGGTCACTGTGCATGCAATTATTGAAATTCCCAACCTCCATGGAGATGTTGTTGTTGACGGAATGGTAGGACGAGATCACGCGTCTGAATGTGTAATCCGTTACTGTATTGCCTGTTGTCAAGAACCGTTACATTGATGGGCTCTTCTCCACTACCCTATCCTGAACCCTCTTTTGGAGAAGACAGGCACTGATACATAGCGTCATACAATGCATATAAGTCAACATTTGATCTCGTATGACGGGGGGAGTCGTGTAGCATTTTACAGGTTGGTATTCTGAGCCAAACTAGTCATAACGATAACATTGCCACTGTCAAGGTTAATAACTAATAACAACGTAACCGTTCTATTTCTTTCATGGGTAGACACAGCCATCACTATTCTTCACTAACATGATAGATATCGTACGCACTCATTTAATAACGCCATCTAGCTCGATTCAATACGGATATGCAAATCGATATCCGGCGTGATTCGTATTTCCGGCTGCATACTGCTGCTGCTGCTGCTGTGCTCTGCAGGGTTGCATTGCCGTTACTCCATCCTTGACATCACTTGACGCCTTATCTACATACCTTCCTCATCCAGCACAACCTTGTAGGCATCACTTCCAAGCTGCATGTAGGTAGTCTACGGCCTTTGAGGATGAAATCGGAGCAGCTTTGCTCTATATAAGAGTTCGTGTTGAGTCTGCAATCTTGTAAACGTGCTGTTGTCGTAGCATCTCCTCATCCCTCTCTACCCCTTTGCCATTGACTCAATCGACGTGGCAACATGCTGTTCAAGTCGCTCGTCGCGGCCTTTGGCCTTCAACTCGCCGTTGAAGTCGTCGCAAGCCCTCTCTTGCGCGACAAGGTCCCAGCCAAGCGTGATGTTCCATCTACCCACAGGCTTCATGAACGCCACCCGCCCCGCACGGCAAACCACTGGACGAAACGGGAGAGATTGTCCCGAAAGACTGTTTTGCCCATGCGCATTGGCTTGAAGCAGCGGAATATCGATGCCGGACATGCCAGGCTCATGGATATGTCAGTCATTATCAATCTTATCAATCTTACAAGAGAGCCTGGAAAGGAAAGACTAACACTCGAGGCCGTCCATGTAGCTCTAACCCGAGATCTCCCAACTATGGCAAACACATGACGGTCGAGGAAGTGACCGACTTCTTTGCTCCGGCACAGTCTAGCGTGGACGCCGTGATTGAATGGCTTGTCTCTTCCGGCATTGATCGCAAGCGCATCGGCCAATCGGCAAACAAACAGGTGAGTGACAGCTATTGATGCTGATATCAATACGAGTTGAATACTACACTACCCAGCACATACACACAGACACACACACACACACACCTTCATCACCCCCTCTTTCTTTTCCTTGATTCCACATTCTAACAATGCATGTTGTATCTGTAGTGGATTCAGTTTGATGCCCCGGCTGAAGAGGCCGAAGACCTCCTGGTGACCGACTTTTACTACTGGGAGGACAGCACCGGCTCACACAGGGACATTGCGTGTGAACAGTACCATCTGCCAGCCCATATCCAAGAGCACGTCGACTATGCGACTCCTGGCATCCGGTTGCGCGCAAACAATGTCATGAAGCGCGATGCCGAGAAGCGCAATGTCAACAAGCGTGCGGTGACGAACGTCCCAGGCCTTCGCGAGGGCCCTCACTTTACCAACAATGTCGCCTACATCAATGCCGTGAACGATGTCCCAGGAGTCAATTCCACCTCTTGCAGCAGCTTCATTACCGCCGATTGCGTCAGAGGTGTGTTGCTTCAATCTTGTACCAACCATGCGTGCAGAGACTAACATTCTACACAGTTCAGTATGGTGTTCCCAATGGCACGACAGCCGCCGACGGCAATGAGCTCGGAATCTTTGAAGACTTGAACGACCATTACAGCACAGCTGATCTTGACGCATTCCTCGCGGCCGTTTACCCGTAAGAAGTCCCTTGCAATTGACTGGCCGTGGAAAAGACTCATTCGTCTCTAATGCCGCAACAGCGATCTCGATATCCCTGCCGGGACGTATCCTGAGAACCGCTTGGTCGACGGTGCCATTGGATCTTACGAAGACATCGTGGCCACTATCGGCACCCAGTTTGGTGGTCTTGGACTTGAGTCTTCGTTGGACTTCCAGTCAGCCATCCCCCTCATCTGGCCCCAGAAGACGGTCTTGTTCCAGACAAACGACGAGTACTACGAGATTGTGGGAACCGAAGGATTCTTCAACAGTAAGACAAAACTCCCGTCACTCTTCTCAACGTGTTGTTAATCCGCGTTAGCTTTCCTCGATGCTATTGACGGTAGCTACTGCAGCTTCACCGACTACGGCGAGACTGGAGATTGCACTGATCCTTCATGCGCCGACCCTGTTTACCCCAACCCCAACTTTGACGCCCCCATTGGATACCAAGGAGAGAAGCAGTGCGGCGTGTTCAAGCCTACCAATGTCATCTCAGTCTCCTACAACGGCATCGAGGATCTTCTCCCCAACAACTATCAGTACCGCCAGTGCGACGAGTACCTGAAGCTGGGCCTGCAGGGAGTCACCGTCGTCTTCTCCTCTGGTGACTACGGCGTCGGCACCCACCTGGGCTGTATTGGCCCCAACTCGGAGCCCAACGTTGGAATCATCTTCACTCCTGGTTTCCCCCAGACGTGCCCATACATCCTCGCAGTCGGCGGCACTGAGCTCAGGCGGGCAGACCCCAGCGCGCCTCCAGTCGAGTGGGAAATCCTCGAGGAGGTGGCCACGACTCAGTTCCCCAGCGGTGGAGGCTTCAGCAACATTTTTGGCGTCGCCGATTACCAGACGGACGCTGTCAACGGCTACTTTGACACAGTCGAGTCATCTCTGCCGTTCAAGTCGTACAACCAGACCATTGTTGACGGCAACTTTGACAACGTCACAGATGTCAACCAGGTTTATAACCGCGGTGGCCGTGGTTTCCCTGACGTGGCGGCCGTGGGAGAGAACCAGCTCATTGTTTACGGCGGCCAGTTTGGCACCATTGGCGGAACTTCGCTGTCGACGCCCGTCTGGGGATCTCTGCTGACTCTCATCAACGAGAAGCGCATTGCTGCTGGCAAGAGCACTCTTGGATTCGTCAACCCAGCTCTAGTGAGTAATCATAAGATCTCATTGTGTGATGTTTGTAGTACAGCGGCTAACACACTCTCGCGTTAGTATCAACACCCAGAGGCATTCACCGACATTACAGAGGGAAACAACAACGGCTGCAGCTCTCCTGATCAGACAACTCTTTGGGGCTTCCCAGCTGCTGCTGGATGGGATCCGGTGACGGGTCTTGGGTATGTTTCTCCCCTCTGTTTGCTTTCGTCGTGTCAATGGCTTGGCTAACCTAGAAATGCAGATCGCCAAACTTTGCCGCCCTGGAGTCGGTTCTGGTCGCTCTGTAAGCAAGAGGTGCCCATGAAGAAACTGCGGCCATCTACGCACAAAAGGTGAGAATGCACTATAGGGAGAAAACAAACCCATCAAATGCAAGGTACTACGCATAAGTAATCATGCTCGGTAGTGCCGCGTGGCGAGCGCAGGGCAAATGCATCGCATATATCTAGTGCACCTAAGAAAGGTGTTGTATTGGGTAATAACCTAGATATACATACATCATCAAGAAGTAAAATTTCCATCACAAAACATATTTCGTTATACGTTCCTATAGTAAGCGCCAAGTAAAAAGTCTCAGCCAAACGGCAACAATAGTCTGGTTTGGAAGAGCCACTCAAGCGGATGTATTTGATTGCGCGGCTTTCAATGCGTCTGAAGAATGACGGGCCATATTATTGTAGAGAGCCCAACTCTCTTCTTGGCTAACCTTTGCCTTGAAACGTGCGAAGCTATGAAGTCGAATAAAGTAATTCACCGTACAGAATCCAGCCGTTGTACCATCCGTTGGAGAACACACTGCCTCCCCCCTCCGTGGTTGGCACCATTTATAATAAGTAAAGTGACGCCGCTGCCATTTCCGAGGTATGTATGCAAGCGCCTATATACTCCACAGCGTCTGAGCTAGGTCTCATTTCATAGGGTAAAGGAGAGCAGGTTCAGGTTTTCATAAGATTGAATATACATCTGTTGAACTCTCAGCCCACGTTTGAGTCAAGTATAAATTTTCTTCAAAGATATAAGTCATTTTATATAATTATACTGACGCAATAGCTGGTGGCTGATTAGAAAAGTTGGACGTCTAGAGATTATACCCTTCTGATTGGTCTCTCTTCGTCTACTATCACTGCCCAGATATTCACTTATTTTTAATCAGGCTGTCATGTTAGGCTTCAATGCAGATATTATCAAAATTCTCAAGGCACGTACACTCGCATAAGCATTGGGCATTCTTAATGATGCCCAATGTTGTAAGAAAGAAACTGAATAAATGCCTTGCACTAGGGTCTAATATCTGAAAGGCTTACTATTTTGTTGTTTGAAATATCTGCAATAATGGCAAGATTCATCTTCAGATCGCTGCTTAGAAAGCCAAGGGTGACGATTAGGAAATCAGCTGGCTTTGCTTCTCTCAGCTTTTTTGTGTACACATGTTACGACCATCTGTACCCTCAGTCAGTCGTACAACAGCAACAATGCCAGAATCCTGGCAAGTCCACACTATACACCGCAGCTAATACCGGCGTCTACCCCAAACTTCCTGATCAGCGAAGCATCCGCCTGATAAAGCTTTACGGGGCCGCAAGCCCAGATGACGATATATATACAGATCTGGCGACAACCTCCATCGATAAATTACCGCCTTATGAGGCCCTTTCATATACATGGGGCGGTCCAAAAGATCAAGTCATATATGCCAACGGACAGATGCTTTTGATTACTCAGAACGCACAAGATGCTATCCGGCAACTCCGCCCTAAGCCAGGGGAATTTAAATACATATGGGTCGATGCAATCTGCATTAACCAAGAAGATAAGTCCGAAAAGAGCTCGCAGATTTCGATGATGATTGAAATATATAAAAAGCAACACGGGTTGATATCTGGCTTGGTAATGGCAGTGATTCAAGTGATTTCATCTTGAAATGGTACCGCCTAATTACGTTGCCTCTCGCCCCAGTCCTATGGATAGATCGCAAAGCCATGGGCCTTTATTATCTGGACGATACACATATCGGTGCCTTGTTGTTGCTCATGCTGTGCAGTATGACTCTTCAGATGACCCGGTTTATGGCCATTTTTTTGGGACATGTTGTCCCAGGACCATTGCCTATATTTAAAAGTTGCTTCTCTCCCCTGGTCTTAGCTGTGGCGTGTACTGACCTATCATAAAGACTTGAAAACAAAACTCGCACATGGTGAAGCCGAACTGGAGTCAAGATCGTATTGGAAAAGAGTATGGACGATACAAGAGAGCAACACAAACTCGAACTGCGTGATTCTCTGCGGATCATCTGAGCCAATCCACTGCGACACATTCTACCGAGCATCGGTCATTACTGCCCTTTTACGTGCTCGGATAACTCAATGGGATACGACGACTTATGGGATACACCTAAAAAATCGCTCAGAAATTCACCTTGCCAATATGGGCTTTCACCCGTTGATACTGCAAGCTCTTTGCTATAAGGAGGCGTCTGAAGAAGTTGACAAGATCTATGCCATGAGGCATAAGCTACCAGACACCTTTGGTACAGTTCCAATAGATTGCTCGCCGCTTGCTACTGCCAAAGTCTATACAGATGCCGCACATAGCCTTCTCAATGCTTATCACAATGTTCATTTCATCCGGTTTGCATGTCACAGAGATAGGAGTGACGGACTACCTACCTGGGTTCCCGCTTGGACAACTACCTCCAACTGGCCACGCTGGATAATGGACGAGAATGAATTTCCAGCGCCCCCTCATCCCGCTCTGGTATCCAAAGGTTGCACGAAAAGTGTCCTCAGAATAAAGGGGCTTCGAGTCGATACCCTTACAGCTAATGTTAGCGACGTCCTCCCAGCAATGATTCCCAAAGAAAACCGAGCTCGCAAATTTAAACTCGGAGACTTTTCTTGTACACCAGAGGCTGTCACTATTCTTCAAGCTTGGGTAGGAAGCCTAGGTTCAACAACAGGAAGGAGTACCCACGTCAATCAGTTTTTCCTGATGATTAGCCGTCTGACGAAGTTTAAAGAGGACCCCAACAGATTGCTCCTAGCTTTGAAAAGCTTTCATCATCATAAAGATGGGTCATACAACATTCGGGCACAGCCACGAGACGTTCCTCGCTTGGAATCCAGTTTAGAGGCAATTTTGGAAGTGACAGATGAGCAATGCTTCTTTCTGACTACTAATGGGCAAGTTGGGCTGTCAAGAGCACCAGTTTGCAAAGGGGACGAAGTTGTGCTGCTGACGGGCGAGTCATTACCATATATCATTCGCAGGAGCTCTCATCGGTGGGGGAGATTTACGGTAGTTTCGCCCTGTTTCCTTAGCAATGGATGGATGCACAAGTCATGGCTGGAATGGGATTGGGAAGGGCCTATGAAGCAATTGGTCCAAAAGGCAGATTACGAAAATTGGGAGTGGATTGAACTAGTATAATTCTTTATGTATTCGCAAGGCTGAGGAACGCTCGATAACTATATCGTCATTGGCACCTCACTGTCGAAGCCGCTTTAAAGACCGACACACGCCAACAGCATTTGGCAGCAATAATAGTGTATTCTCGCTGCATTTCGTAATATTGGATATCTTATCCTCGAGTATCTGGAAATTTTCCGTAGACGATATCATTTAACCGTATTGCTCGTGCCGACAAATTAACTTTTGGTGCCGCAAAGACAATCTTGGCGATTAGCTTTTTTCTGGGGTACAAGCTTCACTGGTTAAAACATGTACAGCTATATTTTGTCCAGTGATTTCCAAGTATAGATGGCGTGCTCAAGCATGGATAAGGTACCTAGTAAGCTGCAAGGGGCTGCCGTAGTATTATTGGGTGATACGGCATCAGCCGTTGGGGATTGTGTGAAAGCTTATTGAGAATGGTTCCTAACGTGGCGATCTTCTAGGCGTTTGGTGAAATGCGAAATGTTGCTTCCTATTTGTGATCCCTTGAACAGGCGTTGGGTTTGAGCTTATGAGTCAACTCAAGATGGAGTTTACAACTGTAGTTCAGCCACCTTTTCTATAGCAAACGTATCGCCATTATACTTTTCGTTATTGCCCTAGGAGCTGCAGAATGCAGTCTACTCTCTTATTTACCTCTTCAGCTCGTCCGAACTTTCTAATGGCATCTTGGATAACTTATAAGTAATAGAACTATGATAAATTAATAATGTATAGACGTATATATGAGAGGAATATGTAAATGGTAGTAAACAGTCAGGGAATATAAACGTTGTAGTAGATAGTAGAGGAATATAAATCTAGTAGAGGTAAGTACTGGAGAAACATATAAATTTGTAGCAGATACAAGCGGAACGAGACATAGCTCAGTGGATGGATATACTTTGAACATATGCAGAGTTCCATAATATAACCCCAGTTTTTGCCTCTTACATACTAACTTTTAATATTGCCATGACGATTGATTAGCTTTTCCCGTACAAACTTTGAGGATCGCCTATATAAACCTCCCTCTATCCCTTTACACCTGCTCCCACAATATCCTCCCCATTGCATCTACCAACACATTTGCTTCACATCCGAGCCACATCCTCTTCAAAACAATACTATTCAACCACCTTCACAATGCGCTTCTCTACTCTCTTCAACATTGCCCGCCTCGCCTTCTTCGCAGTGCCGTCGGCTGCTTCAATGCTCGAAGTCTTCCATGGCACCTCTTGCGAAGACGAACCAAACGGAGCCCTGACGCAAATGCTATACGCGAGCCATGTTGGGTACAGCTTCTGTTCCTTTGCCTACAGTTATGGCTCGAGCATAGTCGTCCGCTCTGGCGAAGAACCAGACAATCCAGATTGGCCATACTGTGAATGGAAGTTCTACAGTGATGACTCCTGCCAGGTCCCTGTCGCAACGATGAATCCCGAGGGCCACAACTGTGCTTGCACCGTCCTCCCCGCGTTCCGATCCTATGAACTCGACTGCCTCCGCCTATCAGGGGATCGAAGAAGACGAGTGCGAGCTCGACAACGTAACACGGTCCCACGAACCATCGACGCCGGCCAGGGATACACGCTCAAAGAACGCAACTTGACTGAGCCAACAATGGATGCAAAGAACATCAGTTTCCCACCTGCGCAGTATTGGGGGGGCACCTGTGACCGGCCCGTGCCTACGTTCCGAACCAACCTGTCGTTTACCAGCGCCTCACAGGTTCGCAACATGGCCAGTATCATGGTTGACAGGTTTGAAGTGATCGAGCCGGGAGATCCAGGATTTGTTGGCAACATCTTTCACGCAGCGCACCAGCACCTGCACCCCATATTTACGCAACTGGAGAGACTCTGGAAATTTGACAGGGTGGTGACCGCTAGTGGTCCCCTACATGTTACGATGGAGTTTACAATCATCTCGGCGCCTGGATATGCTCTCGGGACAGTCATTGAAGCAATCAATCCCGAGCGGATGCCGCGGATACTCTACGTGCTGTATTATACAATGCGCAGGCACAGTATGAAGGCTGTGAAATTTCGGCTCAGTAGCATAAATGAAGGTGAAGCCACTCCTATCACGACAATGGTTGTTCGTGTTTTGGGTTCCGTCGATGTATAGAAGGAATGGAGGAGATGGAGGAGGGGAACCACGGCGTAGTTTGATGTGGCATGACCGAGTCTGGTTGTTGTATACTAAAATTGTCAAGAATAGAAATGTAGTTTCATTGAAAACAATTGATGGAATAAATAATAGCACCAATTTTGAGGCTGTAGATGATGCAAATCAGGGCGTTTGTGGTGTTTTGCTGTAATCTGGAATCCTGTCACCCCCCAAAGTTAAACTCTCTTGTGGCTGCGTAGAGTTCAATGTCGGAATAAGATGCATAGGAAAGCCTTTTACCAAATATTATCAGTGTTTGATTATCCAAATAGATACGGCTATAGGTACTTCATTGTATCATCATCGGGTATTATTAAAAAAAACCCCGAATCTCAAAAATTGAGACAAGAGATGTTGTGCCGACATGGAGTAAACCCGCTTGTTGATACCACTTAGCTTAAATCCCTAAGCTCTTATTACAACGACTATCTTTAGCCAACACCATCAATAACATGCTACTGTTGAGGCTATTTCTCAAGTTTAGTACACTGCATTTACATATTACAAAAAAGTTTGTCTCTGAGGAGCCATGTATCACCCAATAAAACTACGGCAGCCCCTTGCAGACCTCCAAATATGGGATCCACCGACATTTTTGGGGTAAATTAGTCTCTGGCCCCCAAACGCCACTCTCTACTTTAAAAGCGATTCATGCGCCGTTCTTGTGAGTCTTTATTGCAAATTGTTGCTTCGATGTGTCGGGGTATCGGAAATCCGCAACAGGACAGCATGTAATGTTACGCCTCGTAGACACGCGTACATCCAGTCACACCGTATCTAGTCCTCCATAATGTTGCAATATCATGTCCAGATGAGATTTGACAGTAAGTTTAGAACAAGATGTAAAATTCAACGCGTTCAAACTTCACATATTGACAGACTACAAATAGTCTTGATTCATTAAATTCTCTCATAAAGTGTATTACATAAAAATGCTTGGTATCAGGCTTCCGCTCCGCAATTCCAACTCCGGTATTCGCATACATAATTCATCTCTCCTACGCCTAGACTTTGCTGGTCTTCTCCTCGTGGTGCACCTCGCCAATCTCGACGGCCTTGTTGTCGACATCGTGGTGGACGACTTTCTCGACGGCCATGACGGCTTGGTCAGCCAGTTCCTTGTCCTCAAACACTGCGGGGGGAATATGTCAGCAAACTGGATCAAATGCAACAGGTCATAGCATGAGGAAAACTTACAAAAGGCGAGCTCTTCCAAGGTTCGGCCAGCCGTCTCGGGGAACAGGAACCAGACAAAGCAAATCTCAAACGCCAGCCAGCAGCAGTAGACAATCAGCCACCTCCAGCTAATGTTCTGCAGGCCGATGGGGTTCACAAAGGTGGCGAAGAAGCCAGCCAGACGCCCAAAGAGCTGGAAGAGGGAAATACCGCGAGATCGTTCGGCATACGGCCACAGCTCAACGAGATAGGTGTAGGTCAGGGCGTTGTATCCAATGTTGTAGCAGGGCTGGTAGGCGAAGATGAAGAAGATGGTGGCGGCGCCCGCAGCCTTGTTGGGGTGGTTGGCCAGGTTTCCAGCGATGCTCTGCTGCATCGTCACGGTCCAGCAGATGTAGACGACGAGCAGACTGCAGGTGCAGATGAGATACATGGTGCGACGCTTGAAGCGGTTGACGAGCAGAGACACGGTGACACCGGCAAACAGAGACCAACAGGCAATGGCAACGTTAATCTTTTGCTTAAAGACGGACTCGGTTTGCCCAATCATGGCGAGGAGGTCGCCCAGGTAGTACGAGATGAGAGTGTTGCCGGACCACTGGGTAAACAAGCCGAGGAATGAGGAGATCAAGCTTCGTCGTCGCATGCCGGCGGTGGCAAAGATGGAGAGCCAGTTCTTCTTGTTGTTCTCCGACTCGAGCTCAATCGTGGTCTGGATCTGCGCCATCTCAGCGCGAACAAACTCGGAGTCGGCGTCGCCTTCAGCGTGGTACTTGATGAGGATCTCGTTGGCCTCGGCGCTGCGGCCCTTTGTGACGAGCCATCGGGGGCTTTCGGGCAGCATGAAGACGAAGACAATCTGGATGACGGACGGCACCATCTGCAGCAGAGAGGGGATTCGCCAGCCCCAGTTGTTGGGGATGCTGTTTGTGCCAAAGGTGATGGCAGCGGCAACAATCTGACCGATGAAGTAGGAGACGTTGAAGAGAGATGTGAGGACGGCACGCTCCTTGGGGTAGCCAAGCTCTCCGATGAGAGACGAGCCAGAGACGATGCAGGTCGGGATTCCGAAGCCGAGGATGATACGGGCAACAATGTACATGGCGACTGTATGAATTCGAGTCGTTAGACGCAACATTCACATGGGAAAAATCATACACTGGGGAGAAAACCACTCACCGTGCTGGGAGAAGCCCTGGATCAGTGCACCGATGATCATGATGGCGGAGCCGCCCAAGATGGACCAGCGTCTGCCAAACTTGTCGTTGATGATGGGGATAAAGGGCAGCGACAGAATGGCTCCGAGAGAGTATGCCGCCGCAATGATGCCTTTGAGGGATCCCTGAGGATTATCAAAGTCTAGAATGCGTATAAATCAAAACTGCACACATGATTGATATTACCCAAAAAAGGGGGCCTGGAGGATGACCTACAGTCAACCCATGACGGGACAATCTGGAGAGCGTTAATCATCTGGGAATCAAACCCAGACGTCAACTCGATCCCCATGCATGCCGGGAAGAGAATGCAGTACAGGTATCTCAGGTTCGGCTTCTTGTACCACGGCACCTTGTCCTCGTTGGCGATGACGGTGACAATGGGATCAGACGCCCCAGTCTCCTTGGTGGTGGGCTTGAGGAAACCCATGATAGGCAAAAGTCAAGTCAACCGGGACAGAAGAGGAAGGTGTTGTTGGGATGGAGAATGATTGAAGCTGGAAAATGGATTCGAGAGGCGACGATGCCTTCTTTTTATTCTGCAACATTGTCGTCGGGTGCTGGACAAAAGGAGCCAAAAGTAAGCCGAATGGCGATTTTTTTTCAGCCAAAAACACCAGACTATTGCGGAGAACCCACCAGTCAGGCCGTTGCCAAGGCCGGCTAGCGCTGGGGGATGAAGCCAAGGGCCTGGGATTCCGTTAGTCTGGCTTCCCCTCAAAATCGTGGAGTTGAAGTCTGGGGTTGTTGGAGAGGCCTAGTTTGGGAATGTTCGGGGAGACTCCCCGAAGACAACTGGGAACGGGCACCGCGGTTTAAGCTCGTATCCCCACATCAGCTCCGAACAAGTCTGCGTTAAAGCCAGAAGTCCTCGAGCCGGCGTTGCGTTTAGCCTCATCTGGTCGCGGATCCTGGTCGTGAGTCTGGAGTTTCGACTCCACCTCCATGGGGAACCTCCGAGATCACAAATGCTTCAAGCCCACTCAATTAAACGGGACTCTGCAATCAGATGACGGGCGGTGCTGCGGCTCTTTTTTGCCGTTGGCCGTTGGAAAAAGCCCCCTGGCTACATATAACGCACATGGTTGCTTAAGAGTATATAACTAAAAAAAAATTTATAACATTGTTTTTTTCTTCCCACCCCCCTTCCTTTTTTGCCCTTTACTCGGATTTACGTACCTTGCCTTTATTTCCTCCCCTCCCCCAAGGCAAAAAAGTACATACGTTCCTTGGCCAAATCAAAAGAGGGAAAAAAAAATCAATCAATAATTCCACCATGGGCGAGTGGCAGCAGCAGACGAAATTGGGCTTCGACGTCGACACCGTCCTGGCCCAGCTGTCCCAGAACCAAAAGATTGCTCTCTTGTCCGGTAAGTCTTTGTTCTTCAAGCTAACCCCAATGAGTATACATCATCATATCGTTTTACTAAATCAAAGTGTGAGGGGGCAAATATAGGCATTGACTTTTGGCATACTTTTCCCATTCCGGAGCACAACGTGCCGTCGGTACGCCTGACGGACGGCCCCAATGGCATCCGCGGCACAAAGTTCTTCGCCGGCGTGCCCGCTGCTTGCCTGCCCTGTGGAACGGCCTTGGCCTCCACCTGGGACAAGCAGCTGCTCAGGAGGGCGGGAAAGCTGCTCGGCGATGAGTGCATCGCCAAGGGAGCCCACTGCTGGCTGGGGCCTACCATCAACACGCCCAGATCCCCCCTGGGCGGCCGTGGCTTCGAGTCCTTCTCCGAAGACCCTCACCTGTCCGGCATCCTCGCTGCCTCGATGATTCTTGGCTGTGAGAGCACCGGTGTCATCTCTGCCGTGAAGCACTTTGTAGGCAACGACCAGGAGCACGAGAGAAGAGCAGTAGACTGCCTCATCACCCAGCGGGCTCTGCGAGAGATATATCTGCGGCCCTTTCAAATCGTAGCTCGAGATGCAAAGCCCGGCGCCTTGATGACTTCCTACAACAAGGTGAATGGCAAGCACGTCGCCGACAGCTCAGAGATGCTGGAGGATCTCCTGCGAGAGGAGTGGGATTGGGATCCTCTCATTGTGAGTGACTGGTACGGCACGTATACCACAATCGACGCCATCAAGGCTGGTCTCGATCTCGAGATGCCCGGCGTCTCAAGGTATCGAGGCAAATACATCGAGTCCGCCCTGCAAGCCCGCCTGCTCAAGCAATCCACCATTGACGAGCGAGCCCGCAGGGTCCTCAGGTTTGCCCAAAAGGCCGGACAGCTCAAGGTGTCAGAGGTAGAGAGAGGGCGTGATTTCCCAGAGGACCGCGCCCTGAACCGCCAGATTAGCAGCAGCAGCATCGTGCTCCTCAAGAACGAAGACTCCTTTTTGCCTCTTCCCAAAACCAAGGCCAAGATCGCCCTCATTGGCTCCCACGTGCGGTTACCAGCCATTTCCGGAGGCGGCAGCGCCTCATTGTTGCCTTACTATACCGTCTCCCTCTACGATGCCGTCTCGGAGGCCTTGCCAGATGCCTCCATCACTCACGAGGTGGGTGCGTACGCACACCAGATGCTCCCCGTCATCGAGTCAATGATTTCCAAGGCCGTCATCCACTTCTACAACGACCCCATCACCGTCACCGACAGGAAGCTCCTCGGCAGCGAAAACGTCGCGTCAACGTCGTTCCAGCTCATGGACTACAACGGCGTCCCGAGCCTCAACAAGGCCATGTTCTGGGGAACCTTGGTTGGAGACTTTGTCCCCACCGAAACGGGCACTTGGGAGTTTGGCCTCAGTGTGTTTGGTACTGCAAACCTGTACATTGACGACGAGCTCCTCATCGACAACACCACGCACCAGACTCGCGGCACTGCCTTTTTTGGCAAGGGAACCACGGAGAAGATTGGCTCCAAGGAGATGGTGGCCGGCAGCACGTACAAGCTGCGGCTCGAGTTTGGATCCGCCAACACCACCAAGATGGAAACCGTCGGCATGGTCAACTTTGGAGGCGGCGCCGTCCATCTCGGTGCCTGTGTCAAGATTGAGCCCAGGGAGATGATTGCCCGAGCTGTCCGAGCCGCGGCGGACGCTGACTACACCATCATCTGCACGGGGTTGAGTGGCGAGTGGGAGTCTGAAGGCTTTGATCGTCCGCACATGGACTTGCCTCCCGGCGTGGACACGATGATCTCGCAGGTTCTCGACGCCGCGCCAAACGCGGTTGTCGTCAACCAGTCGGGGACGCCGGTCACGATGAAATGGGCCCATAAGGCCAAGGCCATTGTGCAGGCCTGGTACGGCGGCAACGAGACGGGCCACGGCATTGCCGATGTGCTGTTTGGCCATGTCAATCCCTCGGGGAAGCTGTCTCTGTCGTGGCCCGTCGACGTCAAGCACAACCCTGCGTACCTCAACTATGCGAGTGTTGGCGGACGTGTTTTGTACGGAGAGGATGTGTATGTGGGCTACAAGTTTTACGAGAAGACGGAGAGGGAGGTCTTGTTTCCGTTTGGGTGAGTTTTGTCCTATCAAGGACTCTTGACGATTACTTGTTCATGTTCTAACCCACATCTTGTGCAGACACGGCCTCTCTTACGCTACGTTTGCCCTTTCAGATCCAGTCGTCAAGACGGTGCCCGAGACGTTCCGGCCGAACCAGCCCAGCGTGGCAATCGTCAGAATCAAAAACACTAGCAAGGTTGCCGGTGCACAAGTCCTGCAGCTGTACATTGCCGCCCCCAACTCCCCGACGCATCGCCCGGCAAAGGAGCTGCAAGGATTTGAAAAGGTGTATCTGGAGGCGGGCGAGGAGAAGGAGGTGCACATTCCCATTGACAAGTACGCGACCAGTTTCTGGGACGAGATTGAGAACAAGTTTAAGAGTGAACAAGGGACGTACGAGGTCTTGGTGGGAGTGTCTAGCCAGGAGATATTGGGCAAGGGAAAGCTGGTTGTTCCCGAGACGCGATACTGGCTGGGGTTGTGAGTCGTGGACGTGGCATTGGAACAAACACGCACTATCGTAATAGATTGGAAAACTGCCAATGGATTATCTAATGATTGGCTGGATAGAATATAGATGGACACTATATGGAAGGCTACATTGCATTGTTGTTGTTTTTTTCCCTCAAAATCATGAAGCTGGTGCTCCTCCACAACTGGGTCCCTTTGTTTGAAAAACGCGTGAGCAATGAACGAGTAAGCAAAGAGTACCAAGTAATATAAACCATTGAATATATATATATAAACAAAAAACTACCACGTGTAGCCTACTGCTTCAGCAGCCAATCCAACAACACAGCCATTTCCCGAATCCCCCCTCCCTGGTCACCCCATGTCTCCAGCCTCTCCTGAACCATGCCCACGCATTCTCGCCACTGCGGTGGCACGACAACATGCGCCGCCGACTCCACCCCAGCCTGCTTGCCCCGGAATGCCGCAATCAGGCAGAGCCCGTGGTTGAAGCGCACGCGGCAGGCTCCCCACGATCCGGGGTGGCGGAAGAAGGCGTTTTCCGTCTGGATGCGGTAGATGCTCAGCCTCAGGCCCAGAGAAGCGTGAGCGCCGAATGTTTCGACTTGAGAGCGTGTCAGCCGCATGCCGCCGTGGAGACACATGTACAGGTAAGCCCGGCAGAGCAGCTCGCGGACCTCGGCATATCGTTCGCGCATGAGCTTGACGAGTTCGGGCTCGTCGGGCGACGGCCGTGAGTCGGGCGGGATGTGGAAGCGGAGTGCTGGGGGGAGGCAGTCGAGCCACTGCTGTAGCTGGCCCTCGAGCTTCTGCAACGTGTCTGCGAGCTGGGAGGCGGTTAGGGAGTCGATGTTTGGTGATAGCACGGTGGCGGCACTGCGAGTGCGGTTGAGCAGGCGGCGGAGAGAGATCTCGGCGAGGTAGTAGTAGTAGGACAGCGTGGTGGACTGCTCGTGGCGTGTGCTGTCCACGGGGCTTTGGCCGAAGCTCTCGATGGTTGGAAAGGTAGGGAGGGCGTAGGGGAACGATGATTCTTGGAGTGTGCACGAAGGGAGGCCGTTGAGTTCGTGCCGTACCTCACTAAAGACACCAGCATGTGAGCTTCAACCAAGTTTCCGGTTGACATTGGAGAAGAGACGTACCATTCGGATTTGAGACATGTCCAGTAGAGTCGCTGTTCAAGACCTTGCGTAACGTTGTCAATACTCTCTACCAAAAGCAGCAGTGGTGGGCTTGATGGGCGAGACATACTCTCTTCTTGCTTGGGCCGCTGCGTCTTGCCATCGGAGTGCTTCAAGTTGTATGCTTCCCACATCATTGACGCTGTTCGAAACATTTTCCACCCAGGTATTGGCTCAATATTGTACTGATACCACATTCTTATCCCCCACGTCAGCAGAAGCATCGACATTGACAGTTCTAGGTCACACATACCCAAAGAGACAAAAGCACACGACGCCAAGCAACGAATCGTCCAAATACGCCGTGGACATTCGTTTCTGCGCCATGGCAATGTACATCAGAGACTCTCTCATGCGATGATCCGGCACCGCCATGGTGACGCGCTGCCTGGGATACAGATCCAGCTCCTCGTCCGACTCGATATTTCGCCGCTCATCATCGGGGTAGTTGCCCCAGACGGCGGCCAGCGCAAACACCAAGAGCACGAGACACGACGTGGCCGACCAGCCGAAGCCGTTCTCCAGCACGTATGCAATGTGAGCGTCAAGCTGGTCGGCGTCGACAATGGGATTCTTTCCCTGGATCTTGCTCATGTAAATGTCCCGCAGCTCAAACATGCGTTCTGGGGAAGGGTTTGACACTTCTGTTTTTTTTGTTGCCCGCACCGTCTCGATTAGCAAACACATGGCTTTGCATGCAAACATCATCAAGTTGACTCGGCACGTACCAAGGTCGGATGGCTTCGGCTTCTCGGCGTATTCTGACGAGGGAAACGTGCTGACCGGCCTCTCCTGTGGGAATACAGACCAGCCCAGGATCATGTCGGAGCCCGTGATGGGCGTCCATGGAGTGTCTTTTCGCGACATGGTCTCGAGATTGTCTCCGTCCATGTCCAGCAGGCGAGACATTTGTTCGGGACGCGGCTGGAGGCCATTCCCGAGACTAGACAGGAGACGCCCCTGCTCTTCAACGGCGGTCAAAATTTTCTTGCCCCAGGTTTCGAATCTACAAGACACAAAAGAAGAGAAGAAGAAGGCATCAAAATCAGCAATTGGTCATGGTTCATGATTTCTTGTTTGGCCAAAAAGCCCCAGGCTGTGCGTGTGCCCGCTTACATTGAGAATGGATCTTTATCAGGATAATGGCAGCCCACGCCGCGCTCAGCGCACTTTGCGCACGTCGGGCGAGCAGAGTCGCACCGCGTCTTGCTCACGCGACAGGCGTCACAGGCGGCCAGGATCCTTGTATGCGAGGGAACGTCTTTAGGGCGTTTTCTCTTCTTACTACTATTTGTATCCATCGCGACAGCAGTGGGCCGCGGGAGGGAGTTGTTCTCCTCCATGGTTGAGATACTCGTATACTCTTTGGAGCTCTCTGGGGGAGAGGGATCCAGAAAATAGCGGGTAACCTACCGGTAGCCTTGCCAGGACTTTTGAAAAAACACCGAGACACTGGGCTGGGCTGGGCTGGGAGTGATGATTGTTGCTTAGATCAGTTGCTGGATAAGAAACGTGGATGGTTGTAGCGTTCACCCCACATGCAGGAAGATGTAACCTTCTTATACGCGTGGCTAGTCCTGAAGGGGGGAGATTCTAGACTGACGCCTTGTTCTTCTATTACCCCACGTTATTATGAATCTGATCTGATGCTACGGAGTAGTTTGCTGGAAATCACACTGTAGGATGAGACGGTAAGTTGATGTGCAGAGGGGGATAACACAACATATAAGAGTCAACCTTGAGATGAGTTGAAAAGGTTGGTGTATACAAAGTATAGAGGTTCAGAGAGAGAACAGACAGCGAGAGAGAAGATTGAATGCTGTGAGTTGGAGAATTCGATTCAATGAATGACCGAAAAAATCAGAATGCGGAATAGTAAGCATCCACGGGTAGGGACGGGTGAGTATCGCGGAATTACGTTAAGCCGACCAAGCTGTTGCTTTTCTGGAGTGTTACCTTGAGCAGCTCGTCCTGCCGCAGGGACAGTGCAAGTAGTATTTAAAAAAGTATTTGAATCAAAAATCAAATAATTATCTAAACATTGTAAAAACTCCAGAGTCATATAAAGGTGTAATTGTTAGCTGTAACGTACCAAATTTTACTGCCAAGGGACAAACCCTTAGGCTCGAGGTTAACGTCGGTGGATGGTCAGGCAAGTTACGGCGTCATCTTGTCCATGTCACGTAGCTAGTGGACGTGGTAGCTGAATCCAATCTGATTGCCATGTAAATACCTACCTGGCCATCTAAACTACCTCGACGAGTGTTGTGAGTGAAAGCCGAGTATAGGTAAATGGGAAAGATGTCAAAAGGTCTTTTATTCATTGCATGAATAATAGATTTGTTTGAGAAATACATTGCAAGGACACAAGCACATCTTTTGATTTATTTTATTGCACGTGCTGATATGCTCGTAGTGTATTGAAGATGAACATTCATGGATATGGAAATGAGTCCAAAATAGGTACAACGCTGACTCGAGCGAAACATCGCTGCTACCCTATACAAACAAAACACATTTTGCGCGTGCAGCTACTGCAGCCATGAATGGACCAGGTTATGCATAAATTACATGCAGGCCTTTCTTCTTTTTCTTTTCTTTTTTTTTTATAACGTATCCGCATGCACTCTAGTTAGTGTCAAGTCATCATATCGTAGTGAGTGAGTTTGTGACGCTGAAGAATAAAACATGCCACTTGTACTCCTTGCTGAACATTACCAAACCCATTGAGACTCCAGTTTATTATAACCAACCCTCTATATTTAGATTTCTAGAAATATATATACTAAATTGACATTCTTGCTGATGACACTGCATCACCCAATCTCGTGATCTCCCTAGACAGGGTCAATTATATCGACATGTCTCATCGCCATCTCTAGAGGCGGCTCTGTACTTTGTACTTGTAATCGCAAGCAAAATTGACAGTCGAAAGCGGGCAGATACTCTGTAGTATGGGAAACCCATAATATCGGATAAACTGCGCAACGCGGCTCTAGCTTCTCCCCATCGCGCTATTCCCCATTTGCTGCGCTGCTAAACCTCGGCGCTTTGCAACTTCTTACTCAGCACAAATGCACAGAGTGCCGAGGTACGTACCTCTCACCGGAGAATCCGCCTCTCCTTTTCTTCCGCATCTTACAAGCCTGTGGTTTCACAACTCTGACAGATTTCCTCCGTCCTCCGTCTCTCCCCCAAGCGAATAAACTCATCAGCCGCTGGGACGAATATCGTTTCAGAAGCTTATCGGATCTAGCCACATGGGATAAGCTTCCATCATCTGGTGCACGTCTCGCTTGCCGCTCTCAGGGCGTCGAATGCCATTGGCCCGCATCAGCTGCTGGTATTGGTATTAGATAGAGTGCATCCGATGTTTGACGAGAATGGAAACAAAAGTCACCGGCGGCATCAAGTCATACCCAAACTGGGGAATGTGGCCCATCATCGTCTATTACGCGCTGTCTATGTGATTCTACGGATCGAGATGAGGGCCAGTTCCATCCTCAGGTCGGCCCCTCGCCTCTTCTTCCCCAGCAGCAGACCACTTTTGCAATATCATATCGGGAAAGTGGGCGTTCTTTTCTCTTCTTCGAATTTGGTTGATCGTTGCCAAGCTGCCCTCGGCTAGCCAAACAAGGCTGAGTGTTGGCAAGGGCTCCATGTCGTAAACGGTAATTTGTTTCATCACCAACTCCGGTGTAAAGAGTCCCGAATACCGCCATGTTCCTGAAACAGTGGAGATTCTTGGCCCCGTTGCCGCGCGGATTTTGAGACGTTGGTGTCCAAGTGAAACAAACACCATGCAATCGTACGACAGATGGAATTGTCGATAAGGAGTATCTATGATGATGATAGTGAGTTGATTGCTTTTCTGTGATGCTATATAGTCGCTGTGATGCCGTCGCTAATTGTGTCGTTTTCTTCTTCTCCACCACTCTTTTCCATCTTCGCTTTTCCCATTCCATTCTCTATCAACTCAGAGTTTCAAGCTTTCGCCGGTCGATTGCCTCTGACTTTTCATTCTTTTCTGATTCTCCTTCTTTCTGTGTAATTACATTCTTTTTTTTTTTTTTTTTTCAAACCCTTTTGCTGTTTATCTCCCCAACTCCATCATCTCAGACAACTCAAGATGAAGACTTCCGTCGCCGTCTCTCTTCTCCTCGCCGCTGCGGCCGAGGCCCGATTCGGCCAAGAGCAGGGCAACGGAGCCATTGCCGCTATCCAGGCATTGTCAAACTTGGGCCAACCCGGACAGGCTGCCACTCTGGCCGGCAACGCTATCCAATTCCTCCTCGCTGCTGCAAACCCTTGTGGCAAGCTCACTCACGCAGATTCAATTCTGGAGGAGCTGGGCACGAGTGACGCTGCCGTTGCAGCAGCCCGTGGCCTCGTTGCGGCTGAGCAAAACTTCAACCCCTTTGTCGTCAGCGTCCCTTCCATCTGCTCGGACACCACTCTGCCGAAATCCGCCCAACTCCGTGGTGTCGTCCCCCTGATTGACCCTGCAGTTGGCGGATCGGATCTCGAAAACAAGAATGCGGCGGCTTCCAAGACGAAGCCGTTCGCAGCCGACGGCCTCAGCGTCGCCCAAGTCATGGTCCAGAATGGCTTCTCCAACTTTACGGCTGTTGCTTTGGACGGCAGCAAGCAGGACGTCTCGGGAGCATCACCAGCTGCTGGATCGTCTGCTGCCGCACCAGTCGCCACCTCGGCCTCGGCAGCACAGGCTTCTGTTCCTCCGGCGACTGCGGTGAACAACCAGGGATGCAACAGCATCGCGCTCCCAACCACCATGATTACCATTACGAGGACTGCTGTTGTGACTTCGGTGGCAACTGCTGAGGCTTCCAGCGCTCCCGCTTCGTCTGGCAATACCTCCACTGGCAATGCTTCATCTGGCAGCTCATCAGCTCAAGCCGGAACCTGCACCGGCGGCGGCAGCACTCTCGCATGCACTGCTCCCGGTGCAGGTTCCGGGGCCGTCAAGAACGCCGTCACGGGCAACTTTGACGGCTTCGTCGCCTCGACCATTGCAGGCCTGGACTTTGGACTCTGCGTGCCCACCATCAAGTTCGAGGCCGGTCTCGACGGACGATCCGACACCGAGTTCACCTTTCAGGCAATCGACCCCCTTGTCAACAAGGGCCAGGAAGAGGCGCTCAACCCCAACATCATCACCAACCGGATCCACGACCAGCTCACCAACGTGTGCGGAGCCAACGCGGCGGCCAAGGCTGCGGTTGCCGATGCTCAGGCCAAGATTTCGGCGCTGGGAACCAGGAATGCAGATACTGCCAACACATGGAACTCGCTTCTTGGATTTGCAAACACAAACATTAACCCTGACAATGCGCCTCAGGCCGGCCTCGTTGGTCACACCTAAGCGGATGGATGTGTGGTGATTTGGGGAGTGGGAGTGGGAGATGGGAATAAATAACAACAGCTTGGTTGGTGTACGATAGAAGAGTGTGGTGAAAAACAAAAACAAATTAATAAAATCGATATCAAGCCTAGCTGCTGATGAGCATGTTTCGTATTTCGCGATGCCGCGTATGAGAGTGTCTTTGTTTGAGTGCATGCAGTTGATGGACCACAGTTGGTGGTGATTTTGCTGCAACTTGTACTCCGTAGTACAGAGAGACAAAGAGAAAGGTGCCTACAGTTGGCCGACAAAAGTGATGCCTAGTAATTTGCGTCTCTTTGTTTATCGTAGTACCGGCGGAAAAAAGGAGGTATGAAGCAGCTTTGCATTAAAGAAGCCCTCCTCTCTCAAAACGAATTCCATCACAGCATCGCTCCGTTGTCAAAGACTCGAGATGACAGAATGCTGAGCTGTTTTCCCGTGCAATGGCGGCGCGACGCATCTCCCGCCCGCGATGTATCGGTGTCAATTGATTCAACTCTAGGCACAGACGACTGTTGCTTTTCGGTATCTGGCGTCCGTTACGTTGCGCCGTGCTCCAAGAAGGTAAGGCATCATTCATGTCCACGGTATCCAATACTTCACCATGCTAATGGGTTGTTCTGTTGTAGAATTCAAAGCTATGAAAACGGTCGGCTTACACCTGGCCACGGTATTTCCTGTCCCAGCAGAGGCGTCCACAGAAATATCGGAGGCATGGATGCAGAAGCTCCGGGATGAATACAAGACGGACGACGTGTTGACGAAGCATATCCCATAACCAAGGATGCCATCAAGTTTCTTCACCAACATGGCATGAAGAATTATACATTTATCTCGTCGTCGAATTATCTCCCTGATTCTCATGTGATGGTTGATCAGGAGCTCAGAGAGGTGTGCAAGTTGGTGGATGATTCGAAAGGGACCTGCATGGTCACTTTGAAACTACAGCAAGAGTATTGGCTAACAATTACACACGTCAAATGATTACAAGCTGATTCATTTGTAGCCCATCCGACGCATCAGAAGCTCTTGTGATCACGGGCCAATTGAGTATACCGACTATCAAGCGCCATGGAATCCTAGAGCAGACGGCTATCAATCCCCTGGAGGCAGCAGTTCGGGCGCTACTTCGGCCATTGCTGCCTATGATGGCTTGACATCGCCATTGGTACAGACAGTACATGCTGAATATGTTGTCTGACAAAGCTGATTGTTATCTGACGAATTCATTGACAGCTTGGGGGGGCGTTACGCGGCCTGCTCACTGGTGTGGATGTTTTGGTCTGCGTCCCAGCATTGGCAGCATCTCTACTGACGGCATTGTGCGACATGTCTAGTAAGTGACCATTGTATTTGATCTGTTGCGTTGGACTAAGTATTAAGAACCTTGGATGTTCCAGGAATTCTGGCAAGAGATTTGCAAAAGTGTAGGGATTTTGCTCAAGAATGGCTGAATTTTGACAGCTTTGACAAGACACCCGAGGTATATTTCCCTGCAAACAACTGTAGAAGCACAGCTGATATAAAGGTACATGCAGTCATTTTCCTCCATCATATGGCCAACCGACTTTTGGGAAATCATTCGCCCCAAGGAGAGAAGTGTCGCAAAATTATTCGCCAAGGACATGGCTATGTTTGTTATGCTGAATTTAATGTCCCGTTAAGCTATCGTTAGTCTAGCATACGATGTGTATCATAACAGCGACGACTTTCGTGCCCGTTACTGGCACATGTTTGGGCGAGCACCTTACACAACAATGCCAAATAGGCGACTTTGGTAGGATTTGCTTTTGCAAAATAACTAATAGTTTACATATCTGATACGAAATTAGGGATGTCGGAAAACAAACAACCCTAAGACAAAGGATCACGGGATTCGAGGAAATTGACATTTACCGTTAGTGGTTCCAACAAACAATTTTGACAGGGGACCATACAAATGCCATTACAGTAATGCCGCTTGAAGATGCAAAGCCAAGATACAGAGACGATTACGCCGAGTGAGTAACATCTCAGTCACCACTACATTGTTAGTCCTAGATGCAAGCTAACGAATCTCAAGCATTCACCGGCCGCCTCAAGACGGTATCAACGCCTTGGCCCTTGGGCCCGTTATGAAGTCACCAGTTCTTGCTGTTCCAAGTAAATTGATCACCTGCAAAGTACAGCATTCTTTTTTTTTCTAATGATGCACAGTTGCCGAGATCCTATATCATTCCAGAGTCAGCGACCTAGTGGAAAAGTTGCCATTTGCAGTAGCACTTATGGGAGCACCAGGTATGCAAGTGAAAATATTGTCTAGATGAAATCACTTGCTGACACATTTATTAGGCACTGACCTGAAATTGCTCGACACTGCCATCCAAGTCCTGCAGTTTATGGATATCCCGACGGTTGTTCAAACAGGAAGATCCATGTACCAAATTAGAGAAACTAATGCCTCGTATTTGCTAAGCTCGAACCCGTTCGTGGTGTGCTGTTATTGATGCATTTCAGCCTTCTAGCCTCCTGAGTGGTCACCCGTACTGTGGCACTGCTCCGGTCTGACTGACTACGTGTATTTCACATTTTCCATATCTGGTAATTGCCGAGACAGGGATGGCGCCTCCCGTAAGCTGCAGTTCTAGAACCGTCGAAGCGAGGATCCTCGGTTAGATGATGGGGGTCGGCTGTAGTTTGTTTTGGAGGCTAATTGAACTCTTGTCTTGTCAGTTTGGCAACCGGTGAGACTTGTGCCTCGTATTTCTGGAGGCTGTCTAGGCTAGGTTGGAGGCCATGTAACGCCTCTAGATATTTCCCCAGTGTCTTGTGGAGAAACAGCGGTTCCTTGAATTAACTGAAAATGGACATATCACAGCATTCATTGTAGCTATTGTTGAATTGAAGTCGTGTGACAAACATATTTCTTATTGACATTGCGGAATATAGGTCAACGTTCTATAGAGTCGGACGTGTTCTAGTCTTTTCCTTTACTGGACTAAAAGAGATGGCTGCTGCTGTACGTGAAACTAGAGTCTTTAGCTGCCCAAGCACCATGGCTAATACCGAGAGTGCAATTCGACTTCCTCGCCAGCAGATCTTATCTAGGTAGTATTGTGTTTACATCAGCAAAGTAGCGACAGATGGAACCTGGTCACACAATGATAGAAGTCGAACCTGATTGTCACTGCAAAAGAAGATGCTGTTACAAAATAATGATGATAATAATAATAACTGGCTAGCTCTTAATAGGATTGATCTCGGCCATTGCCTTTCTCGGCCCCTGGTACATCACGTGGTTGTCTTGATCCCTTTGTCCTCTTGTCACGATTAAATTCTTCAACTCAACCAACCAACAACCAACAACCAACAACATTCGCTGTCTACAAGCCACACTTGCTACAAACCGCGCTCGCTACCAATCACAGTCGCTACTATGAAGGTCACTCCTTTCTGGGCGTCAATCGCCCTGTTGCGCGCTCTGCCAGTCCTCGCTGCAACATCTCCAAGCCCAACTTCCACCTCTGCAGCCCCGAGTTGCACAGCCTCTCTCGTCGCCAGTCTCTGCGACTATCCAGAACCAGGCTTCAACTTCGCCGTCGCCAGCGATGGCAGAGCCTCTTGCTGGGAGTATTGCAATGCCCATCCTCCCTGCAGCTTCGTCATCTTCCGCGAGGGCAATCCCTACACCGGCACAGGCACCTGCTGGCTGTATCCGGGCGAGAGCTACGATGCGAGCGCCGGCAGCTCTTGTGGTAACCCCTATTTGTTCGTCTACGACGAGCCCGTATGCAAAGGCACGCCCACCTCGGGCTCGGACAGCTGCGCAGCGACTGCAACGCCCTCTGCCATCGCTTCGGTTTGCGGATATCCGACACCGGATGATGACTGCTTCAGCGCTTGTACTGCTAGCGGAGGCGCAACGGACTGCTTGAGTCAGTGTGCAAAGGCCGATTCCTGCAGCTACGTCGTCTTTAATCCACACAACGATGACAACTCACCCTACGCTCCGGGCACTTGTTGGATGTATTCGAATGGTACCTACGACGCTGGAGCCGCGACTACTTGCAAGGGCGCGCCTGAGCAGTTTGTGTACCAGAACCCGTGCCCCAAGCCAGCGCATTCCTCGTCGTCTGCTCCGGCACCATCTACTGGAACTACAAAGACTGTAAGTGGAACTGTTGGTATTGAGACTGGGAATGCAGTTATTGATGCAGAGGCGGCTACTACTAGTGAATCTTCGGCCTCTACTCTTCTACTCACGAACCCGCTCGCAATGTTCATGTATGCTGTATTGCTATGGTAGGGTGTTGTATAATACATGTATGTATGGATTCTTGTTGTACAACGTCATTACAGTCAAGGGCGTGTGGTCGAACAGGACGCTTTTGTAAGGAATGGAGACAGATGAGAACCTTGAGTTGCATTAGGGACTCAAGCTGAAAACGCGATTAATTAATACTAGTTGTCTTCTCTGCCTTCGCTTAACAGCAAAGTATTCCCGTAATCAACCCATTTTGGGTAAAACACACATGAATTGCCATATTGATCGTACGCCGTGGCACCAGATATCTCTGACTACGTGTTGGAATATTCGTTGCGGCATGTGATATCCCTTGTGTGACCACAATACCGACTTTTGGTGAGAGACAGCAATCACATCAGCATGACTAGATGTAATCCTGGTGAATAAGAATCTATATGGGTGCGACAAGAACCGGTACTTTCCACTTGATTAAGAAGAAAAAAAAAACAAAGAATGAAAGAAATTGAGATCCAAATTAACAGAATACATAAAGCAAAGATACAAAACACAGAAAATACAAACGACTAGAGACGGAGAAACAAAATGTCGGGCTCTCAAAGCAGCGTTTATTCGCAAAGTTTCAACTTTGAAAGTTTTCTCCAGAAAGGCGTGGATCCGCGCACAGGACAATACACCTGCAGCGTCAACGTCTACCATAAGCCTTCGCACGTTCATAACGTTGGGACTTTTGCCCTCTCCCTCTCCTTTAACCCGCTCAACGCGCAGGATGTTGGCTTGGGCATCGGATGGGCTTTAAATTTGCCCTCGTACGACCACCGTCACCGCAAGTCTCTCTCACTGTCGACGGGAGAATGCTACAAAATCACCGAGACCGCTGGTGGTTTACTGCATGTCAAGGATCAGAAGCTCAAGAACTTTGATGCGACAAAACTAGGATCCGACTATTACATAGCGTACAAGTCGGGACAAATTGAGCTTCTCTCCAATGCAAACAAACTCCTATAACCTATCTGTTCCAATCACCATCACCGGAGCAAACGGTCGGGCTTTGGATCTTGTCTGGATGGGCAGCCAAGGGGTTGCGGTTTGGCTCAGGGGACAACAACGGCCAGGAAATGCCGCAGTCGGTGACAGGAATCCTCAACAGGCCGCTGAAATGCACATTCGGGACAGTGGGCTCTTCTCAGGGGAAGAGACAGACAACAGGCAGCGGTAATTTCTAATTGAGTCACCGATTGGTGTAGATGTAAAGCATGAATCAGTTTGTAAGATTTGTTAATCATGTAAAAATTCTACTTCTATTGATTTGCGGTTTGGCAAGTTCCTTCATCTATACTCATCCCGGGACCCCCCTCTATGATGCATCAACTCTATTTTCCCGTAACACATTTCATACTGTTATCAGCTCCCCAATACCTTGAACCAAAAATCACTGCATTAACAACACATTTCTAAATCTTGGCTTCCCAGAAGCTAGACTCTGAATCGCCTTCTGTACGTCAGCCAGCGAATAAGTCTCCACCATACACTCAACTCCGTGCAACATTGCAAAGCGAATCGCTTCTTCGCTATCCAAGGCATGCCCGCACGGCCATCCCTGGACACAAGCCGCTCTCATATTAATCACCGACGGTTCAACCTCAAAGGGGGCCCCGACAGCCAAGTTGAGCAGCTTGCCCTCTACGGCTAGGCCTCTCATCAGAGCCTTGTAGACGGCAGGGTCAGGCGCCGTCTGTACGACAATGGCGGCACCACCGAGCTTCATGAGCTCTTTTGAAACGTCGGATTCCTGGAAATTTATGTAGTGATGAGCACCAAGTTGCTTGGCAAAGGCAGCCTTATCGCTGCCTGTTGATATAGCCACGACCTCGTAGCCCATCTTATTCGCGTATTGGACAGCCAAGTGGCCAAGTCCACCCAGGCCTTGAACAGCAACAACAGCGCCTTGCTCGACATGCAGCTTTCGAATACCATTGAACACTGTAACGCCGGCGCATAAGAGGGGAGCAGTCTTGGCTGGATCAAGTTCCTTGGGGATACGAACAACTGCCTCTGTCCGTAGGAGCACGTATTCGGCAAAGCCACCGTCCTGCGTCACGCCGTTGATCACAGCGTTATCGCACAGCTGGAAGATGCTCCGCTGGCATTGCCGACAGATGCCATCATGGCCACCGTGCCAGGCACCGCCAACGCGCTGGCCTTGTTGAAATTGGGTAACGCCTGGGCCAACCTCTACAATGTCCCCGACCAATTCGTGACCGAGTACACGAGGGAAAACGTCGCCCATTTCGCCTGCCCCTATCATCACATCGCTGAAGCAAACACCACAAGCCAAGACCTTGACGAGGACCTGGTTAGCCTTGGGGTGTTGAAGGGGGACATCTGATAGTTCCCAGGTATCGTTGGCCGACTTTGTTACCACGGCTTTGTAGGTTTTTGGTAGAGAGGCCATGGTGTCTGGGCTTGGCTGGAATTTTGAAAGAACGTTGGTAGGTTTAGGCTTTAAGAAGATTGGTTTGCGGTGACAATCGGGGTATTTTCTACAAACTGTGCAAGTTCTAAGCGGAGGCTATATAATTTCACGAACAGAATACGGTCTGATTTCATCTCATCCACGGACACACCCAAGACTTCCCTTGTAGTCGGTGTAAAGGAAAACCGGTAACTAATCGATATAGTAAAACTCGAGGACAAGAAAGACGTGATGACAGCTGATGACAAAGTGATTACAATTTTTGACCTCAAGTCCGAATGCCAAATATTCAAGTGAAGCCGCCGAGTCGTTATCACCGCAAAATAAATTCGGCGATAAAAACTGGCGGTATTATCCCCCTTCGTGGGGGTCTCGTATATTTTTCGATCTGGCCGTCCGATCCGTGCGCCACATAATCACTCGGCCAATCTGCCAACTTGTTTCTATCCTCGCATATAAGCCCGGGGATAGGATATATGGCCTAGTGGGCTGGGTTACGTGTACTGGAGATGGTGATGATTGACCCAGATGCCTGTGTCGTATCGAGTTCATCGAGACAGCGGTTGTACTTGAAGGTTGCAGTCCATCTAGATAGATCCCAGCAGGATTGTGGATACGATTTGCGATATAAAATCAACATGGACTGGCTCTGCGAGCTAAACTTTGACGGCGAGAATGAATTGGCTTCGCCTGTGCACAAATCAATTCCGCCAAAACACATCCAGGACTTCTTCCACAATGGTACAGTGGGGATTCGAGACAGAAGGAAACGAAATCGTCGACAAATTCTCTGAAAATGTCAGGGGTAGGCGTTGTATGTAATATCCGTACGCACAAGCCTCTCGATCAAATGGCTGACCTGACCTTGAAGTTGTCATCACCGGGTCAAGCGAGGGTGGACTAGGAGCAGAATCAGCCTATTCTCTAGCCCGTGCATCCCCCGCCCAGATTGTCTTTATGGGTCGTTCGTGGGAGAAGACAAAGGCCGTGGTCGAAAAGGTCAAGTCTATCGGCTCATCCATCGACGTCAAGTTTGTCCAGCTTGAACTTGATTCGCTTGCCAGCGTGCGCAAGGCAGCAAAAGAAATAAACGATGACGCTTCCATTCCACAAATCGATGTATTGATGCTCAATGCTGGTGTCATGGCCCTGCCAAGTCCACAGTTGACTGAGGATGGGCTCGAAGCACACTTTGGCACCAATCATATTGGACACTTTCTTTTGGCAAATCTCATCATGCCCAAAGTAATGGCCGCCGCTCGGCCCAATCCTAATGGTGAAATCGGTGGTCCAGGTACTCCTCGCATTATTACCGTCTCCAGCTACGGAAACATATTCTCAGGCATTCGCTTTGACGATCTTAGCTTTGGAAATGGGAAAGATTACGATCCATGGCGCGCCTATGGCCAAAGCAAGTGTGCCAACATTCTGATGACGATTTCCTTGAATGAAAAATTCCGTTTGCGGGGCATCGTTGCGTATACTCTGAATCCTGGATGTGAGTTCACCGTGCAATGATGATGACAGCTTCAACTAACTCCAGCTACAAGCAATTCGAACGAGCCTTATTCGCCACTTAAATGACGAGTCGACAAAATCGTTTTTGGAATTGTTAGCACAGCATGGAAAGGAAAGATATAAGCCAAAGACACTACAGCAAGGCTGTTCTACTCAGTTGAGAGCAGCATTGGACCCAACTCTTCCAGGTAAGTTATGCATTACCACACGGGGATGAGATTCAATAGGTACTAAGCGCCTGATGACAGCCAACGAAGAGATTTTCTTCTTGCATGATACTCAACCTCTGTTAAAGGGAGAGGATCTGAAGGTCCTAGCGGCCCACTCGGCAGATATTGACCAGGCACATGAGCTGTGGAACCTCAGTAACAAGATTGTTGGGGAACAATTTTGATATCAAGATGAGGATGTTTCTGTCAAAGACTTGAAACTGGGAAAATGTAATGCCACGAGACTTTTGTCCTTATGACAACTGTGAATACTATAGCAAAGATAGAAATCAGCATCCAAGTGGCCAGTGGGAAGCACTCTAGGATATCTGCGTAATGATGAGCCCGATAGCTTGGCAAACACTTAGTTAGCACTATTGTGCTGAGACCCTCACATAAATCTCCTAGCTTTAGCGTAAGCTTACTGTGACATAGAAGAATTAATTACCAAAGAAGTAGAATTATTCTACAGAGTTTGGATATATGCTCATTTCCATTCATTTTAACATTTATACGGGAATAATTCCTTATGAGCGAGTCAGGGCTTGTAGTATCAGAGAAATGTGTATCATGTATTATACTATTAGGAAAAACTAAGCCAACTGCATTTTGCTTGCAGAGCTGGACCACGTCGAGTCCATCTCCCAACCAATCAACTCAACCGGCAATCAAGTCCGCGAAGCCACACATTTCAACAGACACAATACTCGCACCAGCTGTTCTGTTTCCACCAACAGGATTCGCCAACCCACCCGATGTACTCACAAAGAAAATATTGGGCTCAGCCCATCCCCGACCAAAGTACACGCTCGTACAGCCAGCAAAGGTAATGTCGTCCTCGCCGCCCAAGATAGTCCCAGCGTCTCCGGTGCTCACGTCAACATACAAGACCGAGTTGTCAAAGTTGGTGGCGGCAAGAATGTTGCCACGAGAGTCGAAAGCAAAGTCGTCAAGGCCGCGGGCAAGCGACGTCAAGTTGGCAACCATCTCTGGTGTAGCGCCTAGAGCAGGATAACCAGAGGCGGCCAGGGCAACGCGGTAGATGGTGGCCTGGAAAGCGTTGGTCCAGTAGAGATGACAGTCGTGGATACGGATGCCGTCAATGCCCAGTGGAAAAGCACTGCCTGGAAGAGGCTGCATCTCGGGGAAGACAAAGGCGTCAGGGTCGAACTCGCCCGTCTGGATGTCGAGATGGCCGACGCTGCCAGCTGCAGAGTCGGAAACGAGGACCGCGTGAGGGACGTCGGGGATGCTGACAACGCCGTTGAGGAAGATGCTGTTGGGGCTCATGTCGCTGACCTTGTCAATGCGGACGTGTTGGCGCTCTGTCGGCTGAAAGGTGACGGTCCAGGCGCTGAACGTGCCAGGGATGGGCTGAGACAGGCCAGTCGTATTGGCACCGACTACGACATAAGTTTCAAGCCCCCTGGGCACCGCTACAGGAGTGATGCCACCGAGGGAATCGACAAAAGTGAAGTTGGCAAGCAGCTCCAGGCCATTCGGGCCTTGCGGGGACTGTCGAATGGTGTAGATGGCGCCGTAGGGGAAGAGGAGCGTGGCGAGGATGTCGCCATTGGGCCGTACCGCGAGGTTCTCCAGCCAAGTGCCGTCTGGAAGCTGGCCGATGACCTTGGAAGAGAGGGAAACGGAGGATGCTGGCGAAGGGGCGGCGACCGTCAGGACTGGGAAGATCACCAGACTGGCTAGGAGGACCCTGAGAGGTTGCATCGTGGTGAAACCTTGGACTGACAACCAAGGAGGGTTAGTGTGAAGCAGAAGAGCGCGACGAGGAACAAATACATTTATATTAGTATCCCATGCATGTGTAGTCTGTCGACCAACGCACCACCATTGTTTATGACCCTTTTACTTTCATCCCTTGTTTACTGACTGACCAACCAACCAAGGGCGAATTAACTCCACATCAACCCCCCCAGCTGTTGCGCCATTGACAGGCTGAGCAAATCAGTCTTTGGCATGGACATTTTCTCCTTGGAGTCTTCTATAACCAGTTTCTCCGCTGAATCACGGATTGGCCGTCCAAGCTATACTGAATACCAGTAATGCTCTATCCCTTAGCTCCTAGAGAAGCGATGTAGGACATCGCGGCGTTATTATGGCCGGGCCGGAAAAGCCGTAACTGACTCTATGCTGACTTTGTCCCAACTCTATGAAAACATATAGTATAGACTTTATGTATTTGTGATGTACGCGTATGCTATCTTAGTCAAGCGCCTGTATGTCTGGCCGTCCAGTGAGATTCCTATGTATTGAACCAGGTCTCTGGATCCCGGACTTTGACGGCGTTAGGCTTTTAAGGTCCTAATTAACCTCATGACCACGTCTTTCGGAGTTGTAGTGTTTGTAAACTATTCGTAAGCCGCTTGGGCCTACTGGGTCAGTAAAAGAGGAGCCAATAATCACCTATTTACTGTGAGGCTTAGAGGAAGATAGGAGCTTATATAAAACAATGTAGGATGTCTGTCGGTTCTGTTCGTGGTGGTGTCAGCTGAATTTCTGGGTAAGGCTGCAGGGATAGGCGGGACTCGCTGGAACTCATCGTTTGACTCTGGGAGCTATCACAGGTGGAATTACGAAGTCGTTTTGTCATTCTTATGGGTTTGATGGAACCATCCAACGTGGTGGAGAGAATAAGTTACAACTTGGCAGTTGTTAGAACATAAGGTAGGACACGGATCAATTTGATGAGTTAGGTCTAGAGGGGTGGTGAGTCACAATTACCTTTCGCCTCAGCTATAGTGAGAATAATTATTAAAGGCTACGAAGAAAGCCGCGGAACAATGCTTAGAAACTCTAAAACTGAAGGTGGAAATGTAGCTTTTTAATACTACCTGTAGATATGATACCATTTAGCCGCTATAATCACCAGCCTCTTTAGCTTTGCCATTGTGAAGGGCCCGCAGGAAAAAAGAAAATGAACTTTCCGCTTTTCTTATCATGCAATGAAGGTTTTAGCAGTAGTACACCTGGTTTTCTTTTTATAAAAAAAATAATGTTTCTCGAAGAAACTTTGAGGCCTCTATAATTCCAGAGGGAGGAACCTAATAAATGTCTGCGGCTGGAAATATTTCTCCAAGGATATATCTCCGACATGAACCAAAACATACCCGACTTCTCCGTCATCCCCGATGGAGAGAGAGCGGCAAAATCTATGGGGAAAAAGTGTAAAGAAAAAAACGTAGGTGTAACATCCCTTTTGTTCGTCTTTCATTTGACTCACACTCTATCCATTGATTTCGCCCAAGGAGACTTACTTTGTTATGGGTAGCATTTGCAATATTTTACATTTTAATACTTCAAATCTGATTACTGAATTCATTCCACCATAACTCTCACCACGAATATGAAACTCAATGGCAGGCCTTTCCATACTTTCGTAAACGGAGATAGTTGTATGGCAACGGGGCGAAATACCCAGCAGCCATGGACACCGCTGCCGCCATCCAAAAGTTTGGATCTCCCAAGGCCACTACGCCGCCCGTGAGATGGTAGTCGACGATATTCTCTGCGGCCTCCATCGCCACCATCGACACCATACTCATGCCCATCGCAGTACGGACCGCCATAGGCCAGGAAAGTTGGTCGACTCCACGCCGGAGTAAAACGCTTTCAACGATGATTGAGGTTGTGATGCCAGACACCACTGTGTAGATGTTTCAGTCTTTACGTATCCTCCTGGGAAGTTTCCTTAGAAAAGGTTCAGGGCGAAAACTTACTGGATGCGGCCATTATTGTGGTCATGCCGAGTTCTGGATAGTAAGTTTGCAGCATCCATAGTGCGGAAAAATCACCGAGCGTACAGCCCGCCAGACAACGCAGCGTGTTGATTCCCGCTCGTCTCCAGGTCGTCCGGCAGCTCCAGAAGGGGAGGCGCCACACTGACCGCGATGTGGCCGCCGCAGGAGTTGTGCTCTTTGCTTTCGTGGTATGGCAATCTGTCTTCTCGTGCGGTGCTTTAACTTGATCGGAGTAACAGGTTCTCCATACGAGCGGAGACTTTGAGAAGAATTGAGGCCGTAGAGTAATCTTGAGGCGAGTAGGACTTGGACGCCAGTGGCGGAGTAGAACAGTCGCGTTCATATTGTAGATGTGTAAAAGTGAGGCGAAGAATCCACCAGGAAGAGGATGTTCAACTCTTTTTAAGCTTCGATAGAACTGAGAACCTAAATATTACATGAATGATGATCTACGCTATCTGAATGCGGCGTTTCGATAGCTCCGCCCGCACAAATAGCGCAATACCCGAGACTCTTCGGATCAAAGTATTCAGCCTATCACAGTGGCTGGGGAACCTTGAGGCCCGAAAACTGGGTTATGGATGCTAGTGGCATATCCATATCTCGCAGCCTCATCCAGGGCGCCATTAACACAGTGGCGTCCTGGAGATTCGTCTGGTGGATAACAGATCCTTTTCCTCTCTTGTAGGTCTCCACAATCGCAGGGCTATAGTTATACTTTTGTTACTTTTTTTTGATCCTGATTGTTGCAATTGCCTCACGATAATGTGAGAGACATTGATTATGAAGACTGGAAACAGTGAGGCGAACAGCGTGAACTTTGTTCGATGCAGGCTCTTATATGTGGATATTTTGTGGTGGGACAGGGTATGGGATGCTTCTAACTGTAAACTCAATCTTTCTCTTCATCGCCTGCGTGTATATATAACTCCTCTATGATCCCTTTATTGCCCATCCTATCTGAAATTTTCAGTGATTAGCCATTGATTGTTAGATAATCACTTCTCTTGTCTCACATTCCCCAACCCTGCTCAGGAAGCCTACACTGCCCAAGATGTCTGCCAGCAACAGGTTTTCTGACGGTGACGACGACAGAGCAATTCTATCAATCATCAATCACGTCTTTCTCCCTCCGAAGCTTCCTGACAATGGAGACAGCGGCAGAACTATCTCAGACGACAGCGCGCTGCTTCGCCTGGTGATTTCAGCACTGCGAGAATTTCAATGCCACGTGAACTCTCCGCGCTATCAATGGGTTAATGACGCTGAGGAAGCAATGGTTTGCTTTCAAAGCGTCAGATCCGAGTCCGGGTTTATTGACGGGCAGAAGCTTGCTGAGCTTCTGCATTCTCTCGATCTTGACCGAACAATGGACAACGACTCCAGGCCAAATGTGCTGCTACCATTGCACATAAAGGCTCAAAACGCCGGGATCATTATTGGAAAAAACCAAGATTCAATAATACTGGAGGCATTTGAGCTTTCTCCAACAAATGGAGCTGTCATGGGAACTGTCGGTCGGCTTCAACGTCATTTTCCCGCATCGTCCATCTCGATTCCCGTCAAGAGATTCTGTGAAAGTGGGTTTATACAAGCCTTTACAGATACTATTGACAAAATGAGTCGCCAAGAAGTTGCTGAAGCGAAACCGAAAATTCTCAAGGCAGGTCAGTTTCACATTGAGCATAGGGATACAACGGATCCCTTCCTCGTCACTGATTTTCTTAATGCCGTCCTTCTTGTTTTCGCCAAGGACGCCATGCCGGCTTCCTCCATCTCTAAAAACACTCGAGAAGAGGTTGTCTGGAAGACCGCCTCAATGCCCTGGCAAAGATCTCCAGTCTGGCTTATGATTCGAGTTACTCTACAACTACTTTTTGAACGGCTTCACTCAGACAGACTCCTCTATAAAGAGTTTATGATCTTCCTAATGACATATGCTCTGAACATTGCGCGGAAGAGGGAATTCTCAAGTGATCTTTTACATTGTATGATGAGTAAGATTGGGAGACGGCTGAAAAAGTTGGGCGATGATTTCCAAGACCCCTGGGTCAGAATCGCTCATGATGAGCTTAGACAAACCAAGGATTGCCTTCAGCGACGCTGGGAGTCGATATGCGAAGAAAAAGATGCTGATGTGGACCTCAATGATCTATCTATGCGAATATTGCCTAATGAGGCATCGGAGCCATATCCGAGGTTGGACGCCTTCATTCGCAGCATTGATGCCAGAGAGGATGATCAATACATGAATACGTTCAGGGCGCCATGGATATTCCGCAAGTATGACCAGTCAAGTATCCCAGACTTGAAAGATCTACCGGAAAAGAGCATCATCCTTCACTTGTCAGCCTTTGAGAAATGGGTTGAGTCGTCTTTACCTCATTGGATGAGCGAGGCCAGGGCCAACGAGAATACATGCACCCAACTGTATGATTTAGCCAAAGAGTACCATCGTCTCTCACAAAAGTACTACTCTGGGTGTCCAAAAAGTTTGTCAATTGCATCGTTGACAATCTTGGAGCTATGGATGGCCTGCGACAGGTCAGTGTGCAACCAGATTCCTCTTCTGAAAGAGTACAGCCCCGAGATTCCAGCTGAGCTCTTGCAATCGCTATTGCTCCACTCTTGTGATCACTGTCTGAGGTTAGCTGATCTCGAGAAATATATCAATGGGCGTTTGTCTGGAATCTCTTCGATATTCTCTTCATTTGGACATAAAAACTCATTCTCAGTTCGGTATTGCGCTGAGTCTGCCCTTCATCAGACGCTACGCACCGATATTGAAATGGTTGCGATGCAAGAAAGAGAGCGCAAACGAAAAGAGTATTATGAGAAACTTGGAGAATACAATGATCTCAAGCAGGAATCCTCCAGTCTCCATTGCGAATTCGTTACATTTGTGAACGAAACAACGGGAAGAGTGAACCAATATCACAGCGGCAACTGCAGGAAGCATCTCTTAGACGAACGGGCTGATGAGCTTACCATCGACATCCACGAGTGGCCTCTTCCGACTAATGAACTTGAGGTTTGGTCAGCCGTCTTTGAACTGAATGTTCCTCCTCGTTTCGGGGCATGGAGAAGCTTGACAATGTTAGTCATAAACGATGTCCTAGAGTGCGATTATTCTGGGTCCAGAAGAGACGAGGTTGTGGACCATCTGGGTGAACATCTTTTACCGTATTTCACGGGGGATACTCACAGATTAGGGCTGGCATCGACAACAAAGTTAAACAAACGAACGCATCGTCATGAGAAACAGATCAAAACATGCTCAGGTGAGGGCGATGTTTTGGTCAGGAACGGCCTAAGTTACGAATATTACGATAATGTTCGGCTATGCTTTGTTTCACGATTTACAAACGAGAATAAATTCTCTACAAGTCTCATGTTCAAGCTGTCGGAGCCAAATAATGCTCTTCAAGACTTCATCTTTCGACCACCTGGACGAGAAAACGGACCGCCTCCGAACCATGTCTTATCTCAACAGTGCGATTACTCACATGAGATTTCACTTGAAGAGTCCAAGGCAATGGCCAGTCTACCCGTTGGTTATAGCATTCAGTGGGAAAATATTCTTGTGCAGCTATTTTCGCCCAAGGTCGACTTTAACAAGTCGGACACTGCTCTCATGATAATGCAGATAATTGACCAAGCAGGTCTACCACATTTTGGCTCTACCTATAGGGCCAGCCATCAACAACTTTCCGACGATGCTTTTCTTGAGAGGCTTCTTGAAGGCCTATATCTTTCAGTGGATAGGATACACAAGAACTGGGAGTCCTATGTAGCGCTGAGTACCTTTATCGCCATCGCAACCAGAGTTCGGAATTGCTGGGTGAAGATACAATTGGGCGACAAATACCACCAGTTTCTTAGGCGATGTCGCCAAGTTGCCATGAGCTGGATTACTCTGCTGCAAGACAAGTTATCTGGATACAACAAGGAAGAACAGCGCCAGGAGTTTTATCTCATCATCTCGCAGATGGCACTCATTTGCATTGCATCTTTTGATCTGGACAGGATGCAGTTGAGACGGACGCTCTCAGATGCCGAGCAGATGGATATACTAATGCGCTCGTCGATTATTATACAGAGTCTCTCTCGCGGAGTTGGCAAATGCACTGAGCCCTTGTACACGTACCTGCTATTGCAAAAACAACGTGTTTTGTACAAGTCTCATGAAATCATTCTTTCCCGGACTCTTGATGGGCTGAATCAAGGGTTGAACCTGGCAGTGAAGAAAACCTTGCCTTTTTATAACGGACAAGGCATGTGGAACGCATTATCCAAGGATGAATACCACTGGTTAGAGACGAAAACCACTTCAGGCAATGGCAAAAGCTCTTCGTCCATTCAGATAAATGTCTTGACTGGAGAGCTGTTGGTCAACGGCTTGCCGCCTTCTCGTCTTCCGTTGTCGTACGAGGAACACCCGGTATTTGAAGAGCTACTGGGGAGGGAAATGATCAACGTCATGCCCGCGGATGTTCCCGGAACATTCTTCTCATCAATGAAAAGGCATCGCAGTTATAATCTCGCATTCGGAATGAATCATTCCAGCCCTCCAGAGCTCATTATTGTGGCATCAAACGATATTGAGACTCTGGATCTAGTTCCTCGCAGCGTCTTGATCGCCAGTTTACCAGAGAGCTTCATCACCAACCATGTTCACTGGTATAATCGCCAATCAGGCCTCGTTGAGTTTCGGCCCGTGGAATCAGCATGGTGTTCTTCGGATTCCAACTGGTATTTAGAAGATACCGGATCTGAATGGGTTCTTCAAAGGCCAGGACAGACCCTCATCTGCCCTACTTCGTCTACCACGAAGAGGATTTGCCAAACTCTGCGCTCATTGGAGGAAGAGACTCATATACATCTCATCCTTGACGATATCACGTCAACTCTCAATATCCATTTACCACGCCTTCAGCTGGACTTTTCCATTCAACACGCCTCTTCTAGAGTTCGTTGCCGGCAGTTTCGTGGAATGTATGTGGACAAGGTTCAGCAAATCGGCACCTTGGTTGGCTTCCAGAGCAAGTTGACGCTACGCGACAGCAAAAACAAGCGGATGATCCTGGTTCCAGATGGCGATGTTTACTATTCGGGCGTTCCAGGACATGTACAAGTTGGGGTTGCATATGGCACTTCAGTCCGTGTTCACCCATTTACTATAGACACAAGACTGGGCCGTTTAGTCGACAATGGCAGCTTGCAGAGTAAGCTTTGCCTGGCCTACCTCCATGGACTCACATCATATTGTCTGCCTGATAGCCTCACTGGTAAAACGGGAACTGAGCAGTGTCTGTCCATTCTCAACTCCGCCGCCGTCCGATCCTTTCAGCAACTATCAGAAAAGGACCTTGATATTCTCGGACGCATCTCAAGATTATCACCCGGGAGGAAATATTATCCAAAGGATGTGCGAGAAATGGAGACCATTGACTGGGATAAACAGCTCAGCTTCCTATCGCAAGCAGGATCACTGCATACCGCTGTGCAGTCAGTGATAGAAGGGGTGAACCAAAGCACGCTTTTTTACCCTGATCGACCAGCTGCATACACCATACGAAATCACGTTAACGGAACCCTTGGACTACGACACCTAATAAGAGATTCAACCTTTTGCGTGTCTGGGTTCGGCGCCGAGAGTCACACCACTGCTGAAGACATGCCATACAAGTCTCGGGATGGCGTGAGAAACGGTGAAAGATCACGACGTGCGTTTGAAGTTGCCACCATGGTTGTTGAAGGCCGAAGAACGATTCACATGCCTATAAGTCACGCATTCACCGGACATATGTGGGACTTGCTTAGGAATAAGTCGGGCACTCAAGGTCCGGATACTCCCTTGCCTCATGAAGAAATTGGTTATGACTGCAAATGGCTTTCGAACGCGGATGCAATTTTTGCAGACTATTGGTGTCGCTTTCACCACAGTTTTCGCAATGGAGAGTCACCGTTTTGCCGCTTTCAATTAATGTTTTGCGCTGCAACCATGGCATATGCTAAAAATCACAACGTTGCCGCTGTTCAAGCTCTTGTAGCTTGTGCAAATACTCCGTCCATCGGCTCTCTCAGGGTCCCCGATGTGGATGTATTTGACATGCCTGCGGGACGTATATTCAATGACTTGCACATCAAAAGTATCGCGTTACAACATGCGATACCTTTTGGCTTCAGCAAAGAGGCGTCTTTACCATACTTGGACAATGAGAACTACTGGGAAGGAAAAGAAAGGCGATCGAAAGTCTTTGAGAGCAATCAGTCTGATGCAGTCGCGCGTTTCGTATCCAAATTACGAGAGCAATGGGTTTGTGACATGCCAGTGACGCCAGATGATGCACACTGGTCCAGTTATATATTTACTTCGAGAGCTAGGGACGGTATTCTACCGATTTGGCGGAAATGGTATGACAACTATGAACTTTTCGAGTACTTGGAGACATTGGGTGACCGTCTTCGGTTGCTCAAAGTACAAAGGATATCGATGCCGAATATTGCCGGGCCCCTGCCAGCCCCAGCACCTGTGTCTTGTAGGGGTTTTGTCAACCAGGCAGATCTGTTTGATCACCACACTCCGTCACCAAGGGCTTTATCAGACACTCTGTTGGACCTACTGGACGGAGAAACTGTGTCTCAACAGCCTCACGAGAAACTAGGACAACTTCTTGACTTCCTGCGGCAACATGCATCGCGGGATTCCGAGCACAGATACATTCAAGATCTCGACGACAGCCAGAGATCCCACAGCCGCACCGTTACATCGTATATAATAAGACTGGACACGGAGACGCTTTTCCACATTCTTAAAGATTACTTGACGGAATGTGAACACAAGAGCGACTGGATATACTACTCACTCAAGGAAGCAACTCGCACAAATGGCGATCCCGAAATTTGCACAACATCAGCATCGTTGCTTGCCACGGTGTTTACGGCACCGAGAGTCTCACCCACGTTTTTCCTCGGTCAGCTTGCCAGAGAAAACTGGAAAAGCCTTCCGCTAAGATGGAGGCGAGTAATCGTCATCTACGCGCAGTCATTGACAATGGTTCAGAGAGCCGAGAGAATGCTCAATCAACATGCTAATCACACAGAGCTAATCAAAGAAATACAGAATACAGGCCATACAAACTGGGATCCGATGGACTATCCCGAATCACTGCTTTTGGAAGTTGAAAGCGGAATCATGATTCGCGAGGTGCAAGAGAATATTGCGTCGAAGATGCGAAGCCCACCTCGGAACCAAAATGCAACTATGCAGCTAAACATGGGCGAAGGCAAGTCAACAGTGATTTTACCAACGGTTGCCTCGTATTTAGCGGACGGTTCACGGCTTGTTTGCGTAATCGGCACCAAACCTCAGGCCAAGGAATTGTTTCGAATGCTGACGTCCAAGCTTGGAGGGCTGATGAACCATCAAGTTTATCAAATGCCGTTCTCGAGGTCGCTCAAGCTGACGGAATCTGATGCTCAAACAATCTGTAACTTTTTGAAGAAATGCTCCGAGACTGGCGGCGTTCTTCTGATGCAGCCTGAGCATCTGTTGTCGTTCAAACTCATGGGGATCGAGAATTGTCTCAACTCTCAAGAAGAAGTTGGCCAAATTTTGCTCAATGTCCAGCACTACTTTAACACTCATTCGCGGTTTATTGTCGATGAGAGCGATGACATATTCAGCATCAAATTTGAGCTCATTTACACGATCGGATCACAAGTCGCCATTGATCTGAGTCCAAATCGTTGGATCATCGTACAACGTGTGCTCAGCATGGTAATGCGAGCTGTGCACCTAATACGAGACAAACTGCCTCAGTCTATCGACATTTCCGATTCGAAAAGAGGACAATTTCCACGCATCCGTATCTTGCGCCAAAATGCAGAGGACATGCTGTTGAGCTTGCTTGCTGAAGAAATCTGCACTGTTGGGGTTCCAGGATTACCTATAATGAGACAGCCGCCCGCTATCAGGGAGTGTGTTCGTGAGTACATCTCGAACAGCAGTCTAGATGCGAATCAGATCAACTCTGTCGAAGTCGAGTCGGGATTCTTCACAGAATCCATCAAGGGGCCTTTACTCCTCATCAGAGGATTGATCGCCGAGGGAGTTTTGAGCTTTGCATTCAGACAAAAGCGCTGGAGGGTGAATTACGGCCTGGATCTAAATCGCACGCCGAAAACTCGACTCGCTGTCCCCTATCGAGCCAAGGATAGTCCCACGACCAGATCCGAATTCAGCCATCCTGACGTTGTTATTGTGCTGACCTCACTTACCTACTACTACGGCGGTCTCTCTGATGACGATCTGTTCGCTAATTTTGATCATTTATTACGTGCAGACCAAGCTGAGGTGCAATACCAGGACTGGGTGCTTGATGCCCCCGATCTACCAGACGCCTTCAAGAGTCTGGCTGGAGTAACCATGAAGGATCGCCACCAAGCAATTCATGAGATATTTCCTCACTTTCGCTTCGCAAAGAATGCCATCGACTATTTCTTGTCACACATTGTTTTCACCAAGGAAATGAAAGAGTTTCCCGAAAAGCTATCAGCTTCAGGCTGGGACATAGGCCAGATCAAAACACTGCCCACCACTGGTTTCAGCGGAACCTGCGATTCGCGCAATCTCATGCCTCTCCACATGAAGCATCTGGATCTTACAGAGCAGCGTCATACTAATGCACTGGTTCTTTCTAATATCTTGCAGCCAGAAAACTCGGTGGCCCATGTGCGAAAGGCTGACGGTACGCAGAATTCAGACGCTGAAGCCCTGTTGGATTTGGTCATCTCAATGGAACCGCCTGTCCAAGTCATTCTTGACGTTGGCGCCCAAATACTTGAGCTTACCAATCTTCAATTAGCCACTACTTGGCTTGAAAAGATGTCAGAGAGTCAAGGGAAGAAGGCGGTGGTCTATTTCGATGACAATGACGAGCTTTGTGTGGTTGATCGCCAAGGGCGCGTCGAGAGTCTTCAAACATCACCATATGGACAGCAATTAGATGTTTGTCTGGTATATTTAGACGAAGCACATACAAGAGGCACTGACCTTAGACTTCCGACCAATTATAGAGCGGCTGTCACTCTGGGCCCCGGATTGACCAAAGACCGACTCGTACAAGCTTGCATGAGAATGCGAAAACTTGGCCAAGGGCAATTCGTCGTTTTCTGCATATCCGATGAAATCCAAGCGAGAATCCTCAAGCTGAGAGGAGAGGATAGCAATCGTCCAATCCAGGTGCTCGATGTCTTGGCCTGGGCAATTCACGAAACATTCGTAGATCTTCATCGATGCATTCCGATGTGGGCAGTACAAGGCTGCCGATTCGAGAAACAACGTGTCCTCTGGGAATCGGTCACAACAAGTGATGGTATCCAGTTGCCTTTAGAACTGGCGCAAGAGTTTTTGGAAACAGAGATGCAGTCATTGGACGACCGATACAGGCCGCGCAACACTGATCAACAACCGGTGAACCCCTCTAACTTTGACGAAACTCCACAGACAGAACTTATTTGGAAGCGGTGTGTCGAGTTTGGAAACACTCAGCTTCGTTCCTCAGTGTTATGGGAAGAACAGGAACGAGAACTATCACCCGAAACCGTCCAGGAGAGGCAGATTGAGAGACCACGACCAATTGAGCCTGAAGAACACACGCGTGATCCAAGACTTGTTGACTTTGTAACTTCTGGACTATTTGTCCCTTCAGAGCCATTCTTTCCGGCATTTCAGGCTCTCGGGAAAACGCGTGCTGCTCAGTTATTGGATATCAACTGCTTTCCAGATGATATTTACGTCACCCAAGATTTCATGTCAACAGTCATATTAACACGAGATGTCGACAACGACGACTTTTACCAGCGCTCGGTGCAGTGGATATTGAGTCAAGCACAGCCAGACGGCACCGTGCAACGTCTGGTGATTATTAGCCCGTACGAAGCACAGGAGCTGAAGTCACGGATAACCCGGTCGCAGCATGTACATTTGCATCTCTACACACCACTACCGAGCCTGGCATACACTTCGTTAGAAAGCCTGAAGCTTTACTCGACACCTGCCCTTCCGGACAATTGGCGTCTTCCTTCTCGGTTGCGGATTTTGCTCAATCTCTTTAGTGGTCAACTATACATCACTTCGCAAGAGGATTACCATGAAGTTTGCACACTGCTCAACTTGTCATATGGTCCTACTGAAGATGGCGTTACGGTTGAGCCCGATGGATTCATTGTTTCTCGGTCTGGCGATGCGCTTACCAAATTCAACAAGAGCCCGATAGTGTTTCTGAAAGCTTTACTGGCGATACGGTGGAACTCGGAAGTGAATGATAAAACTCACTGGGGGAGTATTTTAAGAGGAGAGCTGCTAAGGAAAGAAGACTTTCCAGTCTAGTGATAACAATATTGTAAATTAGTCTTGGAATTAGTATAGTTCTTCGATGAGTATAATATCACTCATGAATCATGGTTTCCAAGAATGGATGTGGTGGGCTTGCTTGGTCCACAAGAGATCAAGCTATAATGATTAAATATTGTTTTCTGCATTTAGAAATATTGGAATTCAATTTACTATTTCGATGATACACAAGTAGCATCTTATCTACATGGAGGTTATATTTATTATCAAGAGGTTCAGTAAAGCTGCAACATCTAGGTCAGAGAGGAAGGCTACGCCCCAGCCTTTACATCTTATCTACATGTAATTTATCCAACACTCTCAATACGACACTCACGTTATTTTAACTACAACTACTCCACTCTGTCACCGAAGAATTCTAACTTATCAATCATCATTGGCCATATTCTCACGCACATCACGGTACCAGGAATGTTGTTAGGCATTTTATCGGACATTATATTGCGCATTCCAAAAGGCGTTTCAACAGGCACCCCATCAGGCATCCTCAGTGGCAATTTTCTAGTCTTCCAACCTTTGAAATTCCAGCCTAGGTAATGTACATATAAGACCCCCTTCACTTATAGCTGTGTCCACTCTGTTTGTAAAGACATCGGCCATGTTATCAGTCACGAACAACTGCAAAGTTTCACAGCTATCCGAGACGCTTGATGTCGTATTGAGAGAGAAGAAATGCCTACAAGCCCTTTGAAGACAGACAGAGTGTTCGATTTCTTGAGGATTACCAGATCCTGTCGCTCGTACCACCCACACCATTGTGAAATCCCCACACCGGTAACGACTTGCAGGACAAGGCAGCCAATGAACTCAGGAAGTAGTATTTTCTTTGATTGAGTAATTCAATATACATTTATGACTGGCTGAAGGTATTGCTAGACTTACCAATTACGATCAAACACGTTGCTGCTGTATTAATGCCTATATGAATGAGGTACATGTACATGGTATATTTTAGGCGAGCTGCTGAATATATGCAAGCACAATATTCTTTACTATAAAGCAAATTGGTTTCCGCCTCTAGTATTTGTTATTATAGACAGTTCATTTTAACTATATATCTCTTCTCTATCGCCGACGCCATCTATATTATGTCTGAGTTCAAGTCCAAAAGTTCCGGCAAATGGGCATTACTCATTGCCAGCCCATTTGTTTGGCTCAAGGGGCCGATGAATGATGTTGCCACTATGAAACTACTCCTCGATCAATGCGGGTTTGAAGCTATTCTATGTTGTGGCGAAGAGGCAGTACGAAAAAATATTCTTGAGTCTTGGGAGAAACTTATCGCCAAAGTGAAGGAAGATGACGTCGTTGTGGTGTTTTATTCTGGCTATGGTGGACGAGTTGAACCCCGGTTGACGGAAGATGCTACTGCTAGAGTCGTTGCTGAGACGGACCGGCCTGAGCAGTACCAGTTTATTGTTCCAATGGATTATAAGAGTTCCGGGGAGTTCAAAGGCATTCTGGATGTGGAGATATCAGTTCTCGTGCGGCGAACGACTGATATTACCAAAAACGTGACAGTCATCTTCGATTGCTGCTACTCGGAGAATATACTCAGCGATCCGTGGCATAATGAGAGTGCGACCCCGAAAGGACTCCCCCTTGTACTGCGTAGGGATTTGTCTATCAATATGCAGCAGCTCCGATATAATGACTTCGACTTTGAGAAATACATAAACCTAGCGGTCAACGAAAACCCCGTTTGGATTGTCGCGGCGGCAGATTCAGAGACGGCGTGGGAATACATCGATGAACAGGGCAAAACTGTTGGTGCCTTGACTAAGGCTCTAGTCCCAATATTGAATCAGGCGTTGAAAGCTGGTGTCTCCTGGAAGGACATTTTACCCAAAATTCGCGAGCAAGTAAATTGCGAATTCCCCCAACAGCATCCCCAGGTGGAGGGAGCATGCACGCGGATGATATTTTCCAAAACGACAAAAGATCCATCTACTCTTGATGTTTTAGAAGAGTACAGGGAAACATTTATTAATGCTGGGAGCCTCGCTGGGGTTAGGGCAGTCAACACCTATGTTCTGACGCGACGTGGATATGGCGAGACTATGGAAGAAAGAAACCTTGCACAGGCGACTGTGGAGAGTATTACTGGCTTACGAAGCCACTTTCCCCCCCTTCCCCCCCCTTGGAGATTTGAACTTCCAGAAGATGGCCCAGTGGCGATCCTCAAGACTGAGGGCCCGTTACGATGGCCTGTTGCCTTAGATGGCGAACTTGAGCCTTTCAACAAGGGACTCGTGGAATCAAGATTCCTCAAGCCTCAGGACAGAAATACCGAGACTTTTGTGATTGCTCATATCCGCAAATGTGAGAATGCCATATGTGTGTTTAACGCATCCGGCATCAAGTATGGCTCATTCACTCTCGGGGTAGAGGGGCGGATCCAGGACGAAGTAGAGCATGCAATTAAACTTGCAGAGCAATCTGCTCGGGTGCATCACCTATTGACACTTAAACCATCCCTCAAGGAACGGCTTAGCCATAAGCTCGATATTCGCTTGTCGTCTGTTTCGGACACCGGGCTGAATCCTATTAGGTTGGATGGACTGGGAAAGATTGCTGTTGGTGATAGAGCAAAACTATTCTTACAGAATTTTGGAGCGGAGACCATATTCGTAACGCTGTTCAACATCACCGTTATGGGAGAAATCTTTCATCTATCACCTTCATCTCAAAAAGGAATTCAACTTGCGGCGCGTGGAGTATACGCATACAAACAATGGCAATCATCAGAAGCAACGCTAGATCTAGAAGGACCCTGGCTAGGAGGATTTCCTGAAGATTTTGTAGCGCCAATACCCGTGTCATTAGTGTGCATTGTCACAAACAGTCCGGTTGACCTTCGCGATTTTACTTCAGAGCGACAGAGACATGCTCGTGAGAGCACGTCACAACTTGAGAGACTTGTACATCAACTAGCCCACGGATTATCTCGAGATTACGAAGCGGAAGCAAAACAAAAAGTCCCCTGCGTTAAGTGGGATATACTCATCTCATCATTGCAGCTACGGCCACATGATCGTAATTGGGACCTGTTGGAAGCCGCAATGCAAGGCCAAACGACGAGAGTAAAACAGCTTCTCTCTGGAGCTGATATCGACATAAATTTCAAGGATAAAAACAATCGAACGCCGTTATTGTGGGCGGCGGAGAATGGGAATCCGACACTCGTCGAAGTACTACTCGCCACGGATGGTATCGAGCCAAATATTCAGGATATAAGTGGGCAAACGCCGCTACTATTGGCAGTGAAGAATATGGACGAGCGGACAGCCGAGTTGCTCCTTGCAAAGGACGGAATCGATCCAGATATTAAAGATAAATATGGCCAGACGCCACTATCATGGGCAGCAAAACACTGTCACACGCAGATAGTCAAATTGCTCCTTGAAAAGGACGGTGTCGAGCCAAATATTGAGGATGAAAATGGTCAAACTCTGCTATTATCGGCAGTGAAAAATAGTCATGAGGAGGTAGTCAAACTACTCCTTGCTAAAGACGGTGTCGATCAACATGTGAAGGATAGACATGGTCGGACACCGCTATCGTGGGCAGCTGGGAACGGAGATAGGGAGATATCAATCCAACTCCTTGAACATGGTGTCGAACCAGATGTTAAGGATAATTATGGCCGGACGCCGCTGTCATGGGCAGCTGGGAATGGGTACGAGCGGATAGTCATCCTACTCCTCGACTTAGAAGGAGTTGACTTGAACTCTAGAGATACGTTTGGTAGGACACCACTGTGGTGGGCAGTTGGCAATGGGCAAACAGCAACGGCCAAGCTGCTACTCGACCGAGGTGTGGTGGATCTGTCCTCTAAAGACAGCTTTGACCATTCGATAATATCGTGGGATACAGACACCGGAAACGAGGCAGCGGTCGAACTACTTATCCTGAACGTTGAAGCAGATGCTGCAAATATCAAACCTCTCACGTCCCGGAAAGGCTCTGGACAGAAGGTTGACCGCAGTGAACGGAATTTTATGAGGATGGGAGAAGGCTTTATTGACTTCGAAAAACATCTTGCTTCTCTGGTCAGGTATACCCACATGGAATTAAAAATCAATTGGGAGGTACCACAAGCGATGCAGTTATATCGAAATGGAGTGCACTTTTCGACAATTCTAACTATCAGCGGAAATGAGACGGATGCGCAGGCCGCCGTTTGTAAAGGCTATGCCTTGGAGCATTTTCCTAAAACTGGTAAAGTCCTTTTAGATTATGTCCAAGCTGCATGGGATTCAGAGGAAAGCTTGCATGGCGATGAAGAAGTCAGCGAGAGTCTGAACAAAGTGTCGGTACGCTTTAAGCACTTGCAAGACTCAGAATACCAAACGGCTATTGTTACTGCGTCAGGAACCTTGGGCGATCTCACAGAATTAGCAAGAGCATTTACATGGCTCTGCTGCGCTATACGGCCCGCCCAGTCAGGGAATATCTGCCTTTCTACATTCCAGTTTTGTCTCTATACGAGGAGAGATTCACCGGACTCTGTTATCATCGAAGTGCAGCTTCTACCATTACGAGAGGCAAATAACCGCAAGAGTTGCTGGCGTGACTTGTTTACAAACGCAATTATCGCTTTAGATGCCCCTATTTCCGACCGCAGCCGATTCAGAGAAATAGGAGGGAACAGAAGAGGTAAGTTACGTATTATTAAGACAGTCTTTCCTTGGTTACTTTTGCATAAGCCCATTGTTGCTCACGCTCAAATTAGACTTTTCTATACCAAAAGGCCTCGATATTCCATTTGACATTATGGTTAATCTAGCCGCCGTTAATTATCCTTTTGAATACGAGGATGGCATTGTCTTGAAAGGGTCAGCTACCCTTTTAGCAGCCACAGCGGCATGGGAGACTCACGCTGGGACTGCATTTCAGTGGCACTTGGTCAGCGATGGGGGAAACGGTATATCCCTGTCTGAATACACCGACAAATATCACATCTACCAAGGGGAGGGAAATTCGGCCTCCTTTAAGCTTGAACTTCTCAAGAATGCTACTCGCACCTTTCTTGGCTGGTGCGGCTCTTATTTAATTCAGCTCGCCAACGTGGACCCGGCTGCTATTGAAGTGACTCAACTGAGCGGTGCGGGTGCTTTTCTTATTCTGAAGAGCCTCGGAATCAATGCGGGTGTTTCAAAATCTCCTGCTTCTCTCGCGGCTAGCGTTACGTTCGAAGTTCAAAATGACAGCGTAAGATTTTCGAGAGAGACCAGGTTCCACGAAATGATTACCAGGTCCCTTACATCTCCGACTCTTTTATATGAACCTGACGAGCAACGTGGATGGCTGGTTCCGCAGTTCTCGGTCCTGGAATGTATGGCTGTTGTACACAGATCCAAAAACGGACAATCGACATCACTTCCCAATGGACAGTCCAATCTGCATGAAATAAAGGCCATGCTTCTCCAACATCTCCGCAATAATGGGCTTAGAGACTTACTCAATGATACTGCGAATTGGGAGAGAAACACATTTCTTCTAAAAGAGTTGCTGTGCGACTTGAGCCAAGTCCTAGAATGGGCTGAAGAGCATTCTCGTCGTCAACGCAGATTAAGCGGCCTATTCAAAAGCACAATTTATGGCCTTGAGTTCTACAAACTCGCGTTAATGGATCCAAACCATCGTATCAAAGGACATCGGATTGCCGACAAACACGGCGGTTGGATCGAACTACTCAACCAAAGTATAATCAAGGGGGTCATATTCTATAAAGGGCTTGGAGATGTCATTCTTGCGCCTAAACAAGTTTGCAAGAATTGGTCAACTGTCCCAAGGGACCAGTGCTACCTAGGTGCTATAAGTTCATGCCTGGAGCATCTCCGAATACATGGCGACCTTTCTGGAAAAAGATGGAGCTTTGATAAAGAAGTATTTAAATGGTGCTCGGAATGTGACTCATATCACCATTACCTATTCGCTTTAAGTACATCACTTGTAACAACTACAGCTGGTAATAATAAACACCAGAATGGTGCTATTATATTTGGCAGGTAATTATGAAACTAAGCCAACTATTGAAATTGATCGAAATTTAGATGACCGTTTACATTGAATTAAAACAACAGTAGAAACACTTGTGACATTAGTTATAGACCACTTTTACTTTACGAGACGTATTAAGCAAAGGAATATAAGAATAGCATGATTGACATAATGTAAGCTACACGTTAGAAATAGAGCAACAGCAATACTTTTCAACAGTGAATCAAATCATCATCTCTCAAAGCTCACCGTTGCTCTCACCTCCCCATTTATTGCGAGCAATCTCATTCAACCACGCCGCCATTCGATATCCTGCACGCGCGATTTGCTTCTCAACAACCGGAGCAGCCTGATCATAATAATCATTGCTGAGCTCTTTATGCTTGATTTCCTCAGGCCCATAGTGCTCATAAAAGACTGTATTGGAGAGAAAATAAGTCAGTGAAACATGTCAACACGATGCATCTCATTGCGAGGATCCTCACCGTTGGAGCACACAATGTCGTTGGCTTCATTCGACCAGTGCATTGCAGTCTTGAGGGGATCCGACAGGTCAAAACTCTTCAGCCAGGAATCCCTCTCACTCGCGAATTTCCCATTGGATATCTCGTCTGATAGTTCACTTGCCCATTCCAAGGCCCACGCCAACGTCGGTCGTTTCCGCCTCTCGTTCAGATGCTCGGCCATCTCTTCAGGAATTGCCGAATCCCATACCGAATGCAGCGTTCTTCGCTCAGATTGCCACTTGACCCATATCTTGGTCCCTCCTTGTCCAACATCTTCGTTATGAAGCGGCTGGTGCAAGTCGCCAATGAAGTGAACGAGGAGCTTCACGGCGAACCGGCGGTCTTCCTCGGGTAGTTCGCGATCAATAGCCTGCTTTGTATAGTTGGTCAAGGCACTGATGACACAGCCATCCTTTTTGCAATCTCGCTCGTAATCGACATTGCAGTCCTTGTACGGCTTATCGTGAGCATCAATGAAGTGGAAGTTTTTTGTGAATTTTCCTTCAGGATCGTCCTTAATATCGTCTGCGAATACGGCGATACTAGCAAGGTAATCGTCGTTCTTATTGTCCAGTAGGTCTTTGAAATAGGCCGCCGTGGAATTAGAAACGAAATAAGTTGCAACGTACGCTGCAGTCTGGTGGCCAAGAGCTATAGTTCTTGTTAAGCCTTTCTTTTCGCCTCAATTGTCGTTGGCATGTTTATACTTACGCCCCCAGGCGGTGACCCCGGGCAAAGACACCAACCCAAGCACCGCGAGTTCAATCGAAAGCTTCATGCTGTTGAATTGATCTTGGGGGAATTATTAGTTTGCAAATGCAATTGCTGGTTCATTGGATATGAAGTGCTGTATTTTATAGACCAGATTCATGCCATGAACCTCATTTTCAGCTGGCATGCCTCTGACGTCAATATCAACGTCGTTTCAGTGGGCACGAATGACAGCTTCATGTCGCACCATGTGAAGAAATGTTGGCTTGAAGCCTAAAGTCAAAATACAGACAGTGACGTCTGTTGTCAATCTTGATGGCTTAGTTGGTGTTATATATCTCAGCGCTGCCCATGTTGGTCGCATGCAAGACTTTACCAGCCACGAAATATATCGAAACAGATCTTGCTATACTGTCAATTAGTACCAGCTCAAACAGCAGCACAAGATACTGCTCCAATACCTGTCAAGATGCCCAAGATGACGCCCGACTACGAAGTAAGACTGCAGCTCGACCCTGAGGCAGTGCTCAACTCCGAACACGGTCTGGAGTCGGATATCCTGGAATTCTTCAAAGTATCCGAGAAGGGTCTACAAATGAACGTCCAGTTTCTCGACAAATGCTGCAAAGACATATACAATGCCGGCTGGTGTGTGCGAATCCGCAAGGTGGAAGAGAAACCCCACCTCGAGCTGACATACAAGAAACGGTACGACATCAACAACGGCACCATTGACGAGGTACTCGCTCGAGCCAACAAGGATGGATTTCACGGCGGCGATACCAAATACGAAGCGCAAGTCGAATGGGGCTAAACCAAACAGACACTCTCCATCAGCAGGGAGAAGCAGGTGTCGCATTCTGGCAAGACCGAGCTGGAGCTCCCCGGGCCGAGCGACTCGCGTAAAATGGCAATCAAGGAGGAACCCGACAAGTTTGACGATTGGGGGCCTGGCGACGACTGGGGGACCAAGACGCTGGCGAAGGCGAGAGTGTTTGGTCCAGTTCTCGCCAAACGCTGGATCGGCGAGTGGAATGACATTGAAGTGTATATCGAGGTTTGGCCAATTCCCGATGCTGAAGGGACGGGAACGGAGTGCATCGTCGAGGCGTCGTTCAAGACGGACAGCTATAAGACGGCCTCTGCCGGGCGCATCAATCTCACCAGCCAATTGCAGGCTCACGACTGGGTTCTTGCTGAAGACTCTCTCAAGACAAAGCTTATTCTAGAGCGCTGTTCATGCTCCAGTAAGACAACTGAAAATGGGGATTAGAAGGCGTTTGAATGATGAAGCAGGGGTGCGAATGGCTCACCCGTAGCTTCAACCCCGCGATGCTATGCCATAAGCAGCAAAGACACAATGTATTGGGTGAGCTGAATCTGCATTCAGCAGAGTGTGCACATCAGCTCAGAAGCGATGGCAGAATCGTCGGGATTCTCAATACTTGATTAGTTGTCTGCTCGCCACGTCAATGCTGGTTGGACTTGGGCAGTGTTCTTGGTTGTGCGTGAGGTAGATATCTGAGAATATGAATCGCCCGAGCTGGCGGGGGAGGCCTTCGGGGCGACAAGTTATCTAAAGAGTGTCTATCGGTCTCACTTTGTATGATGCTGAACACAAGTCCATAAGACAAACATGAGACCTGTGTCCTTGAATACAATTTCCATCGTATAAACTCGTTCTGACAACATATTCAACTCTCAGCAGACCGAGGCGTCAAAGCCTCAGCAGCCCGTCTTGAGTACGTAGCATCACTTCATGCCAGTAGTTATCCGCTAACAGATATTCTGCCACTTAGAAGAGCGCGACACACCAGAATCCGTGCAAGCAGCGCTTCGCACCAAGCTCAATAGTCTGCGAGACAAGGCTCACGCTGGAGATCATCTCGGGAGCAAGCTGCAATGGGGCGACATATATGAGATGTGGATCGAAATCCAAAACAACACGTCAAGATGGCTGTGTGGTGCAGGCGGCTGGCAAGTCAATCACGGCTGGTTCGAGTCCACCGCCGTGGGAGACACTGGGCCCGGCGATGTGTGCTATATTCACATGGGTGGAGGCGCCTTGTATGGAATCGATTGCGTTGCCTACTTTCGTTTGGACGGGGAATCGAGCAATTCGTGGTTCCAGTGGTGGTTTGGCCCCAATGAGCCTGCGGAGGAGCTTGTTGAGATGTGGTCTCTATGACCGTATTCCAGATCGCTTGACGGGGTCGGATACTTTTATGTGGATGAGTGAGCGAGAGACGGTCTTGATCTTGTCGATATACTCGGAATGAGAATCGCTGCTTCAAATTGCCGTGTGTTTCCGCTATTGTATCGAGAAGCTGGTCTCGTGTGACCGTCGTGGAAATCGATCCCTCACCTCTCCCCTCATCATCCCATCCACATAGCACTCGCCAACTAGCGTGTAGTTTCCGTTTGCAGCAGGCCTCAAAACATAAGGCACCCTCCCTCCGTTGAAGATGCAGACAACATCCCCCTTCTGCGCCGCCTTGGGCACGGCAGCAAAGTCACCAGCATCTGTAACTGCAAACCGGCGCCCTGGACACCATTTCACCGCGCTGGTGTGCATGAGGAGAAGCTTGGACAACAAATCTTCAGTGAGAGGCACGGCATCATTGACAGTAACCTGCGCGTTCTTGTCGACTTGACCGCCTTGCCTCAGTCCGAGGCGTCGTGTGTTTTCGAGAAAATTCTCATACAAGGCCTGGGCAGCACGCGAATAGATGGTAAACTGGGCATTTTTCCCGTTCGCCGTCATACAACATGTCATTGTACGCCACACTGCGTCGATTTTGTCCTTGGGCAGCCGTGCATACTTGTCACCGAGCACGTTCTGTCCGGCGACGGCCCACGTCTGGTTGAGCCAAGCCCACGTGTGCAAGATGTTGGCAGCAAAGCCCGCATCCTCGCCCATGAATTCTGTATTCGCAATCTTGTGATCAAACGGCGTGCCCAAGGCCTTTAATGCCCCGATTTTGGTACCTACGACGTGTATCACTGCCGTCCCCTGAGAGAAGGCAATGCGGGCTGGGCGAAAGTCGGATTGGCGTCCGAGGGCCCACCAGGGGTATTTCAGATCCGCATGGTAGACCTTGGTGGCTTCTCCGAAATACTTTTTACGCAGGGCAAACTCTTTGAGCACGTCGTACCTAAGATCGATGTAGTTGACGGAGAGATAGTCCAGCTTCGGAAGCGGTGCGGCAAAATCCGGCCTCGTCAGGTCGGGGACCCAAGAAGGCAGTGGCTCCAGCTCTAGGGAGAGAGGAAGACCTTGGCCGCGACCAAAGGAGAAGATTTCAAACTGTCTTTTGCGAATCAGATGCCAGAGAGCGAAGCGATGGTAGACCTCGGCAACGGACAAGTCGTAATTCGGCGTCACCTCCCAGTCGGACGATAAAACGTCTCCGGCCAGGCCCACGAGCGCAAACAGCTTGTCTCGAGGATCTGTAGCCTGGAAGCCTCGAGTGAGGAAGAGCAGCTCCAGCAAGTTGTGCCGTTGACTCCTCTTCTTTTTGCGCTTTTGTCGCATGTCGTGGAGAAAATAAAAGTTTTCCATCGATTGGTTGTCTCGATGCTGCGTCTTCATTCGGTAGGTGTCGAATTGCGTTCTAAGCTCCAACACGGCTCTGGCAAATTGATCCCAGGAAATCATGGAATCACGCGTGACTATGAGGGGATTCGATGCCAAGACCAGCTCTTGAATGCACCAGACCCTGTTGAACCAGGGGCTTTGGATGACGGGTACGAGTGCGGACCAGTCAAACTGCCTTGGGGACTGCGGTTCTTCGAGATTTGCGACTCCCATGTTGACTGCGCTATCGAATCCGAGCCATATGAGGAAAGCCTGGGCTTGATAGAACAGCACATTGGTAAAGACGGGCTTGAGCGGCTTCCAGTCGACATGTTTTCCGTCAGGTGGTCGTGAAGCCAACTTGCCAACTCCAGCTTCTACGGCCTCGTGATTTCCCAGCCAGATGAGCACCCTATGTGCTTTCGAATAGATCTCGCCCATGAGGCGAACCTGCTGCGTCTTCTCCTGGTTGTCTGCCTGGTTGATGCAGAGGGCGTCAATCCACAAGACCCTTTCCTCGTCTGGAAGCCGAAGTCGCTCCAGTGCATCGTAGAGATTCCTGCCGACGTTTCTGCGTCTGTTGTTGCAGGTGATTTCCCCCGTGACGGCTGGGCTCCCCCAGACGTATGAGAGGGCGTCAAACCGGGCCTTGCTGGATCCGAGGCGACGATGTTCAAGCGTGCATTCGATCGGAGAGCCTTTCTTGCCAGGATGCAGAATCAGCACTCGAATCTCCAACGGTCGAACGAGTGGCGTGTAACCATCTTTTTCGACAGGCTCGGAGTCTTTGCCTGCTGCTTCTGCGGTGTCGTTCCATGGCATCCACGAGTAGTTGTTTTGCGTCTGCCAGTTCCTCTCCTTCCAGTAGCCAATGTAATAGCCCTGCCCAAACTCAGAAACGACGTACACGAGGAGAGCCAAAGCCCAGATGGACGATCGTCGTCTCCAGATTGGCTGCGGAGAGGGATTGGAGCCATCATGGCTGGTTGAATAGGCGCGCTGTCTTGAAAGAGTTGCCTGTGATGCGAGTTGGTTTGTGCGTCTGAATACTGGTCGGAGACGTGCTGTATATCGAGAGCGGTGAGAGTATCTGAAGCTCTGCGACAAAAATGAATGCTTCATGATGTGTTTTCTCAGAGTAGAGGTGGTTGGTTACAGGGTAGCTGGAGTACTTGGCTGCTGCCTTGCAGTGAATGATTCTGCCGGGCGGAAAAGAGAGCCGATGCCTCAGGCAAGTATTTTCTACGACTTCTCTTCTCACTTCTTCTTCACTTTTGCGACTGCTGGTACTCTTACTACTATATCAGTGCACGACTCTCTCCAATCTTGTTGCTGCTCTACGACCGGACTTTTCGATCTTCTCCGACCATTGCATCGAGTTTCTATTTTAGTCTCGCAGCTCAGCCTTGGTGGCGGGGCTACAGAAACCCGCCCCTGTAAGTGCTGATGACCAAATTAGCAATGAGACGAACAGGTTGGACAGCAGTTCGTTGCCATTGATTGGTTCATTTTGCCTGTGATGGCTTTCCGTCAGTATCAAGAGTCTGCTTACTGAGTAGCTACTAATTCTTTGGCAGTTTGACAGCTGTCAACGGACGGACATGCGCAGTGGACGAAACGCCCATGAGTTCCTCTCCGGCCGGTCGATATTCCCGCTCGCTCGCTTCATTTCAATGTGGCTGGCGCTTGGTTGCATCGGGCCGCTCTCGTCTCCAAGCCCAGCTCAGCTCAGCTCAACCAAGCCCCGGATTACTGTACGGACTAATGCCTGTCGAATCGCTGATTCAAGAACCCACACACGCCCTTGTCTAGTAGCTTCTGCTGCCGGCCGGGCTCGTCACCATGGATGGGCACCGGCAGCGCCGGCAGCGCTTTTAAAAGCTCACTCTCCCAGCTTCCGGAGCTCGGCGCAGATTGGACATGGCCGGCCAATATTCCTGTTCCTTTGCCCGGCGGCTTTGCCTGAGCCTTGCGCTGCTGGCCGTGCAGCTGCTCTGCGTCCTCTCCAAGCCGACAGCCCGGGATGCGTCTGCGTCCTCTATACTGGCCGAGCCGAGTCGCAATGTGCCGGATTACGTGACCCAGTACGGTAAGTACGGGAAGCCTTGACAGCTGTTTCTCTCTCATCTCTCGTCTCTTGCCTCTTGCCTCTTGTCCCGCCAGAATTTCTGCATACATGCTTCTCCTACGTCTGGATGCCTTCTACATCTAGAACATCCACAGACTAACTCGTCATGGTTTGACACAGCGCCGCTCGTCTGGCTACACTCGGATGACCCGTTTCGACCGGCCGACTTGCTCCAACACATCCGCCACACGACGCCCGCCACCAACCAAAGCTCCATCCCCAACCTGCCAAAACTCGACCTCGACAACCTCGCCCTTCTCAACCATGTCGACACAAGCGGTGGAAGAATTGCTCTGACTTCAAACGACGACATCACCGGGCTGCCCGAATGGCTGTACGGATCGCTCCCAGACGAGTCGGGCAGGATTGCAAACGCCACGCCATGTGTCGTGATACTCGTTGAGAAGAGTGCTCGAGACGTCGACGCCTTCTTCTTCTACTTTTACTCGTATGACCGCGGCGCAAACATTACGCAGGTCCTGGAGCCCCTGAATCGCCTGATTGAGGATACTGAGAACGGAATGCACTTTGGAGACCATGTTGGGGATTGGTGAGCGTCTTCCCTCTGTCTACACCGTCAAATTGCTAAATCGTGTCCAAAAGGGAACACAACATGGTCCGGTTCCAAGATGGGAAGCCCACGGGCATCTACTATAGCCAGCATGTGAGCGGCTCTGCGTACAACTGGAATGACAAGGCTCTTTCGATGAAGGGTGAGCGGGTAAGCACGCCCTAATAATTCTGCAAGCTTGGTGGCCATCGTATAACAAGAATGTCTCGATAGCCTCTTGTCTATAGCGCATACGGATCGCACGCAAACTATGCCTCAACCGGGTGAGTTGCATTTACCTTGATGCATTTTCGATGCCCCGGTACTGACAGGCAATTCTCCTTCTCAGTAACCACGTTCATGATGCAGCACTGGTGGATTTTTGCGATGCTGGTCGGCTCTGGGATCCCGTCCTTTCGGCGTACTTTTATCATCTAGACCCGGCCAGCTTCAAGTTGACGCGCCTCTTCCTTTCCGACGCCAACTCCTCCACCGCGTCGAATTTCACCTCCTTCTTCTACTTTACGGGAATCTGGGGCGACGAGCAGTATCCGGATAACGACATTCGCCAAAAGACGGTCCCCCACTTTGGATTGAAACGATTCGTGTCGGGGCCGCAGGGTCCGATTGTGAAGAATCTCGTGCGAAAGGGATTGTTTCCCGACCAGCGCGAGAAGAAGCCGTGGATGCAGTGGGCGGTTGGCATCTTCATGTTTTGGTACCCGTGCTGCCTGCGCGGATGGAGGCTCTGGGTATCGTTGGCCGTGGTCGTCGGCTTCATAATATTGACGGCGTTTGGGATCAGGTACGGAATAAAGAAATACAGGAGGACCAAGGGATACAGAAAACTAGACACGGACATTCCGCTCAACGACATGAGCTACAGGGAGGAGAGTTCTGGCCCGCATCGCGCCCGGGACGACTTGGAGACGAGAGACGAGAGACGAGACATGTGAGACATATGAGACGAGACATGTGAGATGAGAGATTTGGTACCGTTCTTGGCGTGCGTGGGGGTTTCTCACCCGTTACCACCCTCCTTCGACGACGAATACAAAAGTGCCAGCGATGGGGTTACAGCACATGGAGGCGAGGAGAGGACACAAGAGGAGAAGACACTGATAAAGGACCCTGCATGTCCAGCCTCGGCCTTGCCCGCACCGAGGAGGAGCTTCACAATGCGGCATATTGCATGCCAAGCTGCTGCAGGTGAAACCCTGATAGATGTAGGTGCAGTATGTATACGGGGAAACCCAAATTCAGATGCATCCTTCCACAAGCATGTCAAGCTGCAATTGGCTGACACGAGTCTTTGATTCTTGATAGATTTGGGGCGTAGCTAATGCCACTGGATGCAGCTTGCATTGAGGGGTTGAGGGGGGATCTGACAGAGATGAGCCCCAGCCCCTCGATCGAGAAGGAGAGCCTCAATATTACAGGGTCAAATAAGTAACAGGGGTCCAATTGTTATGCTGATGATGGACACAAAAGGAATATGCTGAATAGTGAGTGTACTCTACGGTGCAGGACCGGTCGTATGTATATAGCGCTCAATCTACTATAGTAATTTACAGTACAACCATCTCCATCTCATCAGCGCTCCCCCACATAGGATTGGCTGAATGAGCGTCTGTCATCACCATGGAAATAGGAATCTAGACATCCAATTATTAATTGCTTTATCAATCACTCGCGCGGGTGGTTAGATAATGCCCTCCACAGGAGCGGACAGCGGACAATAGCCGCAACACTAGAAACATGGAACCGGGACTAAATAAACGCGCGTTGATTTTTTTAGTTGGGATTGAGGATCACCCGCGCGGGAATTATCTAATGGAAAAAAGCGGACGCTTGTCTGATGAATCCTGGCAGCAAAAATCACGCCTGCGGGAGAGGGTGAGGATCCAACAGGACAGATTGGTAGCGCCGGGTTTTGTGAATTACAAACTATGTGTCAGCAGGGGACCAGGGGGTGTGTGTTGAAGCAATGCAACGTGCTGAGAGCTTGGATTGAGTCTGAAACTACAGCTGTGATGAGGGGGGGGTTGATGATGGATGTTGATTATTCAAGATTAGTAGTTTGTGGTTAGTAGTGGCAGTACTCGGTAGACTTGCATGTATGAATATGGAGACGGGGGGCGGGTTGAAGTCGTGATATATATAACATACCGAGCCTTTCTCTCTCTCTCTCTCTCATACCATTCATTCCATCACTCACTCATCTCAGCAACACTAAAACAACACCAAACAAATCACTCAACCACATCAACTCGCAATGGCTCCCACCATCACCGCCGACCAGTTCCTCGCCGCCGCCAAGCACCGCCGCACCGTCTACGGCCTCAAGAGCACCTCTGCCGTCTCCGACGAGCGTGTCAAGCAGATTGTCGGCGAGGTCCTCTCCTTCGCCCCCTCCTCCTACAACACCCAGCCCGGCCGCATCACCCTCGTCACCGGCGAGAAGCACAAGGGCCTGTGGGATGCCATCACCAAGGAGGCCGAGCCCATCCTCAAGGGCGCCGGCGAGGAGGTCTGGAAGACGATGAGCGGCGTCTTTGCTGCCCACAAGGGCGCTTACGGCTCAGTACGTTTTTTTTGACTTGCAACACACTGAAATCCTCTTTACGTGAAACTAACTCGTCGTCTTCTTCTTCACAGGTCGTCTTCTGGGACAGCCAGGATGCCATCAAGGAGGCTGGCACTAAGCACCAGTCTGGTGCCCACATGTTCCCCCAGTTCGCCGACCACAGCACCGGCATGGCCCAGATCCTCGTCTGGACCGCTCTCGAGCTCGAGGGCCTGGGCGCCAACCTGCAGCACTTGCAGGCCATCCCCCCCGTCGAGGCCGTCATCAAGTCCTACCTCGGCGTCCCTGCCGACTACACCCTCAAGGCTCACCTCAACTACGGCGACCTTGCTCAGCCTCACCCCGAGGCCGTCCCTGAGAAGCTGCCTCTGAGCGAGACCCTCAAGGTTGTTGCTTAGATGAGTTTGTGTACAAAATAGAATTTGTGGGAATGAAATTGTTAAATAGCGCAATGTTTATAGACTATTCATAGAAACGAATAGAATGTTGCTTTACGAACATCTTGTCTGTCTGGGTGTCAGTGACATAAAGTGCAACCTCAACTTTGAGCACAATAGATTCACTATGGAGATGATGATGATGATTGAAACAGCCAATAACAACAAACTCTAGAGTTTTATCAAATTTAGTCTACCCAACCCTTATACCGCATTCGTCTCGATTATGTCTCTTACAACCTGTGCGGCCGCCTTGAGATGCTCCACAAACTCCTCCGACTTTCTCTCTCCGTTAATCACCGTAAACTGAACTCTAAACGTGTGACTGTCAGCAAACTAAAACCATCCTTGACCGTCATTCCCGTGTCTGACGTGCTTACCTTTCGTCAAAGACCTGCACACCAACCCATACGTCAGTCTTATGCGGTTGACACCGTCCCATCTCGGGAAGTCCAAACTCCGTGAAGCTCGTGCAAACCGGCCGCTCGCTTGTCCTTGCGAAAACAGCGTCCTTGTAAAACCCGGGAAGCTCCTCGCCAGGCTCCATCATCTCTCGGAGCGCCATGAGGTGCCATCTGAATCCTCTTCCTCGAGTTGACAGCGCCACGAGCCTTGCGTGCGACTTGACCGCTTCCAGGAACAATCTTCTTTTCTCAGCACCGTTGATGCAAGGATCCTCGGCTGCAGCACAGAATGCCTGGACGGGCGGCGTCATGACGTAAATCATGTCTGTTCGTCCGCCGCGGAATGGGCGCTGGGAGATTACGTCTACTGCGCCTAGGGGGTTGTATCCGAAGAGGCGGCGGACGGCTACCTGGATTACTAGCTGGATGACGGTCTTTGGCGGGAGTTTATGTTTTCTCAAGTAGGTGGCTGCGTAGTACGTGTGTGTGAGATTGGCGAGAGTGTAGCCATCGTGGGCTCGTTTGTGTTGAGCTTGGAGAGGCGAGATGCGTTTTGAGAGAGTGGCTGGCAACGTAGACGGAATATGGGAAAAGTCACCGTCAACTACGGCGTAGTCGGTAGATGGTCCGTTGGATGTTTGGAACGACTTGGCAGATGGCGAGCTGAGGGCTTTAATCAAGCCTCCAAACGTGGTGCCGTCGACCATCGTGTGCTCGCCCCAGATGGCAGACACGCCGTTGGCGCAGACGACAAAGGAGAGCGTCTTGTCTAGCCAGCGGTTGGAGTTGTCGTCCAGGAGGAAGATGTTTGCGCGGTCGTTTTCTGTTTCGGGGGAGACGTCTTCGAGGTAGATGATGAAGAGAGACTGTTCAATTGTGTTGACAAAGTTGCGGCCGTCTTCGCTTGCCATTATTATTTCGTCGCGGGCCTGGAGAACGGTTAGCCTTCCACGATTCCTTCGTGAGAATATAGATGATAACAAAGAGTTGAGAGGCGGGTGGGATTTCTGCTTCTTTTCAGACTCACCCATGCCCACTCGTCACGATTTGCGGTAGTGAGTAGACTTGTCCAGTTGGTTTCCTCCGGGCTATGCGAAGATATCGCTTGGAAGATGGAGACGAGCTTGTTGTACGCTACAACCTCGCCGTTGGGGTTTCTCATGGGGACCTTGTACGCGTGTCCACGTTTCATGACGACAATGTAGTCGCTCTCTGGATATCTATCATAACCGTCGCATCCAAGGGCTGGTGTGCGATTCGTGCCGAATAGCCAGTATACCGTAGCCACTGAATGGAACCATGTCAGTGCCATCACAAGAATGGAGATTGTTTCAGCTTCACTTACTATCCAGTGCTTGTTCATTGTAATAGTCCTGCTGAACTGTTCCCGCATCCAGAGCCAACTTGTACTTGAATGCCCCCAATGTAAGTTGCGCCGCCTGATTCGCCTGAGGCTGACGAAGCGTATCTTGTCCAGGCAGAGTGGCGAAAAAGTTTCGCAGTCTGGGCCGCCAGTCTCGCCCTCGAAGCCACTTGTTCCTCACATACATGTCGACGACTTCGTTATTCTCGCCTTCGTCTCCCGACATCTTGGCCAGTCGCGTTTGCAGCTGCTGTCCCAGTCCGTCAGGGGCCTGGAAGGCACCCATGGCCTCGCGGGTTTGCTTCAACTCTTCTTCGTTTGCAATGTGGCCGACTGAGTCGAGAAAGATTTCCAGTGTTCCTTCTAGCGTCTGCATGGGGTATTTGGGGAGGGCAACTTCTCTCTTGGCGTTGACGGTGTTTGCATCACTTTTGGTATCGTCGTTTTGCCCATTCCGTTGTGGGTTGACTTTGCTCTTGACCAGATTGGAGCCTTTGGTGACAAAAGCAGCGAGATGACGAAGACTCGGGGCATCCAAAATGTCCGACGTTTGGACTGGCGCCTGCAGCTTGTTCGTGATCCAGTTCTTGATCTCGGTGGCGACAAGTGAGTCGAGTGCCATGTTTGCGACAGACTGGTCGACGTCAAGCTCTTCAGCTTCAAGCACTGTAAGAGATGCAATCTTTTCGCGGATTGCAATCAGAACGAATTCCTCTGCATCCTCGACTGTTGATGCAAGGGCAATCTTTTCTTCTGCAGTTTGTTCATTTTCGCGGCTGGCCTGATGCTCAAGACCTCGGCCGTGAGCAGACAAGATATGAGACACGAGCGGTGGCACTCTTCCACCTGGAATCGTCTGATCAATGAAGGATTGGGGATCGAGACCAAAGGCGATCTGGTGATTGCCGTCTTTGAACGCTTTGCCGCTCATCGCATAATCCACAACAGGCAGTGCAACCTCAATAGGAAGAAGCTGAACGCCCTGCCTGGCCAAAGAGTGAGTGTGTTCCTGAGTAACGGTATATGTGCTCTGAATCAAGGGAAAGTCAATGGTGACAAAGTTGTTGCGGCCTGCAGATACTTGAGTGTGCGTAAACATGTCTTGGTATGTGCCTCCAGCAGCATAGTTGGACTGTCCGATGGTGCCGACGACACCGCAAAGGGAAGAGAGATTGATGAAGAAGTCGACGTCTTTGTTGTAGAATGCGTTGTAGAGGTTGATTGTGCCGTGGTACTTGGGCAGGAGGGCAATCTCAAAGTCCTGCTGTGTGATTTGGGATATCGTTCGGTCCTGATGAGGATTGTTAGCATCATATCAACAAGATCTGATACTCTTTAGCTCTATAGACTCGACTTACTGAGAGCACCATACCACCATGAAGAATGCCTCTTACTGGCGGCATGTCTTTGCCAAGCTGTTTGGCCACTTGTTCAACCACGCTGGCGTTTCCAACATCGCACGTCACAATCTTGACAACAGCATCGGGAACATCTGTGAGCTCTTTCTCCATCTCATCCTTGACAGTGTCATCGTAGCTCTGTCGCGTAAACAAGGCAATGTATCTTGCACCCTTTTCTTGGAGATGCCTGCACAGATGCTTGCCCAAGCTTCCAAGGCCGCCAACGATAATGTACGTTCCATCGGCTCGTAGTTGAAGGGGCTTTACCTTGGCCTGAACTGTAGACTCATCAGAAGCCTCCAGAACAATCTTCCCAGTATGCTTCCGGCTCTGCATCAGTCTAAACGCCTTTTCGATATCACCAATAGGCAAGACAGTTACTGGCAGTGGTGTAAAGTGTCCTGCGTCAAAGTCGGCAAATATTCTCTCCAGCAGTCTCTGGCACTCTGCTGGTCGCTGCTTTGATAGTCCTACCAGGTCCACGCTGATGAATCTCAAGTTTCTCTCAAATGGCTTCATGTTCAGCTGACTGCGTCGGGAAATGTCCGTCTTGCCCACCTCCACAAAGGTTCCAAATGCTGCAACAGACTCCCAAGAAGCATGGAGCATTGGGCCAGAAAGAGAGTTGAGAACCACGTCCACGCCGGCGCCGTTGGTGAGTCGCTCGACACCGGCTGCGAAATCGGTTGTGCGACTGCTAAAGATGTGACTCTCCGGGATGCCGTATTGCTCCATGAGGATTTGACGCTTGGAGACGCTGCCGACAGTGGCATATATGACTGCGCCGAGTCGTTGAGCAATCTTGATGGCTGCTTGGCCCAATGCGCCTGAGGCAGAGTGTATCAGAATTGTCTGCCCTGGACGGAGATTGGCACAGTCAAACAGCGAGTAATATGCCGTTGCAAAAGTGAGAGGAATCGAGGCAGCATCAGTGAATGGTAGAGAATCGGGAATGCGATGAATCAAATGGCTGTTTGTCCTAGTTCGACTGGCATAAGGCGTGCCAAACATGGCTGTTACACGATCACCGGGCTTATACTGCGCCTTGAAGTTGGATCCAACAGCCGTAACAACACCAGCACTTTCTCCAACCATGGGCTGAGTGGGAGGAAGTTGACCAAGAGCAATAAAGACGTCTGAGAAGTTGAGGCCCCAGGCATAAGACTGGATCTCAACCTCGTCAGGGCCGAGTGCGCCGGCATCATCGTCGATGAATGCGAGGCTGTTCAAGAGACCGGGTTTGTCGACGTTGATCTTGAGGGGACGCTCAGTCTGATGGAACTTGACTTCTTCCGTCTCTGAGTCGTCTGAAGTGGCGGAAACTGCCCGCGAGAGTTTCTTGTTTGCGACGAATCGCTGAATTTGCAGTTTGCCATGCTTGTAAGTGAGCTCAAACTCACGGGGCTCGTTGTTTGCAATCTTGTTCTCTGTAGAACGGATGAATGATGTGATGGCTTGCAGGATTTGGTCAGGGTGCTGATTCAGAGAATCCTGCACATCAACAGTGAAGAAGTCGAGATGGGGATTTTCGTTTCGTGCGGATCTCGAGACTCCTGTGATCAACGAGTTCTCAGGTACAACATTGTCACTGGCAGTTGCGAAACTGATCCAGTACACCTTCTTCACATTGGATAGTAATTTGGTGACGCGGGCAAACTTCTCGCTCGAGGCTTGTGTGAGGAGAGGCTGGTCCGAGGACTCGATTATGATGTAGGAGCACGAACCGTCAATAGCAGTCTTTGTCCACTCATCAATGCATGATTGAAAGCCCTGGGTGGTCAAACCGGTAGCTAATTTCTCTGAAAATCCATGTGCATACTGATTCTCTGCAATGGAGCTCAGTATCTTGAACTGGGGAGCATCACGCGTGTTATCCAACGGCCGAGCTTCCACGGCGGTTGACAATAGCAGAGCACAATGTCTTTCAGGCTCGGGAAGATCATATGCAGCCAGATCGACCCCCGAAAACCCAGCATTCTGAAGATGCTCATTCCACTGCTCGGCAGATTGCAGCGGGCTTTCAGTTCGTCCCTCGTCAACACCAGCCCACCAGCCAGGAATCGATCCAAACGTCATGTTGATGTACGGCGTCGTCCTAGTAAGTTCCACAAGACCCAGTACACCGCCAGGCTTAAGTAGTTTGCGGATGGTATTGAGTGACTTTGCCAAAGACCGTGTGGCATGGACGACGTTTGCAGCTACAACGAGATCGTAAGAGTGCTCCTTGAATCCTTGCTCTGCCGCGTCCTTTTCGAGATCCAGAGTTTGGAATGTCAAGAGGTGAGCCCAGTCTTTTAGCCGCGTTGTGCGGACAGCCTCGAAGAATCCAGAGGAAATGTCCGTGTACATGTATTCTGCGCAGAAACTGTCGCCGTTGGGGGTACACGATTGGAGAATGCGATATGTCGTGCCTCCTGTGCCGGCGCCAATTTCTAGAACTCTGAGATCTCTCCTCTGGAACGTGAGCATCTTGACGTAGTCGGCCATGTACTGGTTGGGTCGAGCGCCTTCATCAGAGTGGTAGACTCTGAATAAAAGATCGTCCTTGAGGAAGTGGGTGAGAGGATCAGTTTCACCAGTCAAGAGGGGGATCAGTTCAGGTCCGATCCTGGCTACGGCCTCTCCTTCGACGCCCAGCCTGGACGTCAGCTTGTCCAACTCTTCCTTGGTCTCTGGGCTCTGTCGGATGAGTGTCTTGCCTACATCTGAGGCAGCAAACTTTTGCAGCAACTTCCACCAGTTGACTCGATGGTCATCTTTTACAGTCAGTCCACGGTCGTGCATTTCTCTGACGGCCCAGTCAATGTATCTCGCACAAGCAACAGAGGTGAGATTGACCTTTTCTGCCTGAGAAATACCGGCCTCGTCAGACTGCAAGGGAATCTTTACAGACTCTATTATCTCGGCAGTAATTGATGAAGTGTCGAGGCCCCATTCCATCTTGAAGATGTTGTCGTTGATGACGACTTGAGAAGACTGAGCCTCTCCCACCACGCGAATCTCTCCCCCGTCCATTGTCAGGACGCATTGTGGCTTGCCATTCTCCCCTGCTTGAAAGACTGTGGTGCCAAAGCTCGTAGAGTGTGCAAATACGTCGCTCAAATCGCACACGGCTTGGAGCCGGCTGCCTGGCTTGTTGGCAATATCTGTCGAAATAAACACGTCGCTGATGAGAATCGGCATGACGGACCCCTTGATGGAGTGCTGTTGGAAAACGGGAAGACATGACTGGATGATGCCATCGAGGGTTGTGGGATGAATGACGTGTGGCTGCATGAATTTGCCGGGCATCTTTGCAAGAATATCCGGAACAACCAGTTTATTTAGAGATTGTAAACTTGACATCTTCATTTCTTCATTGATTGCAAACGTAGGGCCGTACTGGTTGCCCGTTGCAGCCATCTGCGCATATAGCTCTTTGTGTGAAATGACTTTGTTGCAATTCTCACCTGCGCTTTCAAGACGAGAGATTTGAGATTTTTGGCTGTATTCTGCTTCACGAGTCTGCTCAATCTCGTCCAAATCAGCTTCAAAGGCTGCTGAAATAGTTCCACTTGAGTGGTCCTGCCATTTGCCTTGATCTGACATGGAAGAGACGGTAAAGGCCCATGAATCGTTCGAGTCGACATATTGGAATGACATGATGACCTCAACAGGCGTGTCGTCTTTGGGCAGCGTCAAGGTCTTTTTGAAGGAAACGTTCTTCAGTCTGTAACCTTTAGGCTTGAGATCTGGGCGACGGTCCTGATCCAGTTGCTGCAAGGCTTGAATCGCCATTGTCATGTACCCAGCAGCGGGAAACACGATGAAATTGTCGACGACGTGGTCTTGCAGCCATGGCAGCCTGTCGGTACTCAAAAGTATCCGCCAGCTGGGTTGACTATCTGACGATGCAATCACTCGAGAGCCCAAAAGGTCATGAGCGGGATGCCTTCGACATCTGTACTCGCGGCTTAGGCGCGACTCTGTCCAATGGGTTGTCGTGTGATTCCAGTGATACGTTGGCAGGTCTCCTAGAACTGCTGGTGACGAAGAGCGTGAGATGCTGAGTGAAGCTACAGCGCTCATATCAATGTCGCTACCGCCGCGGAAGAGACTCGACGCCGCATTCATGAGAGACCTCACGCCATGTTCACCACGTACCAACGTGGGAATATATGTGTATGAGGATCCTTCACTTTGTAGCCCTGCCAGGGTTTGTTTGACCGGCCCAGAGAGAGCTGAGTGTGGGCCTATCTCGACGATATTCAGGGCGCTTTGCTTTACTTGACGATACAAATTCTGTAAAGCGTCTGAGAAGCGAACTGGGGACACCAAGTTCTCGACCCAGTAGGAGCCACCAAAGCCATCTGACTTCTCTCGCCCTGTAACGCTAGAAAAGTAGCGAATCGAGGGATCTGCTGAGCCCGCCTCGAGCTCTTCAAGCTGCTGCAGATAATCAGAGCTCACCAGCTTCATATGGTGAGAGTGATACGCCGTATCAACTTTGAGTCGCCGGTTGAATATCTCGTCTGCATCGAGAGCGTCTTTCAAAGCCGAAATGCCGTCTGCATCACCAGAGATTGTTACACTCGACGGGCTGTTGATGCAAGCCACCACAATGCCTGGAGCCTCCAGCTTTCCAATATACTTTTCAGCATCTTCGCGTCCAAGCCCAACAGCCAGCATAGTTCCACGCTGCGTAGTCCGTTGCTTGGACATTTCAGCTAGAAAGCTTCTGTGGTACGAAGCAAGCATGGCCGCCTTGTGAGAAATAGCTCCAGCAGCATATGCCGCCGCCATCTCACCACTAGAGTGACCAACTACCGCAGAGGGCAAGACATTCCAGCTCTTCAACAAGTCAACAAGAGCAATTTGAACGGCTGTGCTGGCCGGTTGGCCGTATGTACTGTCGTTTAAGCGACTCGATGCTGCGTCCTTGGTCAATTCCTCGACAAGGCTCCATTCAGCGCCGAATTCCTTGAGCAGCTGTTCCGAAGCCGAGATGGAACGAGTGAATTCGTTGTCTTCAGCAGATAGCAAATTGTGACCCATCTTGGCCCATTGCGCGCCTTGCCCGGTAAAGACAAAGACATTTGCAGTTTTGTTTGATGTCTTGCTCCGCGCCAGATCTTTTGCCGAAAGACTCTGGATGAGAGAATCGACGTCTTCGGCAACGATGCTCGAGCGCCACTGGAATTGAGATCTTCGCCCGGTGAGAGTATGAGAAAGATTATCAAGTCGAATGTCGCCTCGACGCTTCAGATAATCTGCAAGATCCTTGGCAGCATTCTGTAAGGAAAACTCTGATGTGGCAGATAGAGGGAAGAGACGAGGGACTTTGGGTTCGTCTGGCCTGATACCTTCGTCGCGATCCAGGCCATTGATGTAATTGTTTGCGCCTGTAAAGTCTCCGTGTCAGCAGAGATTTTATTTAAAAGATACAGCAATAGTTACCATCGTAAACTCGTCCGAATTCTAAAAGAAGCATGGCATTTGTCCCTCCAAATCCAAAGCTGTTGACCACAGCCTTTCTGCTCGTCTTTGCTGACGGCCACGGCGTGAGCGATCGTGCAATCTATTTCCTCGCGTTAGAAACCAAACCTTCAGTGTCTTGGAGAAGCAATTCATCTCACCTCCATACTCCAGTGACCCGGTTCCAGCCCGGGCTTAAACTTCTCCAACAGAATATTCGGCGGAATCAGTCCCTTTTCCATCGCCATCACCGTCTTGATAAGGCCTGCAGTGCCGCTCGCAGCTTCAGAATGTCCGAGGTTGGGCTTCGTAGCACCAACAAACACCGGATTTTCGCTCTCGCGACCCTCGCAAAAGACGTTTCGAATGGTGTTGACTTCGACTTTGTCTCCCGCTTTGGTTCCTGTGCCGTGGGCCTCTACATATTGCACATCAGAAGGGCTGAACGGCAGGCTCTGGAATAAACTCTTTGCAAGGCGCTCTTGAGCAGCCTGATTGGGGAGCATGATTCCGTTTGTTCGGCCATCGGAGTTGATGCCCGAGTTTCGTATAACGGCGCGAATGGTGTCCCCGTTACGCAGCGCATCATCCAGGCGCTTTAGAACCACGATTCCTACACCCTCTCCTCGACCATAGCCGTTGCCGCGGGTGTCGAATGTGAATGACCTCCCTTCGTCGTTAAAGAGCCTGTTGTAGATGTCATGTTAGTCTCATTTATACGAGATGTTGTCAAAACAGCTGTCCATAGATGGTCAAGAACTCACCCAGTCATTGACATGAGAGACATTTGGTCTGGAGAAAATATCAGATTGACACCGCCTGCTAATGCCATGGACGTCTCCCCAGACCGCAGACTTTGGCAGGCTAAGCTAATAGCTGCCAAGCTCCCCGAACAAGCAGTATCAACCACAACCGAAGGGCCCTGAAGGTCAAAGACGTACGACACTCTGTTTGCGAGCAACGGGCGTGCCACACCAAGGTTGTGGTATTTGGAGACGGCCACCGGGTCCTTGTGCGTTGCTTGTTCAAAGTCGTGGCCGAACATGGCCACTTGAGAAACGTTAGCCAGCTGATCGATAGGATGGTGATGAGCCGCACGTTACCAAATATTCCAGTGTCTGATCCCTTGAGGTGATGCATTGGAATGCCAGCATTCTCAATAGCCTCCCATGAAGTCTCCAGCACGACACGCTGCTGCGGATCCAGCGTCTCTGCCTCTTGCTGTGCTATTCCAAAGAAGCCAGCATCGAATGCAGAAATGTCTTGGTCTATAAAGTGACCTCCCTTCTGGTTAATGGTACCTGGAATCTCAGGTTCAGGATGGTAGAATGCCTCATGGTTGAATCTGTCCAGAGGCACTTCTGTCCATCCACTTCGACCCTCCGCAACGACGTTCCACAGCTGCTCGGGACTGTTGGCTCCTGCAGGATACCGACAGCCCATACCCACGATGGCAATGGGGACGGGCTCTGGAGATGTCATTTTGTTTAATTTGGGCTTCAGAGTATGATGGGACAGTGTATAGAGTACATGGCAACCACGGTCTCCTCGGCCGAGATTTCGGGATGAAATTATCTATATATACAAACGTAGTTGACCCCTTGACTCCTCCTTCACCCCACAAGTGTCCTGAATACAGAATCTGATAAACAGTAGCCCGTGAACTTGGTTGAAACCCATGTTTCCCCATTATTCTAAAACACAAGATGGAAGCCAAGTGTATTGTGGAAAAAAAGTTTGCCATGCAGTCATCATCTGATAGTTTAGTAGAGAGCCCGAATAATTCAATGAATCTCACTGTTACGTTATGCCGCCGCTTCGGACAGGGTTAGGTGTTGGCAAGCAGGACATCTGAGGTTCCATTGGAGCGCATGCAATGCCACCCTCCCCCCAAAGAAATGCTGGTCCGCTGTATATGCCGTCAGGGGGATGAATGGACGGATGTCGTAGCGAAGAGCTTCTCCCCGCAAAACCTCACTGCTGTAGGCGGGGAGAGATGGAGTTGTTCTGTACAAGTAAGCTGCCCCCGGAGATGTTGGAGTGGGCTGGATGGAGCATCTTCTCCAGACATCTCCACCAGACTGTATGTATTGCTCACGCTCGTATGTGCTCCATCAGAAGGATTCAGATCTAGCACAATGGTGAGCATCTATACTGTAAATGATTTAGTGGCTCACATGGCAGGCATTTGCATGTCGTGCATGTCACCAATGAAAACATGGGATGAAAGGTGCTCGTGCTCGTTTTCTTTTCCAAATCGAGATTTCTCGGTGAATAATTCAAGGCACGTTGCGGGCACAGGTATCATCAGCTAGATCTACATGGACGATCCTGGGTAACGTCATCTTGTCAGTATGATATGATGCCAGTAATCATGCTTTAATCGACCTTACGCGTGGCATGTACCTACACCACTTTCACAAGGTAGGGCGTATGGACACAGAATTCTGGCTTGTCAACTGCAGGGATTATCGCCAGTCCCACAAGAGCATGTATGCACTACGCAACTCGGTCGGTGTATAGTCGAATTCTCCATATAATTCTTCAAAGAGGGAAATATCGCGAAATTCACATGCAATCAACATTTACCACAAAGATACATGTCATGTCCTCAAACACTCGTACATAGCCTAAGCTAGCAACTAACCCAAGCAATTACGACTTGAGGAGAGAACCCGCAACTCCTAGCGTCCCGTAAAGTCCTAGCATTCTACTACCAGCAGGTAAGTGATCATCTTTGCATATCTAGTGCTCGAGGTGATGGTGGTTCCATGTAAGACGGGCTTGTATGTTTAAAACCACGCAGCGGTTTAACCAGGACCGGTAGCTTCATACGACGCGGTACATGGACACGAGGCATTCCCCAGAGCTAGCAGGGTTTTTCCCAAGCTTGAATCTTTGCTTCTCCGCTAACGGGCCGATTCAGCGTCTAACAGGTCTTTCAACATTGATATACAAACTCCGGGGCATCCACCAGAGGACTTGAATCAGTACCGGCAGCAGTTGCTTTGGCGAATTAATCGCACAGTTAATCGGGCGTCTGTGTTTCATCTGACGCTCACTGGCGGGATTAACGATTATCGGCGTTTGTTGTTTAAACCCCGCCACCAGTCAGCAAGAGGTTGGTCGCTTATTAGAGCAACAGAACTGCATGGGGTTTTTGGCGTTTTACCGACCAGACATGGGTTGTGAATTTCGACTGGCCAAGGTAAAGACTATACGGCAGATGATCAACTTTTCGCAGTTTTAGGAGGAGAACCAAGTCGGTTGATGTCTGCTGATTCTAGGGTTCAAAGTAAATCTCCAAAGCATTGTGTGCTTGCCGGAAACTCGGCGTATTGACGACGACCTGGAGACAATAGACGAGCAAGCAGAACAGTAAAAAAGATCAATAAATCACACTAGATGAAAAGATGTCAGGATAGCAAAAAGAAGGGGCTCAAAATTAAGAGGATCTGGAGAGATGGTAGCTCGATCCACGAACTGATAATTCTGGTGTAGGTTAGTCATGATGACTGATTGTTTGCATTAGCTCCAGAGGGAGGACCATTTACCGGATATGGTGAGCAAGCAAAGTGGAAGTCGGTCGTGTGGTTTCGGACTTGAAGACAAAATATGGGAAGCTCATGGCAAGAGTAGTGAAGATCGAGATGTGTGTACGACTGCTTGGGCGTTCTGGTGGCTATAATGGCTTCGTAGTGGCAGTGAGTTTCATCATCCATGTTACACACATCACCTACCAGACCTTTTCTCTCTTCTGTACCATCATCTTCGGTTTGATTAAGAGCCAGATACACATCTGGATCCAAGTCCATCTGTAGAACCAAAAGCAATTCAGAAACCGATGTCGGCCCCCTTCCCCTCTCTGAGACCGAGTCTCAAAGCAAATTGAAGCTAGAGTTCCGAGAAGCATATGAGATGGTCGTCTACTATCTCAATTAGGAGGTTCGAAAAGATGCACCTACATAACCGTGAAGCCGTTTGTCTTGGTGCATGACATGACCCCCATCTTGCCATGGAAATTCATGCGGAATCAACCACTGACGCCCCGGTGGACAGATGACAAGAATCAACGCGGCAGCTACTGTAGAAACGGAAAGCCGGTTGAAGATCCCTGCATTCTTCCACGCACATCGCCGCTAGTTTTTTTCGACTCTGGGGGCGGGAAATCCACTGTGGAATGACTTTAGCATAATGCCATGGCTGCTTATTCTGCGTTGCGGGAATCAAAATCCCCTCCTCTCCTAAGCTTGATCCCATCAGCATGTGTGATGCGGGATGGGCGAGATGCTGATGCTGGTGTGGATGCCAAGTGTCTATTTAGCCGTCAGTTGTGCTATGCTCATCTTCTACCACGAATGCAAAATTGGGACGTGGAATCCAAGTCCACCATGTGGTTTGCTCTTCTGACATCTCGGTAGTAGTCCGAGGGCAACCGATTCTGCATTCAAAACTATCCAAAAAAGTGTAGTGACTACCTGACAGGTAGTAGTGTGACACTCATGATGCCACCTGTGAGCAGCACAGCCATCTTCCTCCATCTACAGATCCAAAAGTAATACCTAATACATCAAAGGGCCATCCAAGGGCCATCCAAAAACAATCCAAAGGGGGTATCATAAAAGTCGTCATGGGGCATCATAAAAAACAGACAGACAAAGCAGACAGAACTGCGCTCATCCTCAACACGCATGCATGTGGGTGATGAAACTGCCAACCGGGAATCTCTTCATGAGCCATCCAAAGACTTCGCCGCTGCACCCAGCCCTGCCAGGATAACGACCATGCCTTTGGAACCAGCCCCATCGTGACTCGCACACTTGCTCAGCTACGTCGCTGCCTCCGACCCTGTCAGATTAACGACCATGCTGCATGCAAGATGATGCTCATGTCACGAGGTGCCAGGAGTCAAGCATCTGAACGACTGCCCGCTGCCCCCGGCCCTGCCAGGTTAACGGGTATGCCCTCCAGTGGACTCGCACTCAGTCTCAGATCCCCGGTTATGTGAATCACCTCACCCTCGACACTGTGCATGCCGTGCCATCGTCGCCTAGCTGCCATAGTTTGCAGTTGGGGTCCCGTCTGGATGATCGTTTTGTTTGCAAAAATGCCTCGACAGCGGGTGAAGGAGCTTCACGTTGTGTCTTGTTCCGTTTGTTCCGCTTGTTCTCTCCATCCTTGTCCGTCTTGGGAGGTTGTCGCCGTTTTCTTTGAGGAGGTGGTGTTGCGTCACGTTGTCTGCGGCGTTGGCGGGAGAGCAGTCTGGAAGTTTGTGCTGTAGATTGCGGCTCATTGGTGGAGTGGACGGTTGGAAACTCCCATTCCTGGCTTTCGTTCACGTCTTGATCAGAAGGCTCTGGGCTTGGTAGCGGATTTTGGTCATCGGCGGATGTGTCGATGTCGCTGTCGTATTGTTCGTGGAGTAGCATGGCTGCCCTGTGTGATCGGATGAAGAGCTGCTCCCACCAGCTTAGTTCTACTTCGCGGGGATCGTATCCGACGCTTGGCCACGGCTCCAAGCTCGGGTCTGGCGATTCGGGACTTGAACTAATCCGAGCCCGCTTTGCGCCCGGTTCCTCGAGATGCTCGATATCGTCGTCGGACGGGGAATCGGGCTGAGGGTCGGACTGAGAGTTGGACTGAGAATCGGACTGAGAGTCTAGTGTTCTCTTGCGCTTCTGCCGTGGTTGTCCTTCGGGACTGGCCGTCGACGGCGGCGCCGAGTCTGGCGAGTGCCGTGCGTGAATGTCGGGAATCTGGCCATTGTGAACAGCATCGTGAACAGCATCGTGAGTGGCTGGTTGCTGCAATTTCACCCTTTTGGGGGCCAAAGGCGCCTCGGCGTCGGATTTCCGTTTTGCCATGATTTCGCACGATCAAAGCGCCGATTCTTTCGCGATGATTCGTGTCGTGGCGATGCGTGCAAATGTCGTGGGAATCGGTGGTGAGGCTGGAGTTGATGTTGGGATTGTTGAAGCTGCACCGCTTTGTTGATTCAGGGAGATGATTTGAGATGGAGATGGTCACGTGATGGTGATTTGTCCGCCCGGCGTTAATAATTGCGACAACCCGATAGACAGATAAATAGATACATGCACAGAGTACTAAATCAGGAAGATGACAAAAGATAGTTTCGAAGTAATGACTTGTATCAATTAATAAATTAATGCTCTTTCTAAACAACAAGACAAGTATTGATAATCAGTGGCCTTTGAACAGTGTAATATGGCGTCTATCGGAGTACGTACTTTGCTGAGTATTTTTGTCACCCTTATCGGTCACACGGCTGACATAACACAACACAATCATCAAGGGGCATCAAATCGAATCTCACGCCGAGCTTCTCATTCGCATCTTCAACTCATCACAACTTCTCTCCACGCCATCACGCATGATACCTCCCTCACGATACCCATCTCATAGACCATCAAAGTACCTGTTGCAGTGGCATCGACGACAAAAATCCTCATGTCGGGCGAAGCATCAGAAGCGCAACAGGCGCCTCGCACTGAAGCCGTGACTTTTGCACGCTTCTCAGCCGCCAACACAGCAGCCGCTCATCTCCTGGACAATATCCGGTCTGAACTGTCACCTTCATCCCTTAAAATCCACGGGAAAGCAATTGGTTACGAGCTGTCAATACCGCCATCATCATCACCCGGCAACCATGTCTTCGAAGACGTCTGGCGAATAGGCGCCGGTCCACCCACGGCAATCGTTGAGCGGAAACTGGACCATCTCAAGCCAGACATTCTGCTGTGTCCGCCAGATGGATCGCTCAGTGCCACTTTGGCGCGTCAATTCATCAAAGATTTACACGCCTTCATTCAGTTTCACGCAAAATCTGGCGTGATGATGCTCAAGACAACATCCATTCGGCCCGTCACCTATGAGCATGGCGATATGGATCAGACGGATTTGGGGTTGGCTTTGTGCAAGATTCAAAGCTGCGTCATGCGGCGGAGCCAGAATTTTATTCGGTTCGGCGATTATCGTTTTGTTCTTGAATTCATCGCCCAAGGTCAGGACGAGGGCAAGATCAAAACACATCCAAGCGGTTATCGTGGACTTTACCCTTCACCAGCACTCAACGCCGCCCCCATGACACACTCCAAGACCTCTTGGAACATCTGGCTACACAACAAGATACCCGACACATCAACCACCTCAGGTGTCAACATCTACACTGGAGAACCAGTCGCCGTCAAACAACTAGACAGCAAAACGGCACTACTGCCATACACTAGCAACCGACTCCAGGTTGCTCATCAGTACGACAAGAAGAGAGAAAAGGGCGTGCTCGGTATCATAGATGTGTGGTGTGAACATGACATTTCCCCTCCGTGCTTTTCCAATCGGCTCGAGAAAGCCGATGACGATAGCTGTGAGCGGACATTCTATTCCATGCCTCTGGCCAACAATAATTTTCGCGATATGCCATGGGTGAATCTCGAATTTGAGAAACGCCTTGCCTTGTTTTATCAGACTTTATTGGGGCTGGCCGAGCTACACCAGCAAAACATGACCCACGGAGACATTTTGCCAGAGTCACTGCTCATCTTTACGGAACCCGAATCCGCAACAGAGGACCAATCCCCTCCTAGGAGAGCAGTGATTTCTCTCAACATGCGAAAACGAAAGAAGAAGCCAGACCCGAGCGTTTGCGTAGCGCCCGAGGTCTGGAGTAGCCAGGGTGAGCAGAATGGTGATTTGGACGAGACCAAACTGGACATTTGGGCACTTGCGGCCTCATGGCTCTTTGCTTTTACCTTCCCTCCAAAGAACATGAAGATTACAAAACAGACCTATGGCGGCTTGAAGATAACATTGGATACCCAGTTTAAAAGGGGACTGATCAAGGAACCGCTGGTCAAGCTTTTACGGCAAATGCTGGCATGGAAGCCACAAGATCGTCCGAGTGCAGCAGATGCTCTTGCAGATGAAGCGTGGGATCCCATCCGAGACAGGATGCGGGAAGAGGAGGATGGCAGGAAGCGGAAGCGACTGGACATGATGAGGAGTGTTGACGGCGGAGACAAGAGAGTCAGAGTGCTTTCGCCTGATCCGGATGAATAACTAGATAATTGTAATGTTGAACAAATTTGGTGAATGGCGGCTGAGGAGCTTCATGGAATGGATCACACAGCCAACTCCCGTCTTTAGCTCCCGTCTTGGCCCACAGTCTAATATAGCTCCGCGAAGCCGCCCAACTTAAAAATTAACCATGTTTAATTTGGAGCTTTTATGGGGGATTATTGCTGTGCCAGGCAGTTTACTTATAAATCACTAATAGGCCGGTGATTGTCTTTATTGCAATGAGCTTTGATGTTGTCAGATGCGACAATGAAAACGCGCTACTTTGAGGCGAGTCGTCAACAGGATAACCAGAAAAGCTGGCTGTTTGTGGATTCAACCCATCCGCAGTTTTTACTGCATACTTACTCTTCTCCACCATTCACTTGCAAGGCATTTATTCACCAGAGTTTTTCAGAAGTCTAGGCTTTTACATCTTTCTCTATCGATTCTTGTCTTTTGTTAAACCAAGAAATGCGATGCGAGTGCCTAGGTTTAGGGTATGTCCCTACCATAAGCGCCGACAACCAGCAAATAGCAACAACAACTTCAAATATCCTATGTCGTTTCTTGGGTGAGTATCTAGGTAGGTATGAGAAGAGGAGGGATAAGTATATCGAGTTAATGTTGAGAGATAAAGTGAGTGCTCGGATGGGGACGGCCTATTTCTTCTATCCGTGCTTTGAAATATGTCTATTGACTTGAATGTAAAGACAATTGACAATGATGCGAAACAGGTTTCTCAATAGGAAAGTGCAAGGGGTAGGATGAAGTCAAATGAACAGAACATACGGATAGTAGACCCAATGTCCACAACCAAAGGTTTCCGGTTGATTGCAAATAAATCGGTCGTTTCTTCTTTTCATTTGTCCGAATTGAAGTATAATGTAAGAGTGATTAACAATAACCCAACACATGTTTCTGAATAGGAAAGTGCAGGGGTAGAATGAAGCCCGAATGAACATAGCGTGCGGAGAATGGCGAGGCATTCGATTTCCGCGCATCAAAAGTCAAAATACACACGTTATTAAACTACGTTGAGCAAATAACAGGGTCTGAATGTTTATGAAAATTATTAGTAAAAAAATATACACAAACCTTCAGCCAAGGTAAGGTTTGGGTAGGTAGCAGCACGCTATTTAGCTTAAGACCATCCAGTTGGATCAAGTCCATTGGCAGTGGTAGGTATTGAAAAGAGGATAATTTGTATCTTCAAAACAATGACCATGCCGAGCGTACCTTCCTAATCTAGTTTACTGATGTGTGGATATAGGTGTTCAAGGTGTAGAAATTGAGTGCCTCGATAGTATATCAAAAGTGTACAACCAAGGGCTTCTGGTGAATTGCAAATAAATCGGCCGTTTTTGCTTTCCATTTGTCAGAGTTGGGAATATAATGTAACGCAACTCACACATCTTTTCTGACAACTGCTGAAGGATTTCTGACCATTATCAGAAGAGTTGTCATAATACGGAGGTCTGCTTAGTAACTGATTGGGTGCTCGTGATGTTAACCGTAGTCTTTTCTCCCAACATAAATATTCGCCATTTCCCGTTAAAATACCAGTCTCAATAGTCTCCCAGGCCTCAATCCTTTTGTTCAAACATTTACCGTTTCAGATTCATTCTCAGCTCAAATCTATACCAGCAATGGAGACTGTCCTCATCATTGGCGGAACTGGAACCCAGGGAGTCCCTGTCGTTAAAGGTACGTATCGTCATTCATTTGGTGACAGCGCATTAACGCATGAAAGCATTGACTTTGGATCGCAAATATGCCGTACGAGTTATAACAAGGAACGCGGCTGCTTCAGAAGCCCAGATGCTTGCAAAGCTGCCCGGAGTTACAATCGTGGAAGGGAACTGCTATGATGAATCGACGCTCCGCAACATCCTCCCCGACGTTGATTGTGTGTTTGCCAATACTAATGGGTCCGTACTTGGTGAAATGGCCGAGGTGTACTGGGACATTCGCTTGTATGAGCTGGCCCGAGAATTCGGTGTCAAGCACTTTGTTTACGCCAGCCTCCCTTATGTATCCAAACTTGGCAACTTCAACGAAAAATACAAGGTGGGACACTGTGACGGAAAGGCTAAAATTACCGAATTCATTTCTGCGCAGCCGACAAGCCCTATGGCCTGGTCAATTATAACGTCTTGCTTATACATGGAAAGTCTCTCGGAGTTTCTGCTGCCGATATATGATCCAAACAATGACACGCATGTGTTTGCTTTACCTCTTGGACGGGGCAGATGCCCAATGATATCCCTCGATGATAATGCGGCCTATGTCCGATGGGCACTCGACAACCCATCACAAAGCAACGGGCTGAACCTGAATGTCGTGACAGAAGCCGTCACCGGTGATGAGCTCGCTGCAGTGTTCTCCAAGGTTACGGGGAAGAAATCAGTGTACAAGGATGTTTCGCTGGATGAATATTTTCGCCTTCCCGTTTTCCCAGATCCCGATGCCAAAATGGGGGCTTCTGGTGCATCCTCAGGCAATACCCTACTCACTGTTCGAAAGAACTTTTCTGGTCTCTGGAACAGTTGGAAGGACGAGCTATGGAAGGGGGATGATGAGGTGTTGAGTCGGGTCTTGCCAACGCGATTTAAAAGTGTGGAAGAGTGGATGGTGAAGACGGGCTATACAGGCAAAGGCGCACCACTGCTCAAAGACTTTGAGCTTGTTCAAAAATGACTTGGACTCTCTTGAATAATCATGTCGCTTGTATCTTAGTCATGTATATGACAACAAGTTTCTATACAAACAGAGTTGCTGTTGTTCCTACCGTATGGACTAATATCATGTTTCAACTTCAGAAAGTGTTTGGGGTTTTATGTGCTTATGGTGGATCTGCATGCTCCTCACAGCTGGATGCACACCGCCTGTAGGGCTGGAACTTGGGCGAGAGCCACAAGCAGACTATTGAAAATCCGCGGGACGAGACGCCGACTAAAGCAGGGCATCGGGTTTTAAACAGCATCAGTATGGGGCAGACTGATTGTTTAACTTGTTAAATGGTACTATGTATTGCTTGAATAAATATGGTGATTTCTGGAGTTTGGAAGTTCGCATACTACATACGTTAGTTGCGAAACATGGATATTCTAGGATCCAGGTTACATCGTACGATGGTCAGTCTAACTCGCGATGGCCTTATTCAGTACTGGGGTTTGCAGCTTCGGGTCGCTATAATAAGCAAATAGCAGCGTAGTCAGCAGCCAAGCCATTAGCTATAAAATGCCTCATCAGGCACCCCCTTCTACGTCCAATGTAAGGCTTTTTACATCTCTCTCAAGGACCCCATCGGGCTAATCTTCTATTCTCACAACACTAGCGGCAAACATGTGTCGTCTTAAATAATTGATCGTATAATTCTTATATATATACAACCATAAATGGTCTGTTCAGTGTTATTCTGATACTGGAGGCTGCGGCAAGAAATAGCCTCCTTGCAAAGATGCCAGACCTGGATATGACATCTCGAATTTTGACCATCATCCAAGGATACGGCCATAATGAAGAGAACGCTCAAGGCGAGCAATGGTTAGGTCGTGCAAAGTTCGTTCCGCGTGTTCAAAAATACGTTGACGGCAATGCACCTATTGAGCTTGTCCTTCCCGGATTCCCCTGGAAGAGCGTCAACAAGGCGGAAAAGGTTCTGGGAGCTTTACCTGACTTGGGCGAGGAGCTAGCCCTTGGCCGTCTCCAGAATGTCTGCAAAGATATCCAAGAAGTTTACGCCCCTGGAGCTTACGTGACGATTATTTCAGATGGACTTGTCTATAGTGACCTCATGGGTATGTCGAGCGAGGAGATTTTTGAATACGGCTTGAATGTGCGACGCATGGCTGAGGCGAAGGGTTATGACCGTCTCAAGTTTATGCGAATCATGAACTTGGTTGGCATCAGCGACAGCATCCAGGTGACCAAGGAGGAGTATGTCGGCCGCGTCGATGAATCCCGCAGGATGCTCGTGGAAAAGTACACGCCCAAGGGATTCGATGCTCGTGAAGCAATCGCCAACGATCCAGATATCAAGCTCACATATAACGGTTACATCAAACTCCTGAACAGGGATTTACGATACAGCCCTGTAACGGCTAATGATACCACCGAGGAAGAGTACAAGCAAACCGTTGAGCGAGTTGCCAGCGACTTGATTACCCGTGGCAAGGTGAGATGTCTATTTGGGGTCACCCTGCGTTAGTTACGTTGCGTAACTTGTAAACTAACATTCACAACCTAGGCCTATGCCGCTATTATTGATGACAACTTTCCTGACCACATTCGTCTGTCTATCCATCGATCCACGGGTAACAACAAGCTATCGTTCCCTCTGATTCCTCAGCCGGACGGCTCATCCATGACCCCGTGGCATTGCTCTGTTGCTGTCACTTCCGAGGGCCAGTTCCGCACAGCTCTGGCCATTGACTTGCGCGAATCATTTGATGTCATTGAACAAGACGGACGGCCCTACTATTTCCGAGACCGGTCCGATGTGTGGAAGTGGGATGTGCCTGTTGAGTTTGAGGTTTTCTACCCTAAGGGACTCTATATCCGAGCAAAGGCAACTGAGGGTGAAGCTGCGCCAAGGATTGGTCCTAATGAACTTGCTAAGATTGAGCAGCTGAGAACAGGATTTTCGCCTGTTATTCCCATGGGGTTTGCTTAGTTGTTTGGAGACGGCCAATGGGTTTGCTTTATTCCTGATACTAGCTGCTACCATCTAAATACCATCGCTCAATGGATAATAAAGACTTTCCTTTCGAGGTCTGACTATAATTTCCATGTTTATGAAATGAATGGCAGTGTACATGAGGAGCCGATGACAGTGTCCAGTCTGTGGAGGTAGCTTAGCTCGCTGTATTCATCTTCATCGGCTTCAAGGTCTCGTTGCGACCACACCATTTCAAGACCCGCCCTTACACGCATGAGGCTGCTCTCGTTGTGTTTTGCCCCAGTCTTATGGATCAGTTCGAGTAAGAGCATTCGTTCCTCATCAGTGCGTGCTTCAGAACCAAGTATCAGAAGCGGAAAACATCGCTCGCACGTTCTAAGCTTTCTGATAAGGCAAAATCCGCGATCGATCAAGCCGTCGAGCTGATGATCTGGAATACGAGAACTTGACGATCCGTTCAAAAGGTAGACGAGGGTTGCGAGCTGATAAAGCTCTGCTACTATAATGTCTTCTCCCTCGTCTGATCCTGGTGTAGTGGTCTTAGCCACAGAGTCATTGATAAGTGTACTCTCTAGTGAGCAAAGTCGACTTTGGTACTCAATAGCCTGAGCTCGGGGATCATGGGGCTCTACGAGAATATCGCATACGGCGGCAATAGGTTCCAAAACTGTGCGAATTGAGGTGTGGCGATTCAGTAACTATTGCAGCAGACGAGAGTCAGTTAGCCCAGGCCACCTTGATGCTCCCGATTGTGTATGTTGTGTGATGAATGTGCCTGTTGTGCTCGGCTGTACTTACCAAGGGAGATTTTCCACGACTCAGAGAAATCTTGTCCGTAGTCGAATGTGGCAATGTGGAAGGATGGCGCCAATGCCGCATGACAAACCACGACATGACGTCCAAATAGTAAATCCAATCTAGAAGAGGATTGAGTTCGGCTTGATCTGACCGTTGGTCAAGACCCGTAGTCTGGACGATGTGCTTGGCACTGTCAACATAAAGCACCCATTGTCCTGAAGACTCGGAGTGGTGCTGGGTCTCAAAAGTGGCCAAGAGCATGCAGGTAGCAGCATGCTGTGCAGACTCCAAGGCACCTGGAGGGTGTCCAGATTTGGCCGACTCGGCCAGGGCGTTGATGGCAGCGATCTTGTACCGGAAAGCCAAGTCCCGCAGACCGTCACGATGCAGCGAAGATACGGCCAGAAGTGATGATCTGAGCGCGAAGGTGGGGAGAGTGCCGCTGGAAACAGTCATGCGAAGCAAGAGATTCCGTAGACGACGGGCATCAATCCCCAAGACGGACAGCGTGGAGTAAGACACATTGGCAACTGCACAAAGAGAGAGTCAGTGCCGAGTGGATTTTGAGAAGCAATATGCTTACAATAGTCTACTAGTTCCAGAGCGTTGGAGTCGGGATTGCCTGGAGACCAGGGCAGAGGTGGTGGAGGGAAGACGAAGCGGACCGGCTGTCTCTCATCTGAGCCGCGAAATGGTGTCAGGTTAGCTCTCAATCTGCTTTGAACTCTTACGATGTTATTGACCAACTACAATTGTGGAAAGAAACTTACTTTTGACATTTCGCAGCTTTCGAAGATGGTGATACATGTCGACGTCTCTGGAGGACGTGTGCATCAACATCAATGTCGAGCCGCGATTTGCGAGTCCTTGTGCTGGGAGAGAGCGCGAGCTTGACATGGCTACCATGGCTCTTTTGGAATCGCTGGTCCGTGGCCATGATAGTCGCACGCCATAGCCCAAACATTGCCTGTTAGACCTGATGCATTTTGAACAACTGGGGACTTGGCGGTCGCAGGCAACATGGCGATCTGCACGTTGGTTCCATTCGGGGTCTCCTGTCAGTATATCCATTGTAAAGCACTAATGAAAGGGTTGAAGCTTTACCTGCCTTTGCAAGTCCAACATCCTCTTCCAGTCTTTTTCAGCTGGTCAGTTGCATACGACGCCATATTACTTTGAGTGTGGCTGGAATACGTGAGCCAACTTTTTGCGAAGCGGAGGTTTAAGCGGAAGAGAAGGTATGCGCAGAAGAGAGCAGTAGATAGTGAAACTCCGACAAGTTTGGTTCTTGGTCAGCTCAATCGAGAAGGGCGGCCTCGGGCTTCCCCGGGCTTAGCATAAACCCGATGAAGCCCCCTCCAGTCGATCTTAGGTAGAAGACCAATCAAGGAGCTGGATCGGAACCAGCCGAATCCACCAGGGCAACTTTTCACGAGCTTTGATATTCCACTTTGTCTTCGGCGGGGGATTTGCAACTGATGCCTGAGTTTAAGATACCCATGCAACTGAAGCAAAGGCCTTGCAACTCCGCCGTCTAGCAACTATCCGCGAGAATGTTGTCTATTCTAGGGGGTTGAAACTCCATGCATCTCCGTAGAAGGGGCTAGATATTTTACCACTGCCAAACAATCAGTGTCAAAGCTACGGATCATGCAATGTCTTGACAATGTATAAAACGCGATGGTTTCCCGTTCATATTCCACGTATAGAGGACCACAACGATCAATAGAGCTAGATTGATTGTAGCTGAAGCACGTATCTCTCACTAGCTCTCGTAAATAGCCGTCGACATGGCCTCTTATCTTGTTACTGGCGCCTCGCGAGGCATTGGAGTATGTATCTGCAGACATCTACAATTATCTAAAGCATCAACTGACAGTATCCTACTATTCTTGAAGTTTGAATTCGTTCGACAGCTATCCGCTAATCCCGATAACATTGTTATTGCTCTGGTCCGCGACAAAGAGGCCACAGAGAGGAAGATAGCCGCGGAGATTACTGCCTCCAATATCACTGTTGTCCAGGCCGACATGACCAATTTCAAAGACCTTGAAGCCGCTGTCGCCATCGTATCCGAGATAACCAATGGTACGCTTGACTACGTGATTGCCAACGCAGGCAAGATCTCGGACTGGTCCGGCCTGGACAGTGTCCAGGATCTGGGCTTGGCGGACCCCAAGCTGCTAGAAGAAGACATGTTGGACCTATTTCGCATAAACGTTGTTGGTAACGCGCATCTGTTCAATCTTGTTGTTCCGCTTGTCCGGAAAGGCACTGCGAAAAAGGTCATTGCCATCTCGTCAGGCATGGCCGAGCCAACCATGACCACCAAGTGGAAGCTGACTCTCGGTTACCCTTACACCGTCAGCAAAGGGGCTCTGAACACGCTCATTACGAAATTCCAAGCGCAGTATGTGGATGAAGGAATCCTTTTTCTGGCTGTATGCCCGGGGTCAGTCGACACAGGCCACTTGCCCAATCCAAACGAAAAGCAGCAAAACAATCTCATGGCCATGGCAGCAGCGTTTCAAACGTATCAGCCCAACTTCACTGGGCCTGTACCGCCCTCGGAAGCAGTCACAGACGTGCTCAAGGTTGTGCATAATGCCACTATTGAGAAGGATGCCGGAGGATTTGTGTCGCATTTTGGTAACCAACAGTGGTTGTAAAGATGAAAGAGAAAATATAATTCGTTACGACTAGAGATTGACAACTCCCGCATGTTCCGGGGCTGAGGCAATGAGTATTAGCGCGTGCCGGTCGAGGCTGTCCGAGTATAATCTCTTTCAAGCTTTCGGCTTTATTCTTATGAAAAGGCGAAACTCGATGCGGCCTAGCCCTCGTACTCTCGCAACACTCCCAATTTCTTCCAGTGATGAAGAACCTGGGCAATAGACCTTTGATTGTTGCGTTGCAAAAACTTATGGACAAGACTTGTCAGTTAATATATGCTCAGTAAACTCTTCAAGATTAGGACCCTCTCTTTGTATCAAAACATCAATTCAAGTCTATAGCAACTATAAAATCCAACTTGTTACAAAAGCTCATTGTGCCTACTGCTTGCCCTTGGCAAAGAAATCCTTATCACGATAATCCTTCAACACCGACGCAGGCTCTCCGGTATAGCCAGCCTTGATCATCCATTCCTTCACCGACTTGACTCTGTTGGGCAAAATGTCATCCAACAGAGCATAGTCCCTCTTGGTCAGCTCATCCTTCCAGGTGTTCCAGAAGCCCGAAAAGTTCTGGCGGAACGTAAACAGGGTGGAATCGTTGCCACCACCGGCAGCACGGCCAACGATGGCATCTGGCTCGGGGAAGATTCCCAAGCTAAAGTATTCGTCCAAGCTGACATCCTTGTAAATCGCCTTTTTGCCGGTAACTTCTGTAAACGCTGCGGCAACATCCTTCCATGCGACATCTTCAGTGCCGACATGGAGTTCAAGGCCGTTGCTGCGCTCCGGGTGGTCAAACAGCCATCGAGCGTAAGATCCATAATCTTCGAGATAGATGAGTGGCATTTTTGCGTTTCCAATGGGTAGAGCAAAGACCATTGTCTCAGGGTCGCTCGGGTTGGGGAAAGGTCGAAGGAGTTCCGACAGACCTTCGATATAGAGGCACGAGGTCAAGACAGACCACGCCATCGGCTTCGTTGGCTGAGCTGCAATAAAGTCGACAACCTTGCCCTTTCCATCCAAATGTCCGGTTCGATACTTGGGGTTGTAGTTTCCGAGCCTAGTAGCATATTCAAGACCGGCATAGAGGAAATGCTTCAGGCCAAACTGGCGGGACAGTTCGTAAAGGCGGGTGCCCCAATAGACCTCTGCCTTTTCTCCAATAGCAAAGCCATTGGTGTTGGCGAAGAGATACGAGACGCCCTCGAAAGCTTTCAGAAGGGTGGGCTCGTGGTAGCTATCCCCCTCGAAGATGGTGACTCCTGGGATTGCGGCGAGTTCCTTTGCTTCTGGAGAAGAAGCAGTCCTGGTAAGGACGCGGACGGCGTATTTACCGTCAGACGCAAGGGCTGCAAACAAGTATTAGTGATGGATTTTTTTTAAACACAGTTAAGAGTATACCTTTGACGACAGGAACTCCCTGGGCACCAGTGCCACCGATAACAAGGACTGTTTCAGGCATTTTGTAAATGTAGAGTAAGTTGGATGAGTTGAGCTTGAGTGTGAATGTTTCTTTGCAGTTGAGTGATTGTTGTGGAAATGTTGATGAGGATAATATTTTCTCTCTGGATATCTGGAGGACTTATATAGTCAATTGTGTCAACTAGTATAAAGCGAATTGGTCAGGCCACTTTGCTTTAGGTTCAGCCATTATTGAATTGCTATTGCCAGCCACGGGCAAATTACATCACAACTGCGCAGGCAACTTTTCTCCAAAACCCCGCGACTAGGGATGATACGCATCACTCTGGTTGCCTTTCACTCTGAATTCAGAACTATTCACTTCTATGTCTGCCAAGGCGGCTGACATATTCGTTTCTACGCTCAAGGGTTAGTCATTTACTGCGTCACGAAGAGTTAAGTTTACTTGAAAACTAATCAACCGGGCGCTGCGCTGAAGGATGAAAAACTAATCATCGCGACTTAGCGTGCAGCAGCCCTGCATAACTAATCACGTCAGATCACTAATCATTAATTATCATACGAAGTCTATTCTGAAGGAGTATGCTTTGAAATGTTTCAATCGGAGCATAGAAAATCCCGGCAACAGAAGCAGATAGTATTTTGCTTTATAATTGTGATGGTGACTGAGTCGTTGAATGAAACTCAATCGCAGAAAGAATATTAAACAATTGATGAATCTGTAGACGAGGTTGTCGCTACTGTGAGACAAAGTTGTCGCTACTGTGCCGCTACTCACCCTAGGAGTGTACGGTTATCCGCGAAAAAACCAGTTAGAGAGAACCAATATGGCCATACAGTACAACAAATTAATTGAGGCGATTCGTGAGGCTATACCTATTAAAGCAAAGCATGCGTCAGAAAATATCATCTTCTGTACGCGTCACGTAATGAAACGTTGTCTATTTTTTTCCTTAAAAAAACACTAAAACTGAGTAAGATACATGTAGGTAGTAGATTAGCATCACTGTTGAAGAGAAGTAGTTGGATCCAATCGGCACAATTTTACCAATCTGTACCTCTTGTTCCTACGGAATCAGTAATTATTCCAATTAATTCAAGCTTTCGGTTTCCAATTAGAGTATACAAGAGTCAGGTAGATTATATCGTTGTCAAGCGATTATGCTTAATGTATCTGGGGTAGTAAATCAAAGTCTCAAACCGCATTTACACAAACAACACCTACAAAATCAATCATTACAAAATGAAATGCCGCAGCAGCATACATCTGTTAGTCTCTCTAGGTAGAGAATGTTTTTCTAATCCCGGTGGGAGAACCGCTTCGAACGAGTCAGCTTCAGGACTTGCCGTAGACACGATGACACACACCACGCAATGCTCTCTGCTGCCTTGATCCCACGGGACATTTCTCGTACTTTTGCCCGAAAGATTGTAAAGCCGGCCTGAAAGCTCCGATGAGCCCTCTAACAAGCAACGCAACGCCATTGTTCGGGCACAGGCTACCCCCTTTTCATTCGAAAGAGGCCTTGACTAGCAACACCACTAGCTTTTACGGGTAAAAGATCTCATATCCGTGGACAATTTAGTTGTATATTCGTTGTATTGTACACACTCGGCCTCTGCGTGGGATCGCCTGTCTCAGCGGCGTTGTGATTTTCGACTTTCTCCGCTCTTACCCCCCCGAATCCTTTCGAAACAACGGTGCATATGGACGGCGACCACTGGCTGAGATGAGCACATCATCCTTTTGAATGCTCCATAACGACGGTTCAACGAAGGTATAAAGCCAGGCAGGAGTACACCCATTGGAGGAAAAAGATGCAAACAAAAGCACAGTTGGTGGACACGGTAGGACGTAGGATTTCTCTAACCTACGATGTGGGTCGATATCACCTTATTAAAATTGTTGGGCTATGGAATGGGGTCTCAGGAATAACCCAATGATGATCTTAGCCATTACTCCAACATCAGACATCAGAGGACATGTTCATCGGCCTACACGAAGAGACTGTAACCGGGCGTCTTCTAGTCGATGTCGGCATCCCAGAAGGGGGGCGATGTACACGATGAGATTGTAGATGCAGAAAACGGCTCCTTGGCAAAAACAAGTAGGGTTTTGCCTCAATTTCTTAGACTGTGGCCCGTTGGCTTAGGCTCTAAGCGAGTAGCAAGTCCAGCCCATGACGTGTCAACGCTTGCAGCTATCGACTCCAGTGCAGGATTGTCATGATAAGTCTTGTAGGTGACAAGTAGTTTACTCATTCGTGTGGTCCTCTGACCAACTCCCATGCAAACAATCACAATCTACGCCCGATGCTTATACACTTCAGGGGTAGCGACTTTTGCCAGACAAACAGTTAACCAGTATCTCCCGCAGCGAAAACAAGACTGATCATGCTGTTTAAAAACCTCTATTAATCTTCTAACCAGCTCCTAGTACATTGTCTGTCTTTATAATTCTTGGAAGATCATATGAGTTGATAATAGCTCATAGTTGTGTTTCAGAGGACGGGCAAGAAGGCTTCCTTGTGGGTGGCGAAGGATCGGGGACACTGGGTACCACTTCTTGAAGCAGACTTGTGTTATTTTTACGCGACAGAGGGATTTATCTACGCCAATCTTCCCCTCGTATAGGCTAGTTAGGCGACATGTGTGCCCATTTGCTCCGTACGAGACGAATCTTGTGTCGTCTAATTCAAAGACCATTTATGAACCCATGAGAGAATTACAAAACCAAATCCTTTGACACGATAACTATCCTGGGAAATGATTTAACGTGAAGACGAGCTGTGAGGACACTCGGCGTTTGGGTCATCTTATATTCGGAGCTTCGCGTCTCCCATCAGCTGGCGACTGAGGACACTTGATCCTCGTACTTTGTTTTTCCGGTGATCAATTGCACAGCAGCGTAAATATAACCCAACATGTTACCCTGAGATTTTACTTGATATCGTTTACTATAGACTGGTTCATTACGAAAAGTGTTTCAGGCTTCACAGAGCTCGCACCCTGAGATATGGTCGGATGAGATGAGGTAACGCGATAGAACAGGTGGCGAGGGATAATGTTTTCGCGAAGCCCCTGGCTAAATCAATTCAAGGATTGTGTACTAGACCCCAATTGGCCTGTAATGCTTGGTGAAATTAGAAGTTGTGGGCGTCTGACCATTAGTCAAGGCGTCTGTTTAATAATCGGATTATTCGATCAGTTTATATAGGCATCAGCATAACCGCGGGCATCCCCGACCGGTGAAAGGGAAAAAACTAAGACGCGACTTTTAGAAGTTTGCTGGCCTGCAAGAATGACTGACTTAAACGTGGGCGATTCAATGAGGCCCGTGGCTGGAATCCATCGACAGACGTTGACTGAACGACGAAACAGCCAACATCGAATGGGGGCTCGATCAGCCAGGATTCGGCCAAAGAGGGCCCAATACGTGGCCAGCGCCTGGTGAGAGAACGCAAGCCTTGCTTCTCCTCGCTGTACTGTTCATACGTGACAGCTTGGTAATGTTGGCTTGCTAACTTGGATTGTGCCATCCTATTCAAGTGATGGATGTCGAGGACGCAAAGTCCGCTGCACTGGACAGAGGCCCTGCGAGCGATGCTCAAAGTTTGGTATTCCGTGCAACTACGGAGACGAAAGTGCATCTGCTGCAGTGACCGAAGCTTCTGAGGCTACTACGTATGTTGTTCTATTATCATATAACCTTTTATCTTGGTATGTGTCCTGAGGTTGTTTGTTGCTGACGACGAGGATTTGAAGCAGTGAAATTCAGAGGCTCAAGGACGATGTAGCTGCTATGCAAGACAAGCTCAACTTGATGCGTTCAAGCCTTGTATCTATCCAACTGCAGATGAGTGTTGGACCGGACTCTCGTATCGATACAAACCCCGAGCCCGACAGGAACATGCACTCGCCGTCCTGGAATTTCCCTATACGCTTATCCATGATACCGCCCTCCATAACGGCAGTCAATAGCACCCGCCAAGCACCCTCATGTCTACCTTTCAAGCGGTTCACAAGTCCTGATTCGAGTTTACAAATGTTACAGCGCTACCTTGATGTGCCGCAGAATAGGAAACATGGGGTGCCCGTATCTCCCCGACTGGCAGCACCGACCTCGCTCTCGACTGGAGGAGACTGCGGTCACACACAGAGTCGAGAAAAGCCCTCCCTCGCAAATTCACCACAGAGGCTGCTGTGGCTTATCGGCCGTGCAGAGGCGGCTCGGCTATGTGATGTCTACGAACGTGAAATAGGAACAATCTATCCTGTCGTTGATATGAGCGAAGTCAAGCAAATTCTTGGTTCGTTGTATAGCGCTTACGAAGCTGCAAACTATTCGTCGACGTCACCTGTTCCTGTTGTTGAAGAACTCGAGGACGTGGCTGATGGTGACGTTGAGACATTGAAACTCGTTCTGGCGATAGCACTGCTGGCGGAGGGTGGCGGTCGGCATACAATGGGAGAGGCCATATGCGAAGAGGTTCAACAGCAGCTGGTTTTCCCAATGGGACGGTTAGGCGAGTTGAAAGACATCGAGAATATGGCGCTGTTGGTTCGTTCTTTTCCTCTCAAGCCCCTCACTGTGTTTTCCATTTATCAGCTACATAATGCTTTCACTTTTCTAATCTATCCGACAAAATACAGGGCGTCTCTTTCTACCTTATGAACGACGAGAATCAAGCATGGCGGATGATTGGGCTTGCTGCTCGTCTGTGTATCGAGCTCGGTTTGCACCAGGCAAATTCTTCGTACGAAATCCATCACAACTCCAAAGGTTCCATAAGAGCACTAGCACTATTCTGGGATATTTATATCCTTGACCGACGCTTTAGCCTCAGCACAGGCAGGCCGTTTGCTATACAGGATGCGGATATCGATCCAGCCTTGCCGAAACCGGTCAGTATCCCTCAAAGACTTTGGGGTCTGATATGACGCCTCACATCGCTGACCATTACAAGGATGATTTATCACCGTATGTCCGTAGCATGATCGCCTTTGCAAGCATGGGATCTCGGGTACGGGCATCACGCGTCTGCTTCGAAGGCAACGGTTCACATTGCGATTGGGAAGAAATCGCCTACCTAGACTTCCAAATCCAACACTGGAGCGACGCGCTTCCTTCATCTTTAAGGCTATTCAAGACTCAATCATGTTCCCTTGAGGACGAAAGCCTGGCCACAGCTATCAACACACCTCTTGATTTTGCCGCTATAGAGGAACAGTCTTTGTTTCTTCGCGCACTGCTCCATCTCCGCGCCAATGATTTGCGTATCTTGATCCACAGACCTGCCTTGCATTCGTCTGATTCAATCCAGAAGAATCCTCTGAGTGCGCGTACTGCCGTCAATGTTGCACGTCGCTCGCTCAACTTGTTATTGTACCTTTGTCGCCTGCCAACCCTTCATCCCATGCATCACGTCTGCGCAACCCATTTCCTAGCCTCTTCGCTTACCGTCTTGCTCCTTGCAGTCTCACACGCGCCAGAGGATTTGGGTGCTGAAGTCCGTGATCAGCTACTCTCCGCTCTCAGCTTCCTGGAAGACCTCAGTACGTCGACTACTCACTCAGAGAGTCTCTGGTATACCGTCCGGAATTATCGAGACCCGGTAAAGAGACTCGGCGAAATGCTTCAAGAGAACATCAACAGCAATCGGGCAACACCAGCAAAGGACGCATTTACTTCGCCAAAGCATAATGATGAAGGATTTGCCACATATTCTGGCACAGGGGGCCTTCCAGTGTTTGACTGGGATATCACCGGGGGCCAAGCTTTGCCTGAAGAATGGTTCAACGAGTTGCAAGAGCCCAGGGGATAAAAGCTTTCAGGATTTGATCCCGTAAAGCCCATTGGAAGACAAAGAAGCAGTTTAAGGAATCTGGGCTTCCATATCTATATGCTCTATAACTTGTGGTGTCGTTAAATAAGCTTCTTGTTCTTCAGAACTCGCTCAAGTGTAGTTTCCAGATCTTCCTTTGGTATATCCAGGACATCATTCCATCTCGTTGCGCGTCCCCCAACGTCGCAAAATCCCCATGGCCCATGAGTCGACCCGGTAGCTGAATTGAAATAGCCCTTCTGCCATTCACCCTTGGCCATCATCAACCGTCCTCTTTCTGCTAACTCTACCGAAGATGCCCGTGAGATGGCCATCTTCTTCCCCAGTAGCCTCTCCAGTCCTTTGATTGCTTCATTTGGACACACTTTGAACGAATTGACATATACTTGCTGATTTCGTGTAGTATCAGGGTGCGTTAGTACTAATGCAATCGCTTTTCCCGCAGTCTCGAAATTGGTCGCGTCATATCGCTGGGTGCCCGAATCATATATCGTTGCCTTGTAATCTTCAATCTCCCAACCCATCAGACCAGTACCGATCTCTAGCAGCTGTGGCATATATTAGCCATTGTATTGCTGAACCAGATAATTGTACATTTATACCGAGTCAAAAAATGGGCCCGTGTATATAACTTAGTTGCTTACTTTAAAAATCTACCCTATATCCTCTTGTATAAATTCGTTTGCCACAGAAGCATGCTCTTGTTTGGAAAACATTTCTTGTACTTTTGCTAATAAGCTTAGTAAAGTAGTTGTTGTCATTGAGCTTTTGGACTTTTATAGCTACCCACCCTATGTGTTTTCGTTTATGCCATCGTACTATATACATGTTGAAACCAAAAAGTCGCCTGTATTTCTTTTTACACAGGTATCTCTTCTTTCCGCCGTCGGATACTCAACTTGACAGTCATATCTGTGATGCCTTGAATCCCATAGCGTATAAACCTGGGCGTGACGCCATCTTGAAACTTGATGTCATACTTGAGAAGAATATTGATCAAGGCAATCTTCAACTCATTCGCTGTAAAGAACCTTCCAGGGCATGCAAATTTGCCATAGCCGAATGCAAGATGCTCTGGTGCTGTTGAGACAAATGTGGCGTACTTCTGCTGCTCCTTGGTGCCCTTGCGTAAGTTGTAGAATCGGTAGGGATCCCACTTGTCTGGACTGTCGTGGAGTTTGGGATCCCACATTGAACTTGCGTCAACAGCTGTGACCATGCCCTTCGGAATGACAGTGCCGTCAGAGAGAACAATTCGTTGCGTTGCCAAGCGGCTCATTGAAACTATGATAGGATGAGTTTTTGAAGACGGCATAAGTTGGGTTGTTTAACATACCGGTAGTAAACGGTTTCATTCGCTGACTCTCCTTGATGACGCTGTCCAACAACACCATCTGGTCAAGGGATGCCTTTTTCCACCCGCTCTCTTTGAGTACGGATATGGCCTCCTCTCTCAGTGGCTGAATGATTTCTGGATGCAAAGCAAGGTCGGCCAGCACATGTGTCATGAGGTCAGTTGTTGTATGAACGGAGAACGTCGCCATACTAAGCTGGATGAGCTCTGGGTCGTATTTTTGTCCATTGCTCTCTTGCGCGACCCATTCAATCGCATCATTGTATTCAGGTGCTGGCTTCCCCTTGGCAATGGCCTCTGCTTTTACTCTTTGACGTTCGACAAGAATAGTTCGTAATAGTTTGCGTATATCAGCCATGTATCCACGGGCTGTTCGGCAATTTGCGTCAAAGATGTTTACAATGTACCGCATCCAGGTTGGCCAACGTTGAAGGCCTTGGAATGCTTTGGTAATAACGTTGGCGTAACCTCCGGTAAGGCGTAGCCACTCTTTATTACTACAAAGCTCAGGACCGAGAAAAACTCGAGACGACATTCTAGAAACCAGCTGTAGAACTGTCGCTTGAAGCGGTACGTCGTGCCATTCTGGATTTCAAGGTCAGTGGTGTTCTTCTCGGCGTTGACTCTGCTAATCTTGCCATGGACATACCTGTCTCGTCTGTAAAAAGATCCGCCAGTGCCAGGGTGGTTTCTTCGGCGAGAGGTTTTGTAATTTTAACTATGCAATAATATCAGTATTACCATTGGATTGGCCAAATATGATGTCCAGGTACATACCGAGCTGTTTATTGAAATGTTTTATGATGACGGTCCTCACAAGCTCATTATTTATGTCATCACGGAAAATTTCAAATCCTGCTAAATGAGAAGGGAAACTCTATACATTGTAAGAATAAATAAATAATCCGCGCATGATGGTATAATACCTTTGCGAGTTGCTTTCGGAGATTGAATCTCTCGTCGTTTCGGAGCTCTTCTGCCATGGACCCAGGCAGAATGACCATGGATCCAAATTCTGTGTTTAGCATGCCGGGCGTATTCGGGTGGTCGCGAAACCAGCCCCCTATCAGGTTTGTTGCATTGAATTGGTATAGTTTTATGGCTCTCTTGTTAGAGAACTCAAAGAAGCCTTTGCCGTTAATCTGGGGGATCTTGGAAGACGAAGCATAGCTGTAAATGCAGCCCAAGACGATTAGCGCGGCAACAATCCATTGGGTGGACTGAGGCCGAAACTGTTCACTCCATTGAGCGGACTGAAGCTGAAGAGACTCCAGCGAAATGTTCATCTTGGATCAACTCTGGGGTGCTCCGAGCCCCAAACACACTACTCCGTGTAGCAATAATGACTGCTTATTTCTTGAGTAATACCCGGACTAATATTTTCCTTGGCAAATGGTGTATACATATAGTGCAGCGGCTTCCGGCCCGTAAGCTCTCACTGTATACTTCAGTAAATGCATAGGTACGCGTACCGTTTAATTACCCTTTGAGGATATTATTGTAAGATTTTTGCCCCTCGGAAACCATAGCGTAGCCCACTATATTCGGTAGTTTCCCCATCTGGCAATCCCCCTCCTCACTATTTTGCTGCTATATTTATCGCCGTATAAAAGCCGATCCCTGTTATTCACATTCATCGCTCTATCGGTAGAGGCATATGGAAACTTCCTTTTCAGGAACCTTCTCACGCCTTCTGCACTCTTCCTACATTGGGTAAAAGCTACAAGTAAGGCTTCTGAATTGCCTTTCTGAGGCAAGTAATCTATACAAGCTGGTGCCCACTGGGAACCTTGGCTCACGTAAAGCCAAGACATCTGCTTACTCGACGCTAGCTATGGTCCTTATTCATGGAATTCTCCGAATGCTGAGGCTGTACTCGTAATTTGTAGTTCGTCAGGCCCAGCCTAGCGGTCAGTGAAGCACATTTCATCTCGGCCGTAAATCAATAAATACTGCGTGACGCCCCAATTTATAAAGTTATCAAGTCAAATCAGTCTTGATACACCTCTTTGGACATTTTCAAACATGAGACACTTCAAGAACCAAATCGGTTGGGCCCTTACCACCGGGGCCCTGGCACCAATGTCTGTCCTGGCTCATCCTACCAAGCCGGGCGGCAAGTTTGCAGCACCAGTGACTCTTCCCCTTACCTGGGCCGAGAGCACGCTGTACCGTCCCGGTCTTTGGATGATGGATGTAGCAGTGGGCACTCCGCCACAGATCCAGGCTCTGACTTTCGACACGGACTTTGCCGATATTGAGGTTCACAGCGCAAGCGATGGTAACTTTACAGAGGCTTGCAAGACTCAAATCCCATCATTCTGTTCTACATGTAAGCCATCAAGTAATTTCCGGTGAATAAATGCCATGCTAATCATGATACGATCAAGACAATGTTAGTGCCTCAAGCTCGTTTAAATCTCTCGGCAAAGGCACATACCACTTTGACTCTGAGCTTTTTGGCATCCCAGAGGATGGAGACTACAGCACTGAAGTCCTTCATCTGGGGGGTGTCGCAATCAAGAACCAGACATTTGGCTATACGACGTCTAGTCGCGAACCATACGGCAACTTTGGCCTCAGTCCACCAAACAACGAGATCGGAGTCATCACAAACACTTTCCCGCAGTACCCAACTTACTTGGAATCTCTTGTGCTCCAAGGGATCTACGAAAACGCCTGTTTCAGCGTGTGGCTTGATCCTCATTATCCATGCGAGGGCTTCGAGGATATTCCAGACGGAGAGGTGACGTTTGGCGGCATCGACACGGGCAAGTTCAAGGGCGACCTCGTGACTTTTCCAGTTCAAGGCAAGGTTAACGGCTCTGCTATGGCGGCTCACTGGGACTTGTCACTTACGAGCATCACACACGGCGACTCCAAGACGAACCTCGCTGAAGAGCCCGCCGACTGTGTCGTGTCTATGGGCGATGGCCAACTGTACCTACCAGACGACGTCTACCGTAACCTTGCCATGTCAATTCCAGGTGCCTTTTTGAACGAATCGATTGGTTTCTACGAGGTGCCGTGCGAGGCGAAGAACGACCCAACCAATACATGGACGGTCGGTTTCACGTCGCCGAAAACGCCAGCTCATCCCAAGGGACAGGAAATCTCCATCGACATTCCCGTGCAAGGCGTCATTTGGCCCATGAGCGCCATCTTTGGCCCGACTGCAGACCCAGACACATGCACTATTGCGGCACAAGGCCCTTATCTTGGATCTGCATGCATTGTGGGTTGGACCATGACGAAGTTTGGCTACTGGGTTTTCGACTTGTACAATGGGGAGATTAGTTTTGCTCCGCCAGCTGCCAAGGGCGAGAAGAAGAGCCATGTCGTTCCACTTCCCAAGAACGGCGTCACTGCCCTCAATCTTCGGTCTTAAAGACACTAAGGGTTGTTAGAGCCTGACTGTTAGATTTGGTAGGTTGGGCTATGGGCTTTTGGCTGGTGTAACGGCCTGATTGGCCCTATTGCTTTGTATCATAGGCCATTCTTAGAAGATATCTATAATCTCTCTTTCTATTAGCTATTATTATAATCCTTCTTTCTATTAGTTCTTGTATTCCATGACTATCTAGGTTGAAAGCTTTATGCTAACTATCGCTTGCCTTGATGAAATCCAAGCGAACTATCAGTCCTTTATCATTAGATGTGATGGAATCTATATATCCCAATGGTCTTCTAGAAAATGGGCCGTTTTTATCGTGATGAATCCAAGTTTCAGTTGCTGAGTTGATGGGAGATTTCTCCTTTTGCCTAGCCGTATAATTACCAATTATGATACTATGGAATGCAATCAAAGTATTGTTGGCAGAGAAGTGATGGCTATGTAATTACATCACAGTTGCGATGATTTGAGCCTTTGCACACTGCGGATATCTTATGATGCATTCATGATTGAGCTATTCTATTTCTACCTCAAAGAAACACTCCCGAATTTACACCTTAGGATAGCCCTGTGCAACAATCGTCCGCACTGTCTCCATAGCTTCGACCAAATATCCTTCAAATCGGGCAGTATCATCCTCCCGGCCGTTGACAATAACCAAAGGATCCGAATGATGAACCTCGTAATGAACAAAGATACTGCCCGGATTAGGCATCAAAAACCCGCCCTCCTGCATCCTCAAGTAGCCACCAGAGCCCAGACAATCCGTCTTCACCTTCTTCGGGCTGAGATGTCTATCGCTATTCTTCCATGCCGCAGAGCGGAACAAGGCGGGCACCTCTTTTCCCTCAGCCAAGGCAATGCCCATGAGCGAATAAAGCGATTCCACGTATCCGCGACCGTCTGCAACCCGTCGTAGTGACTGGACGTGGCTGATGGTAGCCTCCTTGAGCTTGCTTGCCAACTCCGTGACATCACCCTTGCCGCTCTGCTTAAAGCTCAAAGCGGCTTCAACCCAAGCAACAATGTCAGGGGTCAAGTTTTGGAGCCAGTCGATTCGGCCTCTGGCGTACTTGGCGAGAGTGACTGTTTCCCAGACGGGCTCAAAGTGGCCGTAGAACATGCGCGTTGCCATGAGAATTGCCATCAAGACAGTACCCTTTGAGCGTAGGCCCTTGTTGCCGATGAAAGATCGGTTAAGCGCGGGATAATGACGGCGAGATGATCCGATGATGTGGTAGTGAGCCAAGTTTCTCTGTGTCTGTTCACCGATGGCCTGCTCAATCGAAGGCGATGTTTCTAGAATGAGTTCGCGGACAATGGAGGCGGGAACCCCGTCGCCCACGCTTTTTGTGTCGAAGATCTCATCGGTAATGTACTCGTTGAGTTGCCTGGTGGTCAATCCATCGAGCTTGGAATTCTCTCCCACGAGAGCAGATACGCCGTTTGCGGCAACGGTGAACTGGAGCATCTTGTCTAGCCAGCGATTGGTGAGGTGGCGGTCATTCAGAAGGATAGAAGTGCAGCGCTCGGAAGAAGTCTCTGGCGCGGTGTCATCCAAAGACACCACAAATGCAGCTGACTCGATAGTGTCAACAATAGCAGCATTATTGGGGCCGTAGCTCTTTATCTGTGTGCGAAGTGCGGCCCATTCGTCTCGCTTCTTGGTTGTCAACACGGAGACTGGCGGCAGACTCTGTTCAGACGACGCGAGGATTTCGGCAAAGACTCTCTTTAGTGACGCATAATCATCATCCTCGTGTACGGTAATCTCATACAAGTGGCCTCTGCGCATCACAACCACCTTGTTGTTGGGAGCATACTTTTGTGCCAGATCAATTTCCAGCCCCGGTTCCTGCGAAGTGTGGAACAACCATTGTAACGATTCCATATCCAAATTGACTTCGTTGAGCGTGTGTTGCTCGAGTAATCCATTCTCAAGCCGCTTCTTGAAGTTGAACGCAGCTGCAGTAACGATAGCTGCTCGCTCAGCCTGCGTATGTTTCGGAGCACCATCAGTGAGGTGACCAATCCAGAAGAGAGCGTGATCTTGCAGAGGCTCACGGCGCTCCATGTGAATGTGGTTGTCGTAAAACTCGGATCGAGTATCGAGGCCTGATGGACTGGTCCGAAGAAGCTCCTGCAATTCCTTACCAGAGGTGGAAAAGTCTTCGAGAACAGGGCCCATCTCCTCCAATTCCTCTGGAGAGCAGATTGCCTTTCGAGAATCGGCAAACATTTTCAGAGTATCAGAAAGATCTGCAATGGGAAGTGGCCTCAGTCTCTTGGCCGGCTCTTGAGAAGGCGCCCGAGTCGTTGCATGAGTCGACGCAGGGAGCATTTCACTCTCGCCGATATAACCATCGGTCTGGTCATCGCCTAGTAGGCTGGAGCGTACCGTCACCTTGTCTGCCAACGCCAACAAGTTCAAGCTGTCGAGAACTTCTGACGATTGAATTGGGGCGCTAAACTCTCTCATGATCCAATTACGAAGCTCAATGGCAATCAACGAGTCAAGACCGAGATCGACAATAGACTCATCCAAGCCCACGTCTTGAGGTTCAATGGAGATGAGATACGCAAGCTGGTTGCGGATCAGCTCAGCTACAAAGGCCACGATTTCATCCTTGTCGTCCGTCTGAGCAACAAATTCTTCAAACGTCCTTGTCTTTTTAGACGTGTCATCGCCCGCCTGCCTCTTTGCCGTTTGACGAACGTGGGTGAACATGAGCGTTTTCGCGGTGCCGTTGACGGTAATAGTCTCTCCCAAGCTCTCCGGCGTGAAGCCAATCACGGCTTGGGAAAGTCCAACCTGACGGGGCTCTGTGCTGAGTGCGTACTCGAAGAATGCGTCTAATTCATCGTGGCGAATCGTTGTCAGGCCTTGACGTTGTAGCGATTGCATAATGATGTCGCTGTTTACTGTTGCGTCTTCAATCAATCCCATGTTGAGGACCATGTGGAAGCAACCTGAGCTTCGGTCGAATTGAGCAGCCGCATCCTGTAGAGAGTTTGCAGCGTTGTAGTTGGCTTGTCCAGCTGAACCAATGATGTTGACTGCCGATGAAAGTGAGATAAAAAAGGTCAAGTCTTCTGCCTCAAACACCTTTTGAAGGTTCAATGTGCCAAACGCCTTTGCTTGGAGGACGCTGTCAAAGTCTTCAGCAGTCATGGTATCCAGTGTCGAGTCTCTCGGAACGAGACTGGCCTGAACGATGCCTTTGACGGTGGGCAATCCCGCAGCTTTGATCTCAGAGAGTGCTGCCTTGACACTGCTTTCTTGAGAGACGTCGCATTTCAGGCAGTGCAAGAGAGAGCCAGGGCTCAGCTCTTGAAGTTGCTTCTCAATAGCTTGGTGCTGAGTTGCGGTGGCACCACTTCTCGAGAGCGTAACAAAGTATCGAGCACCGGCCTTTGCCATAAGGCGTAGGAATCTCTGGCCCAAGTCACCCAAACCACCGGCAACTACATACGTGGCGCTGGCTTCAAGTCTTGGGCGAATATAACTTGGCCGTTCAACCTTGACCATGGCAACATCGTCAACTTGGACCACGCATTTACCCACGCTTTCTGATCGAGCAAGTCTCAGCGCCTCGTCGAGTCCGTTCAGCGGCAGAGTAGTCATCTTGAAAGGTGCCAGGGATAATCCCTGGCCAACCATCTTCATGACTCGCTCGAGGAGTTGGGACGCTTTCTGAGGATTTGCTTGTGTGAGCGACCCAAGATCAAAGGTGGCGACAGTTCCATTGACAGCCTGTGCGATGCCACGACTGCGGATCTGCACCAATGTTCCGAATGGCTTCAGGGCGTTTACCATCTCTTTTGGAATAGATGACACTGCACAACCAAGTACAACGTCAACTCCACCAGTTCCAACAATCTTTCGCAGTTGACCCTTGAGGAAAGGGCTGTCGCGGGGAATGACATCCTCTGATGGCATGCCGAAAGCTTGCTGCAAAAATGCGGCTTCATCTGATCTATTCACAGCCCCAATCACGCGAGCTCCAAGATGCTTCGCCACCAATATGGCAGCCTGGCCAACATCACTCGTGGCTCCATCGACGAGGACAACTTGTTCAGGCTGGATATCGACAATGCCAGTCAGTGCATGGCATGCCGTCATGAAAGACACGGGCAAGGCTGCAGCAGTGGCAAAGGAAATCGTATCTGGCAATAGTTGCGCCTGCGATGAGACCACTCTTGGGCGGCTTGCAAAGGCCTCTGTGCCCCAGGCGACAACACGATCGCCAATCTTGAAAGCAGATACACGGGAGCCTATTGCAACTACAACGCCCGCATACTCGCTCACTGTGATGCTGCCCTTGGAAGAGTTTGAGCCAAGTCCAAACGCTCGGGCATCGATTTCGATGCAAGTTTCGTCCAGTGGCTCGTGATGGCTCTCATCCTCGACAAACACGGTATGAGCAGCGCCGTCCTTGCGGGTGTCCAGCTTGAGTGGCACACGGAAGTGCGTATAACTCTCAAGTTGCGTGATCTTATCGTTCTTGCCTGAGATTTGTCGGTTGAGAGTGTCACTGGGGATGACTCTGGGAACCAAAACCTCGCTGCCCGTGTAAATATACTCTCGCTCACGCGGTGCTCCTTTCTTGGGGAAAGATGCAATCATCTTGGCAATGAAATCGAGTAGCGCTGGGCAAGTCTCCTCGGTAAACGCTTGCTGCACATCGACCGTCACCATCTCAAGACGATCGTTCTCAGCGTGTGCAGTTCGTGCTACACCCGTGATCAGATGCTTCTTGGGGTTCGTCGCGTCTTTCTCGTCTGTTTGCATACTTAGCCAAAGGACATTTGCGGGCTTCTGTAAGAGATCCACGATGTGTCGAAACGTCTCTTCACTGACGCCCGACAGGATAGGGTTAGAGCCATCGTCAATGACAATATTGACGGCGTCGTCATTTGGCCGCTGGCCGTCCCAAGAGGTTGTAGGCTCTGCTGTAACATAGACTCCTTTTGTCATTAGGGCATTTGGAAGCTCGTCGATGACGCTGCTCATGCTAGGTAGCAGACTCGGTTCGACGATGAATCTGATGCTAATAGAAGAGGGCGAGGAATCAACAGCTCTTGCGACCATGAAACTGAGGTTGTCAGCCTCTACCGCAAATTGCAACTCAAAAGACGCGTCAGAAAGTTCATTCGACCACTCATCCGCAGACAAGGAAGTGGTATCCTGAATCAATAACAAGACGCCATCAAGTTTCAAGAGCTGGCGCACGTTCCATAAGTTCTGTGGAAGATTCGTATTGCTCGCAGTATTGCAAACGAAGAGAACATCATAAAAGTCTTCTTGGAAGCCTTGGTTCACAATGTCCTCCTCGATATCGAGCGATGAGAAGTTGAGCATAGTAGACCACTCCTGTAGCTCACTGGCGACGCTATCGGACTTGTCTTGCGAGGCCAAGTCATAAGTAGATGGAACGATCTTATGCAAGTCCAAGGCCCTGAGGAATGCTAGAGTGGCATCTGTGTTACCGCCGGCAATCTCAATTACAGAGAGGTCAGACTGCTTGAACGCCTTGTGCTTTAGGTACTCTGATAGCGAAGCTAAACAGCGACTCAACGGGCTCTCAGAAGCCGTTGTTTCCAGTGATTCAAGTGACTTTGCTGAAAGAAATCTCTCGTCCGGCCCCCAAAACATTCCATAGGCAAGGTTTCGTTGGTCCACAGCGGCATCGTCTAGGCCTTCGGACGCTAAGCTACGCAACTCCATGCCCGAAACCGAGAGAACTGGAGTAGCTGTCAAGTCACCGTTCCCAGGAAACACGACCATGTCCGCTTCTGCTGCTCTGAAATGACTTGATGTCAAAGTAGTAACTGCTGAGAAGATGGCACTGGGTGCGTTGTCTATATCAGAAGACAGGACCAGATCGTCAAGGCGGACAGGCATAACGGAACCTGCGCCCAGCTTGTGGTTAACAAGAGGCAAAGTCGTATGCAGCAGTATATCCAAGGTGGTGGGATGGATAATATGTGGTCGAATGTGTTTTGCAGGCATGACAGACCGCACATCAGGAATTGCAATGGTAGAAGAGGCAAACCCGTCGCCGAGGTGTATTTCCTTAATCCCCGAGAACGTCGGTCCATATGCGTTGCCGACCTTTCTAAGGTCTTGATAGAGTTGGCTTTGTTGGATGCTCTGAGTAGAGGCCAGATCAAGCTGCCTTGAGACTTCTCCATACGTGGTCAAGGTCTCAAACCGCTGCTGCTGGTCTGATGCAAATTCAACTACAATGGATCCACGGCAATGTTCATTCCAAACGTCATCGCTTGTACAAGCCGTTACTGAGAAGCTGTGATGCATCGTGGTTTTGGTGTCGGCTCCTTCGATGGGGTTAAAGGCGAGCTGCAATTCCACCCGGGCACGGCCTTCAGGAACAACAAGACCCTTGAGAAACGAGACATTCTGTATTCTCATTCGTTCAATCTTCTTTTCGGCATAGCGATCAGAAGCCAGTTGTGAAGCTGCTTCCATTGCCATGCATAAATAACCCGCACCAGGGAAAACAATCAGGTCATCGACGACATGATCCCTCAGCCATGGGAGGCCCTCGACGCCAATCAAGTGTCTCCATACCGGCCGAAGAGGCGTATTGTCTGTCATCCGAAGGCCGAGCAAGTCGTGGTAAGGGTGTTTGCGCAAGCGGTAATCCCTGCTTAGGCGAGACTCGTGCCAATGCCTCTTGCTGTGGTCCCACGAGTATGAAGGGAGATTATACAAGACAGTTGCGTTAATTCTTGTTCGATCTGATGCCGCAACTGCGGCTGTCTCCAGCGAGTAACCGCGCGAAAACAGGCTGCCGGCCATAGTCAACGCACTTTGCACTGAGTGAGTTCCACGAACAAGAACAGAGGTGTAGCTGTACGGAAGAGGCTCCTCCAGCTCAGCAATGCATTGTCGTGCCGGCCCAGCTAAAGCGGCATGAGGGCCGATTTCAATGAATATGCGATGGGGCTGTACATCCTGTGCTGATGCTTGATCTGCTCGACACAGAGCTTGAAGAGCGTCACAGAACCTCACTTTACCCACAAGATTCGAGACCCAGTAGTCGCCATCGAACTGGCTCGATTTGAGAGACCCAGTGACTGAGGAGAACATCTTGACACCAGTGGCCGGCAGATCGCTCTGCTCGATGTTGCCCAGCTTGGCTCGATACTCGCCAGCCGCTGCTTGCATGTGGTGGGAGTGATATGCAGTGTCGACAAGCAGCCGTCTGTTGAAAGCATCATCCTTGGTAAGCAGCTCTGAAAGCTCAAAGATGGCAGCATCGTCTCCAGAGATTGTGCTGCTGCTGGGGCTGTTCTGGCAAGCAACGACTGCTTTTCCCTGCTGGAGCTTTTCCAGATACGGTTGGATTTCATCTTCTCCAAGGCCAACGGCGAGCATGCCTCCCTTTCCAAAGCCCTTGCTCTTCGCTATGCTCGACGAAAAGCCACGATAATACGCTGCTTTGACGGCCTGATGCTGTGAAAGATGCCCTGCCGCATATGCAGCTGCGATCTCACCACTAGAGTGGCCAACAACTGCATCAGGAACGACGCCCCAGGTGCGGACCATGTCCACCAAGGCAATCTGGACGGCAGTGGTAGCAGGTTGTGCCAGCTCGGCTTCTCCTAACCGGGACGTCGCTTTATCCCGGAGAAGCTCTTCAACCAAGTCCCACGAGGACCCAAGTTGAGCAAGAATCTTGTTGGATTTGTTGATAGAACGGTCAAAGGTTGGGTCGGCGAGCAACTCACGGCCCATGCCTGCCCATTGAGCACCTTGACCACTAAAGACAAAGTTGATTTTGACATCGGGAGAGATTCGACTGGCGGCGTCTGTGGTTTGAGATGCCTTGCTCAGCGCCTCGAGGAGCTCGCTGTGAGAAGCAGCAACACAGCTGAAACGCCATGGCATGACGGATCGGCGCTCCAACAGTGTATAAGAGAGATCTCTGAGGATGGGTTGATCCTCACGCTTTGATACCCAGTCGGCCATGGTTGCCAGCATGCTTTGTAGCGATGCTTGATTAGCTGCAGAGAGGGTGAATAAGCGAGGCATCTCCGAGTTGTCATCAACGACTGCTCGTGGAGATGGCCGCTCTATGACTGCATGGGCATTGGTGCCGCCGTATCCAAAACTGTTGATTGAGACCCGTGCCACGTCTCCTTGACGCCATTTCTGCAGCGTTCTGGGTACTTGAATCTTCTTCTTTTCAAGGTTGAGATTCGGTTTTGGAGTATCAAAGTTGACGTTGGGTGGAATGGCGCCGTGCTCCAGGATCAGAATGGCCTTGATCATGGCCGCCAGGCCACTCACACATTCGAGATGGCCAATGTTGGACTTGATCGAGCCAACAACTAGGGGGTTACTGGCATCACGCTTCTGGCAGAAGACGCGGGAAATGCCTTCCAGCTCCGCGCCATCGCCTGCAAGCGTTCCAGTGCCGTGAGCTTCGACGTAGCCCACATCCAACGGGTCCAAATTCAGATTGTTCCACACCTGACGCTCCAGTGCTTCCTGAGCAGAACCACTCGGAAGCGTGATACCCGTTGTGTGACCGTCCTGGTTGATTGCAGCATCGCGAAGGATGGCCCTGATGGGATCATTGTCCCTGATGGCATCGTCCAGCCTCTTGATGACCAGAGTGGCAATGCCTTCGCCACGGCCGTATCCCTCACCTCGGGTGTCAAAGGAATACGACTTGCCGTCCTTGTTCAGCATGTGGAGGTTGCTCATCCCAATCATGTGGTCGGGGCTGAGTATCAAGTTTGCCGCACCGGCCAAGGCAATGTCAGACTGCCCCGAACGAAGAGCTTGACATGCCTGGCTGATGGCTGCCATGCCGCCCGAACAGCCCGTATCGATTGTTACTGAAGGTCCGTGTAAGTCGAAGAGATGTGATATCCTGTTTGCTAGGATGGCATCGCCGGTTCCCGTGATGTGATATTTGGGAATGCTCATCATGTCCTTGTAAGTGTTTCGATCGTAATCTCGCGTAAACATGGCCATGTAGACGGCTGTATTTGACTTTTTCATGTCCTCTTGACGAATGCCGGCGCTTTCTAGCGCCTCATAGGTCGTCTCTAACAAAAGTCGTTGTTGGGGATCCTAGAAAGCGTCAATACTCATCTGGCACGTCGATTCCTGGAAACACAGCGACCTACCATTGACGCAGCTTCGCTAGGAAGCACGTTGAAGAACCCGGCATCAAACACACCGACATCTTGGCTAATAAAGTGCCCTCCGACATGGTTGTGGGTGCCGTTTAGATCATCCGGATCTGGGTGTAAGAACGCCTCTTCGTTCCATCTATCCGCTGGCACTCTCGACCAGGCGCTTTTTCCATCGGCTAGAAGATCCCATAGCTTATCGGGATTCGTTGCATCGCCCGGCAATCGGCAACCGATTCCGACAATGGCTAATGGGATATGGCTTGTGTTCGTCATTGAATCGTCTATTATTGAGTTGGTAGGGGAAGGATGCAGACGATGAAGCAAAGAAACAGGGTGGCGTAAAAGGCATGAAGGAACAGGTTTTCACAAGGGACAAACAAGGACAGACTGGAGGTATAAAGTGAATCTTGCACTCTGCCTTTAGATTGTACAAGAGAATTTATAACATCTCCTCAACCCTACCAATGTTAATATCCCCTCACATACGATCACGCAAAACAAAGTAAGCCGTGTGTGTCAGACTGTCAGACGCTTTACGGGCCTTGCCAAAGTGGCCCGAAACCATTGTTAGTCGGGGTCGGTTTCTTCCTCTTTGGGTAATACCCAATGTCCGACAGTCGGTTTACAATGGCATGTGTTACAACTGCACAGATGGGCTTGCCATATTCCGCAATCCCTATATCCCTTTGAGTGCGGCATGGTGTGCTCGCTGTACCTTTAATACTCGAAACCAATCAGACAAACAGACATGAGGATATCTCTGCTAGAAGCAGAAAAAAAGCGGACACAGTACATAAACCATACCTTGCCGCACTCAAAGGGATTGCTGTTTTGCAATAAGGCCCTGGAATCATTCAAAGCGTTTCCGGACTTTGGAATCATTAAAACTGTTTCCGAATCCGAACACAGTACACATGGTCTACTTCCCCTTTTGGTAGTATAAGATGCATGCCAAGATAGATGAAAAGGTATCCTGCGTTGCTCACAAAATTCTTCTGATCTATCACAAACATCGAGACGGCTTGTGAATTGACGCACAAGAGTATATATCCTACGGTTTTTTTTTTTTTACACTGCACCGAGGGCACTGAATGACCTTCAAAGTGATTATCGTGGGCGGTGGTCCCTCTGGGCTGGTTGCAGCTCATGGATTTCACCTGGCCGGCATCGAGTTTGTGCTTCTCGAAAGGAGAGACTCAATCATCGACCATTCGGGTGCCAGTGTTGTCCTTGCTCCCGCAAGTATGCGTATTCTCTCCCAGTTTGGCCTGCGTGAAAAGCTTGAGGCGGCTGGAGCCGAGCTTCACCGCGTCAAATCCTTCACACGCGAAGGATATAAATTCAGAGACAGCACCCAAGTAAGATTACTCAAAGAATGGTTTGTGGACTCAGCTTGGTGATGCCATGATACAGGCAGAAGAAAACTGACTTGCGATTTTCTAGTCTTGGTTGCGCACAGTTCATCTTTCATCGACCTGAGCTAGTGCAGATTCTCTACGAAGGTCTGCCGCCAGTGGCTAAAGAGAAAGTTCTCACAGGAAAGAAGGTTACCAAAATCGAGCAGAACGAGCATTCAGTGCAAGTTTCTTGTTCAGATGGCAGTACCTTTGATGGGTCGATTGTAATAGGAGCAGATGGCATCCATAGCCAAGCAAGAGAGGAATTGCGACAAGCCATGCTGCGTCAAGGTCGGCAAGCCGACTGCGATGAGAAACAGCCATACGAAGCAGCATATCGCCTGCTATGGTGTACCATACCGAAACCACCTTCAACACACTCAGGTCTCGGGGGCGAGACGCAAGATACTGATCGTACGCTTGCAGTCATGGTCGGAAAGCAACGGGTTTTTTTCTTTCTGTATGAAAAACTTGAAGCTCCAACCCGAGAGCGAGTCGATTATTCCAACGAAGACATCGAGAAATTCGCCGCCTCCTTCGCAGACTATCCAGTTACGGAAACGTTATTGTTCAAAGACCTTTTTGATGCCCGCGCGGCCATCAAGGCGAATAAGGTGGGCATGGCCAATATCGGGGAAGGCATTGTCAAGAACTTCAGCAACGGTCGAATCGTCTTGGTCGGGGATGCCTGTCATAGATTCACGCCCAACGCAGGCCTTGGTCTGAACAGCGGCATCCAAGATGTCGTGGCCATCTGCAACGGCATTCGCGCGGCTGTTAAAGAATCTTCAGACGGCAATCCAGATCGAGCGACGCTGGAGACCTTGTTCAGTCAATATCGCAACGACAGACTTGCGTCGATAAAGAAAGACTTTCGCGGGTCATCGGTATTGACTCGCCTGCAGGCTTGGGCCAACACTTGGTTTTACATCATGTCTAGATTCCTTTTGGTGCCTGATTGGTTCCAACGGTTCACTATACGATACTTGGCGGTTCCCAACATGAGGCTCGCTCCGGTGTTTAATTATGCGCCAGCGGACGAACCATATATTGGCACAACTCCCTGGGCTCACCCTGTGCCGACAAGAGCAGATAAACGAATATATTGATAGATAGTGTCTCTTATAATGATTAATCCAAGTGGTCTTTTATCAAACAAACTGATCCATGTTGTGACGGACTAATTATAACAGCAATGTATGGAGGCGTAGTAGTGGTTGTGGCTCTGCTCTTCAGTTGGCGGGCAAGAGCAATAATTCCAGCAATTATCCTGCAGATCCTAGAATTCAGTTGTGATGGTAAAATTTCCAAGTATAAAGAACAAAGCTTCTCTGACTTTGAAATAACTAGCCAGCTCCAGTAAGAATTTGTCGGCGGTCGCAAGCTTTTAGATCCTTGTGATTATGGACACATTCCGCTGTGTCTCACAACCAGCAATCATCACTACAAATTATTTACTTTGCCCCGAACTTATAAGCTGCCCAAATCCTAAGCTACCTACATCACGCCATGGAGAGGATCAGTGTAACCTAGGCCGCTGAAAACACCGAGTACCGAGACAACAGTCCGCAGATACCTAGCTTAAAGCCAACGCGTCTCATCTGGACTCATCCACACGTAGCTGTGCTTACTCTGTCTCACAATCTTGTCGATTTTCAAAACAGTTGGCAGGCAATTAGCGCTCTTCAGCAAAGCAGACCCCCTGTCTATACTGTAAAAAGCATTCCCGGAGCTCTGCTGCGTCTTACAATGTACATACTAGGAATTACCGACACGTAAAACACGACAAGACTTATTATGTCGTCGCTCAGACCCGTCAATGATCACGAAGCAACATTTTCTTTAATAGCAGCAAACCCAAATTTTCAAAAAGTGCTCCGTTGCACTGCACAACCATTCTCAGCCGGGGAGGCCGTCTTTCTCTTCTCCTCAGCCATAGTATTATCATTGCTTCTTTTTCTCCAAGCCTTTGCTTTTATCACGACGCCAAAATGGGGTTGTTTTCGAAAAAACGTGCGCCACCTCCAACCATACCCACAGACGAGGTGATTCCAGTACGGTTCGTAGACGAGCTCTACCAATGGTCATTTGACTTTACGCTCTTTTTCGAAGATGTAATGGACGTGGAGATTCTTCGAAATTCTGTCGACAGGCTCCTAAACAGAGACGGATGGCGACAACTTGGAGCGAGGCTGAGACGCTCGGTAAGTCCTGGTAACTGATCGATATCAGTCGAACAGTGCTCTAATATGCATGATAGAAAAATGGTAGATTGGCATACCATTTGCCGGTAGAATTCAATGAGAAGCGGCCCCTCTATCTGTTCACTTCGGAGGAGCACGACATGTCCATCCACGACCACCCTGTTCTTCGCAATCTCCCCAACCCAGACGGCAAAAGGCCGACGATATTCGAACCCTCGGCGGCGTCGTTCCGTCAATATGCGCGCGCTCCAACTACTCCGGAAGCCTTTGACGATTGGCTCTACAATGATATACCACAGCTCTCGTTCCACGTCGTCAATTTCCAGGACGCTTCCATCATTACAGTCACCGCGCTACACACGCTCACGGACATGATGGGACTCGGGTCATTCTGCCACGCGTGGCAAGCAATGCTCAGGGGCGAAGAAGATAGAATTCCGCCATTCATTGGATATAAAGACAAGGATCCTTTGGAGGGACTCCAGCAGGGAAAGAAGCCCCCGAAATATATATTCGCCGACCGGCTACTCAAAGGCTGGGGGTTTTTCAAATTCGTCATTCGAAACATGTTTGACCGCTGGTGGTATCCCCATGCCAGTGTGCGGTACATATCTCTCCCTGGGAAATTCGTCGACAAATTGACTGCGTCTGCGAGGAAAGAATTAGAAGCTGCTCAGGGGGACGCAGATCCATCTGAGACATTCATCTCAGAGAGCGATGTACTCAACGCATGGTGGACTCGAATCATCATCAAAAATCTCAAGCCTCCAACCAATCGTACTGTTTGTATAACAAACAACTTTGATTGCCGAGACATTCTGGCGAAAATGGGCCTTTTGCCCAGCTCCAATGTTGCGTTACTAGGAAACGCGGTATACTCTGCACCCTGCTTCATGCCCATTAGCAAATTTGCCAACACCGCGTATCCTCTCGGTTTACTCGCACATCAAGTGCGAAACACCATCAAGATTCACCGTACCGTGGAGCAAGTTCAGGCGCAGGACGCAGAATACCGCGAGAGCAAAAGGAAGACTGGACATTTGCCGCTCTATGGCGAACCCGACATGCTGCTTTGTCTGGTGACCAACGTCTACCGCGGACGGCTCTACCAGATGGATTTCTCGCCCGCAGTTGTCTCACAAGGTGGCCAAGAGGAAAAGAAAAAGGTTGGACGACCCAATTTTGTCAATTTTACAGCAATGGAATCTCGTTGGGCAACACGCAACGGCTCAGCGATTCTTGGGAAGAGTAACACTGGTGACTGGTGGATGAGCAGTCGTTTGCGACATGATGTCTGGAAGAAGGTTGAAAAGCACTTTGAGACACTTTGATCGCGCTGACAGTGTGTGTTTTAAGCACGTAGATACTAGAGAGGTTAAAGCGAGTCTTACGACATAAGTTGAGCAGTGCCAAGGGTAGAAATCTAGAGGGTGTAGGTTATGTTGGTTTTGATATTTGTTTTCATCATCATTATTATTCTTCCTGATGACCGGAATTCTCATCCGCTAGACGATGCATCATGTCCTCAACTAGAGAATGATTACTATTTAGTTTTATTCTTAGTGACTACATTGAAGGCTAAAATCTTTGACGAATTCCGGCTACATTGGGCCAACAGGCATGTAAACTGGTATCCTCCACTTTAGGATTGTAAAGTCGAGTTCTTGACATGACCTGGTTAGGTGGATGTGTAAGCGTTCGGGGTGTCAGAATGGGGTAGTGCCGGTATGATTAATATAGCGCTGATACCATGGCTGGCGGTTCCGGTTATGATGATCAAATAAAGCATCCGTTGAATGGATGGGGAGTATTAGTGACAATCTCGGTGCTTGCGCTGTGCTTCTGGCTTGATAAAGTTACCCGCCTTACTTCTACGCTCCTTCGCGTAACTGGCGTCTTTTCGTTCCGGTTCTATTATCGTTTCGTTCCGGTTCTATTATCGCGTACTGAGATTTGACTGTTGCCCTCGCCTTTGCAATTCTCTCATTAACGTTATTACGGACAACTGACAAACCTAATTGAGCGTCTATTCCGGCATTGAAATGGCCACTCCTCAGGGCAGTTTCTCGGCGTATGGCGCATTTGAAGAAACTAGGCATGGGTATGACGCGGTCGGTCGATCTACCAGAGCTCTGGGCTTTTGGGAAGAAGCATACCAACACCAAGCTCGGCTGGTTCTGGCTTACATCGTAGAGGCCTTTGCCAAGATTGGATGCGATTTACGGAATCTGCAAGCCGGTGAAGCTGTACCTCAAGTCAAGGGGCTTGACAAGTACAGCAAACTCATAGCTCGACTCTATGAGATACTTGAAGACGGAGGCTTGATATTGCGCACAGATGGAGGATACATTCGAACTGAAACCTCTATCGATCCTACCGACGCCGAAACGATATATCTTCAGATTGTCAAGCTTCATCCTCAGCATGCCGTTGTGAATAAACTGATCAGGATTATCGGATCACAACTGGCAGCTTGCTTAACCGGTGATGCCAACGGGCTGGAGATTCTCTTCACCAAAAGGGAAAACAAGAAGCTACTCGACGAGATGTACGAGTTTTGGCCTCTGCTTCGAGCGCCAACTCTTCTCCTTGGTAACTTTTTGGTCAAAGCATTCTCTGATGCACCAGGCAAAGGCAAATTCCGTATCCTTGAAGTGGGTGCGGGAACTGGAGGCACGACTCGACACCTCATCGACCGCCTTCAGAAGCAAGGCATTCAGTTTGAATACGTCTTTACCGATGTTTCACTTGCCCTCGTCGCCGCAGCCAAGCGCCAATTCAAGAATGTCAAAGGCATGTCGTTTGAAGTTCTCGACATTGAGAAGCCCCCCAAGCCAGAGTACGAAGGAGCATTTCACTGTGTCGTTTCCACCAACTGCATACACGCAACGAAGAACCTCGACATCACCCTCCTTAATCTCCGCAGAATGATTCGTAAAGATGGTGCGTTGGCATTGGTCGAGATGACGCAGCGTTTACCTTGGCTGGACATGGTCTTTGGCCTCTTTGAGGGTTGGTGGCTGTTTGAAGACGGTCGTACACATGCTCTTATGAACGAAAAGCAGTGGGAAGATCGGATGAAGCGAGTGGGGTTTGCAGAGGTTCTTTGGACAGAAGGTGATGCGCCAGAATCCAAGACTGTGCGCACGATCGGAGCGTTTCTCACAAGCCCAAGTAGTGAAAATGTCTGATGCCTCTAGAGGCGTGCACAATGTTTATTTCACATACATCTCCATAGCTGTACTTGTCACTTTTGTTTCCATAAGAGGGAGTATGTGCTTTTATAAAACCTCCAGCGATGATAATTACCAGTAGCCCTGCCGAGCCTCGGCTACACACATCTTTCCAACCGTCAAACTAATCTCGATATTTCTTCAAAACCTCCTTCACCTCGCTCCATACCCTCCCCTGTAGATTATTCCATTCTTGCTCTGTCAACCCCGGCGACCAGTCATCGAACCGGTCATTCACCCATAATTTTCCATTCGCCTCCTCGCTCTGCAGCAACCCCGTCACCAGGGTTCTGCTTCCCTGCTCGGCTGTTCTTGCTATGATGGCGTTGAAAAGAGTCATGAACACTCTCACGCCCATTGTAAATTCTCTATACAAATTCGTTTTGCACTGTCCCGGACAGCATGCCAAAACAATCGGCCCTTGTTGGTTCCCGAGCACGCCCTGGCTTCCTCCGAGGTCCTCTACGAGTCCCTGAAGAACAAACATGAGCATTAGTTTGGCCTCATAATATGCCTTTTGCGTTGTCCACCGCTCAGCATCGTTGAAAAACTGCAGTGCATTTGCCTTTGGGTCTTCAAGTAGCGGAGCGACATCTTGACTTGTGACATTGCAGTAGCTTATCGAATTCACAAACTCCAAGACGCTCCCTGGAGTAGCTTTTAGGAGTGGTAACAGCTCAAGGGCGATTAGAGAGGGAGAGAGCACATTGACTTTGAAGGTTGTGGGCCATCCATCCTCTGTCACTTCACGTGTTGGCAATGCGAGGCCAGCACTTAGAAGAACACAGTCTAGTGTTTGTGTGGTGCGCTTAATTGCATCAACAAATCGATTGACAGATTCAAAGGAAGTGTACTCGACAGGAATAACTTCAATAACAGCATTGTCCAATGATTGCACTTGTGACAAGATGCTGCTCTTTGTATTCTCGCCTCTGGCAGCAGTTCGGGTTCCCAGAATTAATTTCTTTGGCTTCAACGCTGCAATTTTCAACGCGGCTTCATAACCCTGGACGTGACTAGCTTAGCATGTCATGTCAAGAATTTTTATGTACCACAAAGAGAGACATACGATTCCACTGGCACATCCTGTTATTACGACTGTTTTGCCTTCAAAGCTTTTGCTGGGTTCTTGCGGAGGATGCAAACCCCCTTCACGCAGGTATGAGACGGTCACCTTGCCATGAGGACCGTTGAACTGCACCATGTTGATCGATTTAGTGTGATGCTACCTGTTGGCTGGTTGAATAGCTCAAACCCGAAAACAAAAAATAGGCAGTTCGTAATATGTAATTTGGGTTATTATTTTTATTTTATTTTTAATTTGTTTTTTGTTAAAATAGTTTTTCTGCATTAGGTAGGCCCGGATGGGGACAGTGTACCTTTCCCTCTTCTAGCAGTGGGAGTACGGGTTCCGCTGCACTGGGCTATTATTACATGGGTAGAATGTCAGCAATGTTATGTGGAGGTAATAGTCTGTGCCTTACTCTCGCCAGGTCTACTCCATATTAGAGTACTGCAGTGAGAATACGTGCCAGCCTAACCTAACTCATTAGACAACCTTGGAATCGTAAACAATGGGCTTCCAACACTTTAGTACCAGTAGGCATTGTTGAGTGATGAATAAGCTTGGATTCAGGTCTGCTAATCCAAGGAACAAAGGCCAACTTTGGATAAATACACACCACAATTTACCAAGATGGGAATAAAACGATTTGCCTGTTAAGGAAATTGCAGACGCCGCGGTAAGAGCTAGCCATGTTTTGGGTTAGTTGCCAATTGATGGAATGACGAAGGAATCAGACGGATACGATTTCGGCTTCTGGGATATGGCCTGGAATATATGAGAAGCAAGTTTCTACAAGACTGTGAATACTTCTTTGGATCTGGAATTGCTGAAATTGGTGTTTCCTTTAGTAGGAGAATACAGCACCTGTCTAATTCTTTCTTCATTCGATTTGGGTGCCACTGTGAGTGTGCATGACATATTCTAATCATATTCAATTGTGAATTTCGACAATGGGCTCAGTGGCAAAAGACGACAGCAATGGGACGGCTAAACTAGCTGTCCCTATCCCAGCTTCCACTCGCCGGCGATTCGAGGCAGCGGGAATAGATCTTAGCAATGGCTATCCGATGAATCCAACGGACTTTGAGTATCTCCAAGATGCCGAAGCCAAGGGAGATCAAAAGCATCCGTATAATGATGCTGGTTTACGAGCCGACCCCGAAAAGAAGGCGCTTTTAGGTGCTGCCAAGGAAGTCAAACATATAAACGCCCATATTGGAACCGAAATCGTGGGACTGCAGCTCAAAGACCTCAACGACAAGCAGAAGGATGAGCTGGCTCTCTTGGTCGCCGAACGTGGTGTTGTGTTTTTCCGAGACCAGAATCTCTCTCCCCAAGAGCAAATGGCGTTGGGCGAGTATTGGGGAGAGCTCTTTGTACGCACTCATGACGACTTGCTGATACACTCCAACTTTGCTGATTTGAAGATGTACAGCCACAAGGGCCTTATGTGCCGGGTTATCCCAACATAACAACCATCTGGACGGATTACTTTGCCAAGACAATTCGCAAGGCCACATATCGTCAACCGTTTCAAGGATTCCACACGTGAGATTATTATTTTTAGACACTTCTATAACGCTTACAGTTGTCTGATCTTGTTTTCTTAGTGACATGGTGCATGAGCGCCACCCCCCAGGCTACACTCACCTTCACAAAGACGCTGTTCCAGACGTTGGAGGCGACCTCCTTTGGGCGAGTGGCTATGCCGCATACTCCAAGCTCTCGCCGGCTTTCCGTCAGTTCCTGGATGGGAAGAAGGCGGTTTTTGTCTCAAAGGAAAAGTACTTTGACCGCAACAATCCGAGCTCTGGGCGGATTCATTCCGTAACAAGGGCTCACCCCATTGTCCGAGTGCATCCTGTGACAGGATGGAAAAGCTTGTACATAGCCCACGGCTGGGTATCTCACATCGAGGGACTGGATAAGAAAGAAAGCGACCTCATATTGGGCTACTTGCGGGACATTTACGAAAATAATGTCGATATTCAAGCCCGATTCAAATGGACGGCCGGCAGCTCTGCAATTTGGGATAATAGGTAAGCCTGCTGCGATTTCCTCCTGACGAATACGATGAGAATTGTACATCTCTTTCTCTTGTTTCGCCTCTGACTTGTATTAGATGTACTCTTCATACGGCAAGTTGGGACTACGAGAATGCTGCAGAGAGACATGGAACCAGAGTTACAACGCTCGCAGAGGAACCGTTTTTTGATGACAAGGCAATCACGAGGAGACAAGCACTGGGTCTAGAAGACGATTAAATTGTATCATTGTGATATGTGAGTGACAAGCTGTATTCTATTGAATACAGTGACGGTCAGGTGGTGCCACCAGATCTAGCACAGTTCAGAAATAGAGATTCAGTTTCGATGTCACCTGTAGCTCATAGCTGTTGTACATCAGTTATGTTTAGTCTAAGTCACCAACGTGATCGAAAAATAGAAGACACTACTATTATCATATATGGTACTATGCGTGACCGTGACTCCTACCCTACTGAAATAGAAACAGCCAATGTGGTCCCGCTGAGGCAGGTAAATTTCGTGTCCCAAGGATCCATGTATTATCGGAAGTGGCGTCGTTTCATGATTTGTTGTTTTACAGATTGGACTATGATATCAAGTGAAGAAACCTGGAAATGAATGCTATTATAAAACCCATTCTAAATACACAAGAGCCCAATATCTATCCCTAGTCTAATTAAGGTCCATGATACGCGTTTCGCGCACCTTTTTCCCTTCGGCCGCATTCAAGTATCGACCGCTCTTAAAGCTCCAAAGCATATTGGCCCGAGCAACATGGCCACAGGCGTCGATATATCTTTGCACCTCTTTATCCACCTCTTCGCCCCAGGACGGTAGGGTTGCAATGGCGTCGTCCCAATCTCTCTGGCAGTTTTCCATGAGCTCACCAGTCTTATTCATGGCTTCTTGCTCGGTGTGGCCCTGTTTCATCAACAGACAGATCAAGTTATGCTCAACACCGAAAGCCTGTTTACTCGTCTGTTAGTGAAATGCCGAGAGTTTTGTTTGCTATTGAGAGCAAAACTCACCAGATCTTTCTTGTATGACAGGACATCATTGACACTGCAGGTTAATGAGGTTAGTGATGGCATGTGAGAAGTTGGATTAGATACATACAGCCATGTGAGGTCGGCGGCGGCGCGTTCGCACGTAAGTACAGACGGGTGTTGCATCGCTTCCTGCGGTGCCCTGATTCCATGTGCCCACCTAATCAGACTTTTGGTTAGAACTCAACGATGAAATTACTAGGAACCTGAAACACTTACTCCACGACGGAAAATAAACAATAACTGCCTATGGAGTGCCTTCTTGTTTCTATGTATTCATCAAGGTCGATAGCGACTAAGAGGTTTCTTTGCGTGACATCAACTTGCTTGAGAATAGCATATAGGCACCTTTTGTGAGTATACTTCCATCGCTGCTGGAGACCTTGTGAAGGGTTTCTCTTTCATGCAATAGTTAGCCTCGACATTATGCTAAATAAATTGAGAAACGAATACCGCTCACCTCTTGTAACCGATGCCAAGTGGTTTGAAACATATATTGTAGCGGATGCTTCTTTGGGTCGACTGGAGGATGTGTGTCATCCATGATTGCCAACATGTCAATCATCTCCTTGGCGGCCTCAATAGTCTTGTCTTTCATGGCCCCTTCGTCGAACTCTACATTTCATGAGTAATGATATCCAGTGTCTTTTATTCACTTATTGTTAAGATGGAACTTACGGTCATCAAACACAAACGCCTATCACTTCTTTGTCAGTTGCCGCCGAGGTTCACAGAGTTTCATTTCGCTCACCCAAATGCACCAATCCACCGCCATGCGAAAAGCCTCCTCGTCTGCCTTTGGTGCAGACAAACTTATCAAGTATGCGAAGTTTGCCTTTGTCAATATCTTGGCTGTTCGCGCGTCCATCTTGACCAATCTTTCCCAAAGTCAGCATTAGTGCGGTAGACAATATGGGTATCACTGACTCTTTCGTCCATGCTTCAGACTTAGCGCTGACTTCTTCCTCATACGGGTTTCTCTCGGGCTCTCCCGACAATATACCGGCAAAAAGATCGGGAACATAAATCGACCTTGCCTTGGACGGCTGTGGGCCTCCATTTCCAAGACCAAGTGAGTTATAAGCAAAAGAAACGAGCCCGTAGAGTGACATGATTATTTTTTAAAGCAATATCGTACCAATTCTGAGTTTGAAATGAAACATATAGTTGAATTGGCCTTGAGAAATAGCAACATTATATTCCAAAGCACAGTCAGCAGCCATCTCACATTTATCTGCGGGTTCGGGACTTCCTGATTTAGCCATGCTCGCAACACGGCGGCCGATCCAGCAAAATAAGCGTTGTGGGTAATTCTGGAAAACGGAGACTGATAACATTAGCTTCTGCAGCTATCCCTGTTGTTTGTATCCAAGTGGCTCCTCAGTAAAGTAATCTTGAGTAGTGAAAGGTTGGACAGATAACATTTTGTGACCGGTTGCTATTTGGCCGCCTGATGCCCACTTCAATAAACTTCAGATGTCAATCACAAACGCGTAATGACCATCCAAAGATGTGCGGTTAATATTTTTTTTTTGCTAAAATCAAAATCGTCTTGATGGGGATTTCTGCTCGCATTGAAACCAAGCCCAAAAAATGTTGAATATTTAGAGGGATAACAATGCCGCTTAGCGCCTACCCTAATCATCAGTACATGTAGACAGTTTTTACAAGATTCCATCAAGATTCTGTAATCGAGATTTGATCAAGTACAATAACTTGCAATTTGAAAGTATTTTCATCAACTATTATTAAAGCGCTAAGTTGGATTTGTGACTAAATGTAGGTGATGTTACATTACTGATCTCTAGCTATCGATGATATATACTTTACCAATCTTACCACCATCTAGATGCTCCCTCGTACTCCTGCTGTACAACGGCTGGGTCTACACCGTTCTTCTCTTCCTTATCGTAACCTTTGCCTTGGGGTCAGGAATGATAAACTCAAGCAAGTGGATATTGCTTGGTTTAGCCTGGCCTTCACCGAATTTGAATTCGTAGTCCCGGAGCAGCCTTGACACAATCATCTTGAGCATACTGACAGCAATCACTCTGCCTGGGCAAGCCTGGCTACCGTATCCAAAACTGAGGTTCTCCAGGCTGGGCTGTCCAGCCAAATGCTTGTTCGCCTCTTCCGGTGAAGAGCGTCGCTTCTGGTAGCTCCTCATTCCATCGAACTTCTCGGGATTGGCAGCGATCTCGGGATTGACCTGATTGTGGATGCTGACCCAACCAAGCAGCGTTCCTTTGGGGATATGAAGGCCGTCTTTGAATGTAACACTTTCCAACGCGTACCGATTAGGCGTGACTGACAAGGTGTTAGTGGTCTTGTCGACGATTTATCTGCAACTGAGGATGCCTTGGACTTACTTGATAGCGGCTGACTCAATCTCTGGCTCTCATTGAAGAAGCTGTCCAGAAGCTCAAGCTTAGGGACCCAGTCCTTAACAGGAAGCTGCTCACCGATGGCGCCAAACTCCTTGTTCACATCGACAATCTCCTTCAATAGTATTTCATCCCACTCAGGATGCTCGCACAGATGGAAGAGAAGGTTAGAAATAGCCATGGCCGTGGTGTGTGCTGCAGGCACGAGAATCACCAGAATGAGAATTGGCAAGTTATCCAGGACGTATTGCTTATCGGGCGCGTTGTCCAGCATCCAGGCGATCATGTTGTCTTCTTCTTCGACCTCGAGTCCTTGAGCTTTTCGTCGCTTTGCTTCCTCGTGTCTGGCAACACATGGACCGGTGATGTTTCTGGTTTCATAAAGACGCTTCCGGAGCCTCCATCTCTGGGGGATTAGATTTGTGAAAATAGGATGCATCCACCTTGGCAAGAGCCTCATGATAATGGAGGCTCCTACAAAGTCTTCGGTAAAGTGTTCAGCCAGATCTAGCCATTCTGGCGAGCGGCACGCGGGATCGCCAACAATCATTTTGCCCACAATGCGCCCCAAAATCTTTTGAATGACGGGTTGAATGTCAATCTCGGTCCAGTCTGATTCACGTCAGCGAATGGGTTGAAGCAAGAGATTCATGTAGGGCTGCCGTACCAGGCACTTTTGGCATTTCCATTTCAAGAGCATATTCAAACTCCTTTCTCATTACCTCGAGATATCTGCCTTGTTGACCACCACGATTTTCCGAGATGGCTTTGATGGGGATCTCTGAATGACTCCATAGAGTATTCATAGCCCACTGGTCACCCCACTCCTACAGATCAATGTAAGCCAAATGTGAATGAGAAGCACCAGCCGTTGTCTCCATGACATACCATAAAATTCGCCTTTCCTCGGCTAAGCTTGGCATTTGGGATCGTTCGTAGCTCTTCAATGTACTTGGTCGGAAGAACAGTAACATCGAGGTCTTGACGACGTAGCACAAATGGCTTGTTCTTCGTATTGTACTACAAAGCAAAGAGTGAGCGTTTTCTCTCGAAACGCGGTCTGATAATGACGAACCTTTTCGTATCCACTAGCAATGATTTTGTGTGCATCTTTGGCATATCTCAACTGCAACAACCATGTAGGCTCAAACCATGAGAAGTAGCCATGGACGGGAGCGCCGGGGACCTTGATCCGGCGATGTACTTGGAGCGACGAGTAGCCCCAGAAAAGACAGAGGAATAAAACGACACCCTGCCAAATGGTCAGGGTAGAGATGATGTCAGCAATTGGTGAATTGAAAAGGGGTTCCAGGTGTTTGGCGATGGCGATTTCGCCGAGGAATGATTCATTACGGCCCCCCATCCTGGTTACTAATGGCAGTCAGCGCTCACTCATACACTGGGAGAGCGAAGCAAGAAGAAGTCATGGCCAGGAGGCAGTAATTATGGAAGTCACTAAATAGGTGAAGGATAATTCGGGAAATTCAGCACTGGCCGTATGTCGGATTTGAATCTCACCCTGAGGTAGATAAGCTGCCCCCGGGGCTGCCGCTTCCAGAAGCCCCGAACTAAACCGTCGGACTCTTTGTAAGCTCACATGCAAGATGCTATTGAATATAACAACATCGATAATAGATAATTTGACTTGTATCATCATTCAGCATGCAGTAAAGTTGCGCTTCTACTTGCCAATACTAAAAATGACCCTTGCCTACAGCCCCACTTACATGGCACCTCGCAATGAGGCTGGATACTACCAGCCCGATGAGCTTGTTGACAGCAACCACAAAACTGCGAGTGACTCGGGGACAAGTTTGAGCGACGAGACCGTGCAGACTGTTGACAGCAGTGTAACAAGCAATAGCGTCGAAAAGATGGAAGTTCATAATCATGAGGAGGATAACATGACACAGTACTTGAATGACTCAAGTACAATCAGAGATTACTCAATTGATTCAGTATATTCTCGGACCCTTCCTGCCCTGTCCACGACGGTAAGCTATTGATATCATTGTTGACTTTATCGCACTCAAAACTCATATAATTGCAATCTAGGTAATCAGCGCCCCAGCTCTTTACGTCGAATCAATGCCGGGGAAGAAGATACGTGACAAGGCCGCACTTGCCATCAATATCTGGCTTCAAGTCAACGAAGAGGATTTGCTTCAGATCAGACATATCATTAGCCTGCTACACAATGCATCTCTTATTCTGGATGATGTAGAGGATGGATCAACCTCTCGTCGAGGGCGACCGTCAACGCATCTGGTCTTTGGAATCCCACAAGCAATCAACTCGGCTGGATATCAAATCAATAAAGCAATAATGGAGGTTTTGAAACTGGGGAGCTCAGAATGCCTCGAGATATTTAGCGGTAAGTATCCTGTGCTTAACGCCCAGTAATCGAACAAGCACTCACAGCAGAGCAGAGGAAATGGACAAGCTTTACATCGGCCAGGGCCACGACCTTTTCTGGACATTTAATACAAAGCTTCCGACTACAGAAGAGTATATCAGCATGGTTGACTACAGTACGTGCGCCGATTTTGGCTTCAGTGCCCTGGAAACTGACGCTTTCTATAGAGACGGGGGCGCTATTCAATATGCTTGTTCGACTGATGGCTGCTAAAACGCAAACAACTCCACCGATTACTCCGGACCTCAACCACTTGATCATCCTCCTCGGAAGATATTTCCAGATCCGTGACGACTACATGAACTTGACATCTGGAGAGGTAAGTGCAAGTATCTTTGTTGCTTGCTATTCAGATACTAAACCATGATAGTACACGGACCAAAAGGGATTCTGCGATGATTTGGACGAAGGCAAGTTCAGTTTGGCTCTCATTCATGCCTTGGAAAACACCACAGAGAAAGAGAATAGTATTCTACGACACATCCTTGCGCAACGCCATATCGCCAACGGCATGTCTCTGTCGCAGAAGCATCTGGTGCTTGATATCCTCAAGGCGGCTGGAAGCTTGGACTACACTGTCACTGCTCTGCGAAAGATAGGCCAGGAGATTGATTTCGAAGTTGACAGCATTGAAGAAGTAACTGGCATTCAGAACAAGCCGCTTCGTACATTACTTGGCATGCTGAAAGTATAAGAGTCTGTATATATCTATATGCATTGGGACCGAGGGTTTATCTATTTAGAGGCACTATTTCTAGAGCGAGCAAGGTTTATCAATTTCAAGTTCATCTATTGCATGAATCCGTATCAAATTTAGCCGCAATTGTTCTATTTCTGTTGTTGTATTTGGCTAAATGGTCACCTAACGTATACTGTAGTAGTAGTCCCGCGTAGCTAACTGCATCTTGAACATAAATTCATATTGCGCAAAGTATCTACGTCTAAATATCCATTCAACTAACTAGAGAAGTGTTTTGATAATTGCTCATGTACATGCAGCCACGGCCTGCCCGAGAAATGCCCTAATTCAAGACGCGAGCTATGCCTTGGTCCCATTGCTATCAGCACGATGAGCAGTAATCATGTAAAACTGCGTAGGAGCCCATTCTGCTGCCTCGCGGGTAAGAGTGAATCCCTTTGACTCGAGCAACTGCTCAATTTCAGAACGAACGCCAGACTTCTCCCACGTCTCCAGAACAACATTCTGTATCATATTCCAGTGAACATCATCCAGTCCACGTATGACTTCAAGCTCTGCTCCTTCAACATCCACCTTGAGCAAGTCGATTCTGTCGAGGCCGGGACGATTATTCAAGAAGTGTGACAGCCGTTGCAGCTTCACGTCAACCTCCTGAGCGCCACCGAAACGAGCATCTGCAGCCTCTCGGCCACGTTTCTTGACGGCTTCTTCGTACAGCTGCATTTTCTCATCGGCAAAGAGAGTCGAGTTGCCGGGAAGATTTGGGAAGTAGGTCAGCTTCTCCGTGCTCGCCTTTGAAGCCAACCCGAATTTGAAAACCTCGACGTCTGTAGTTTTATTTAATTCTAGATTGCGGACTAGGACATCGTAGGTTTCCGGGGCAGGCTCAAACGCGAGGATTGTTGACGTGGGGAATTTTTGCTTCATATAAAGACAAAATAGGCCGATATTTGCCCCCACATCAATGATGAAAGGCGCGTCTGGGAGATTTGAAATTTTGTAGCAGTGGTCTTCGAATATTTCTTTGTAAATGAATTGTGCTTCATCCTTGCTGATGGCATAACAGGACACATCTTTAAATTCAACAAGGTCGGTTGCCATAGTTGCGAATCTCGTCGTTGATAAAATGATGAAATTGAAAGACTGGCCTGGGAGATTTTTCAAAAGACTGGTCAACAATACGAATAAATGTATGAGCAAGCGCGTAAGTCCTTGGTATTACTTACTAGCGTGAGACCAAACCAAGCTTGTGATGAAGAAGTAATAATCCTTTTGTGCTTACTGTAAGAAAGGTGGCCGAATTAAAATTGAGATTTCCCCTGTTAAGCACCGGCTGCTGGCAACGGCAACGCCCAATATGGCAACGCCGGCTGCTGATGTGTTTTCCGTATTTATTCATGAACCAGATTTTTGGGTGGCGATCCTACCTTTTCTTGCTTCCCCTGGTACGTGACATTGGCACCGATATTGTTTACACGATATTGTTTACAATCATCACCCAAAATGTCGGCCGGCGAAAAAGAACTCGAGGCGTCGGTACGCGTCGATGCCTCTAATTACTACCTGGAGAGCGGTTCCTCGACTGAGAATACCATTCCCGTGGGAGTGAGCGAGAGGAAACTGAAATGGAAACTCGATCTCTCCATCATGCCTCTCCTTTCGTCAATCTTCTTACTGGCGGTCTTGGGGCAGTCAAACATAGGCAACGCCTACAGTGCAGGGCTGGCCCAAGACCTCGCCATAACGCCCAAGATGTTTGCCGACACGAACAGCTTGTTCTTGGTTGGCTCTGTAGTCGGCCAGCTTCCTGCTACTCTTCTATTGAGGAAACTCGGCCCTCAGCGACAGGTATGTCAACACTACACGCACACATTCATACTCCGAGATCATGTGTTAATATTCCATAATGTTCTTAGTTCGCGGGCGCTCTCCTAGCATGGGGCCTCCTTACCATCGGCGCATCTTACTCCAAAACCTATGCCGCGCTCACCGTCTGTCGAGTATTCATAGCAATCTCCGAGGCTATGATCCAGGGCGCCATCTTCTATCTGTCTTTCTGGTATAAAAACGAAGAGCTTGCAACTCGTGCCGCCGTTCTCAACGCCACCAATGCCCTCGCAGGAGGCTTCAGTGGCTTGATTGCCTACGCCATTCAAAGGGATCTCAATGGCCGCAATGGCTGGAGCGCATGGCGGTGGATTTTCCTAGTTGAGGGCATCCTGCCGGCAGTTTGGTCACTCGTGATATTCTTCTTACTCCCTCCAACACCAAACTCGATTCGTCGGGGTTTCAGCGAAAAGGAGAAGGCGTTGCTGGTACAACGAGCGGCCGCCGCTCACAACACCGGCGTGAACAAGATCGTACCCAAGCTGATCTTGCAAGTCTTGATACAGCCGCAGTTCTGGCTCATCGCCTTCACACAAGCCTCCATGTTATTGTGCTCTACTACAACAGCCAACTTTCTGCCCGCCATCATGCAGGGTCTCGGCTATGAGGGGACGAGAGCGCAGCTGATGAGCGTCATTCCGTACGCAGCGTCCTTTGTGGCCAATCTTGTTCTTTGCCGGCTGTCCGACTGGTCTAGACATCGAGCATTCTGGATTCTCGGCTGCTGTCTTGTCACTGCTGCTGGCTACATTGTGCTCCTCACCACAACCAACCTTACCGGACGATTGGTGGCCACCTGTCTCATCACGGCTGCTTCCTCTGCGCCTGCAACTATATGTTTTGCGTGGATGGCGAGTGCGAATGTTGGCTACACGTTCAGAGGAAGCGCTATAGCCATGACGAATATCATATCCCAGCTCGTCGCCCTGGGAGGCCAGCAAGGGTTTATTGACCCGCCATTGTATCATCGAGGAGAAAAGGTCGCACTTTCAGTCGTCCTTGTCGGGGCTTTACTCACGGTGATTACGATGTTGTATTTCAACTGGATGAATGCGAAGAAGAGACAAGAGCAAAGTTCTGAAAAAGCCGCTGAATTGCGAGCCCTGAGCGTTGACGAAATTGGCAACAAGCACCCCGACTTCTTCTTTAGTATCTAGAAGCCTCATGATATCATGCCACAATTTATACAATAATAGAACAGAGTAATGCAGATGAACACTACTATCCATAGTCTAGAGCGTATCAAGACGGATAATATAGGTAATAATACACTGTGTATATATATACCATTAGTCTAATTTCCCAACCAACCATTCAGTTCCATCAGAGTAAGGCACGAAATTCTGAAGACACCACTAAAAGCAATACACACGGCTAGACAGCCTTGGAGACATCTTCGCATCTTTCCATCTTTCTTATGAGTCGGCAAATTTGACCTTGACTCGCATGCCTTTTGTACTTAACTTTGGCTGTGGGACAAAGAAATCATGTGCAATCTCAACATCGGAAATGTCAGTTTCGTAAAGCTCAAATTTGAACCGTCGGAATAGCATTGCAAGAGCCAGATGAAGCTCAACATATGCCAAGCTACAACACTTTGTCAGCTAACGAGCCACACACATCAGGAGGTTCTACTGACTTGATTCCAATGCACATTCGAGGGCCTTTGCCAAAGGGAACATAGTAGCGACTCAGGCTATCACCACGGCTAGTTTTGGGGTTATCAAGCCATCTTTCCGGAATGAAGGAAGTAGAGTCTGTAAATATTTCTTCATCACGAAGAACGTCAAGTGTCGTCATGGAAACAGGTGTACCGGGAGGAATGACCCAGTTTCGGTATTTCATTGGCTTCTTCGGTGAGACGCGAGGGAGACGAACGGACACGCCGGTAGAAAGCCTCACGCCTTCTTTGGCGCATGCGGCAAGGTAAGGGAGTTTTTCCAAGACCAACGAGTTTGGTAGCACCGCAGGATCTGGAATAGCTTTGTCGAGTTCGTTTCGCAGCTTTTGTAACTTGGAAGGGTTATTCAAAAGGTGAAAGACGGTTGTAGTCAACGCCCATGCTACAGTTTCTACCCCGGCTCCAATCATCTGCTGCGCTTCGGAGCCTAAGCGGCGTACTGTCTTCTCTTGCGGTGGTAGGTTGCTTTGAAGCAGCTCGTTAAAGATGGTTGGATGCCCAGAATCGACTCGATTCTTTTCGTGGCCGTCGATGATGTTTTTAATCTTTCCCTGGAGATCCTGGCACTGCTGTTCAGTATATAAATGACAACCTAAGAAAACTCTCCCCAGGAATAGCGTACCTTTTGCAACACAAACATCTTGTAAATATTGGGTGTCAAGAGTTTCAGTAGGCTTCTCGGGCACAGTCCCAGAACCTATCTACCATCAGTAAAACGCCGTCCAAATTTACGCCGTTTACTCTTACAATGTACACCATCGGGAACTGCAAAGAGAAATGCGCCAATTTGCGCACCGCCTCATAGGCCGGGTGGAAGTTGTCGTGGAAGTCTGCAGACTCCAATTGATTGTACGAGAAGCCAAAACAATACGATGCGATGACATCGCCGGCAAATGCATTGAAAGCGCTATTGAGAGATAGAACGCTGCCACTCACATCATAGCGAGCTATACCCTTGCTCAGGAGCTCAACCTTTTCATGTACAATGGGCTCGAATTTGGTAATGCTTCTCTTGGAAAACATGGGATTGAGCGGCGCTCGCCGAATCGAGTGCAAATCACTCTTGACGGTAGACGATGTCGTGGTATTGGCACCGAATCTACCCGACATCCATGCATATCGCTCGTATTCTTTGTTGCTGGTGTACAGCTCATCCCAGTAGCTGCTATCCTCAATGTGCAGCTCGAATGGGTTTATACGCACGATTGGCCCTTTCAAGTCGGGTTAGGAGGCTAATCGAGAGTTTCCGGAGACACACTTACCATATTTCTTATGCATACGCTGAATCTGAAAGGTAAATTGGCCTCTCAGAATAACATCATAATAGAATTCGTACCATTTCGAAATGGCAGCCAGTTTCGGGCCTGGGAATTTAGCCAACGGGCTAAAATACAAGCGGTATATCACAAGACAGAAAAGATAAATGATGTATAGGGCTGCAAAAGAGCCCACCAGTCTTTCTGACGGACGTGTGACTGATGAATCTTGCATTGTGAGGATGCGTCAAGTTGACAACAATAACGCAAGCTCTCAAGAGTTTCAAATTATTCACATAACAATAAATTCGAGTCTTCAACTCGTCTGACCAGAAAACCAGAGACGTGACGGCAGGTCTCGGGGCCGGTCGCTTATTAGCTCGGAACGACTCTTTCAGGAAAAGCCGGCACGCTTATGGCCAACAAATGAGGCAATCTTTTGAACCAGATTGATTTTTGTTTGGCGATCACTGGGAATTGAGATGGCCAAACGTCACTTCACTTTACTTTGTTTCGAAATTCATCACCGATGAGACGCGAGGCGACTTGTTAGACACCAGTATGATTTCCTTCTCTTGGCCAGAGCTGAGTATGCCTAGCACGCCTCAAATTCTTGCTGGAGCGAGTTTGTTAGTTGTAAGCTTACCCTGCTCGCGTTGAACGAAGCCCCAGAAACTCACCACTTGTAGGCTTACTGGGTTGTGACGGCAATTTACAATGTAATCTTCAGTCCTCTGCGCAAAATCCCAGGGTCATCCCTGGGCGCCGTATCTTGGCTCCCTTGGTACAAATACTGGTTCTCCGGATACATGCACCGCGAAGTCCTGAAGTTACACGAGAAATACGGCCCGGTAGTGCGAATTGGGCCTTCTGAAATCTCATTCATCGACCAAGCTGCTTGGAAAGACATTTACAGTCTCAAGAGATGCAGGCAAATCGAGCGCGACCCAACGTCGTTCCCATCATTGACACCACACGGATCCAAGTTTGACCTGCTGACGTACAGTCCAACTGATCACGCGAAATATCGCAAGATTCTCAATCCTTGCTTCTCTGAAAAGGCAACGAAAGAATATGAAGCCACAATCCATGAGAACGTTGATAGAATGATTGCGAAACTTGCGTCGAATGTCAAAAAGGGCAGCGGGGGAACCAACGTTACCAAATGGTTCCAGTGGCTCACCTTTGATATGGTTACCGACGTCACTTGGGGGGAGTCTTTTGAATGCGTCTCCAAAAATGAAAGCCACCCCTGTCTGGCATTATCGATGGACCTCGTTTCCTTGTCCTCTTTCATCGTGTTTATAGCATGGTGGAAGGGCCTCAAAGACTTTCTCGTCAAGCTTTCGGGAGTCGAGGGTCTCTTTACCACTCTCGTCCGTTCCAAGTGTGAGAACAACCTGAAGTCTGACTCAAACAAGTCAAGCATCTTTTCGAATCTTGTTGCGGCGGGTAATCCGTTGAATCAAGCCGAGTTGGATGGAAACTTGACGGCAATTGTGATTGCGGGGAGCGAAACTACGGGCTTTGCGTTGACGGCGACAAGTTATTACCTGGCCAAGAATCCAGAGTGTTTCCGGAAAGCAGCCTCAGAGATCCGATCCACGTTCTCATCAGTTGACGAGATTAACGATGATGCACTCAGGAAGCTTCCGTATCTCAAAGCCATCATCAGTGAAGCTTTGCGAATGACTCCAGCAGAGCCAAACGGGCTGGCGAGAAAGGTTGTAGTGGATGGGTTGGATATTGCAGGACAGTATATCCCCAAAAACGTAAGCTTTCTGTCAAATTCCCATTTGAGCAGAACACGCTGGCTAAAACTCTCACAGACTGCAATCTACGTGTCTCAGTTCGCCGCCAATCGATCCTCGTCCTATTTTCGACTGCCCAACGAATACCACCCCGAGCGCTGGCTAGACGATGCCAAGTTCAAAGACGACAAGCTAGATGCGGTGCAGCCGTTCATCTTGGGCGTCAATGTGTGCATTGGGAGAGGTCTTGCGTGGATGGAGATGAGAGTGACGCTGGCTAAGCTTTTGTGGCAGTTTGACTGGACCATTGACGGCGATGGGGGTAAGGCGTTTGAGCAGTCCAAAGCTTGGCATGTCTGGATGAAGAGTTATGTGCATTTACAATTGCTAGAGCGAGGGTCTCTGGATTCAAAAGCTAGGTGATTGTATTTCAACTGGCAGATTATCCAGATGTTTACATTTTGCTTTATCAAGGGAGTGATCAAAATTCGCAGCGTTTATAAGGCAGCAGGCCATTTTGCCAAGTTCTAGCATCGCAATATAAGAGGAACAAACTAATGGCAATAGTTACTCTTATTTACTTGTTGGATGAGCTTCGTTACACCCCTTGTATACTATGGAACAGATAAAGTGAATTGTATATAGAATGCGTCATGTCTATTCTCCTGTAAATAGTCTCTAAGCATTCTTCTTCATGCCCGGCAGTTGTTGCTGCAAGGCGAGGAACGGCAAGCGATCCTTGTAAATCTTCATGTCTTGAATTTTGCCACTCTCAGGCCCCTCTGAAACCAAAGTGAAGACGCCAATCATTGGAATTGTCACTGGATTGTCAGGGTGCGTTGGGAATATCGCTGTTGAGTGTCCCAAGCTGTAGATGGTGCCTGCATTGGTGATTTCTACGCATGTTAGCCGTGGCAATGAATAAATAGTAATAATGCCGGGCACACGTACCGTTCTTGAATCTGGTATGAGATGTTTTCATCCCCGGCATTTTCGCTACCGAGTTTTTCAAATCCTTTTCAGTCAGTATTTTTTTTTTCTAGCTCTGGACTTTTACTAATAGCCTACTGTGATAAAATCATCAAGCCCCGAAGTGGTCTGCAGCCCCCCTTGATACTCCAAGTTCGTGGCGAAAATCTCACTAAAGCGCTCGTAGTCGTACGAATCAAGGATTTCGAAAACCTGCTCCTGTTAGCTGAGACCACAATCATAATTGAGAGTACCCACCTTGGCGAGAAAGTTCTCGGCTTGTTCTGCTGTCTGAATAGTTGTGGCGGCCATTTTCAATTACAGTGTACCCGGGAATGCTCGTTTGCTGTCCAGTTGCGGCCCAATTGCAGCATCCTAGGCGAGGTCCATGATATAACCAGGCTCCATCTACAACGATTGAAACCTTGGTAGCGCAAGGCAATTCGGAAGGGCCGAGCCAACTACGGGCTGCAGTAGATCAGATCGGAATGTGCTAAATTTGGTATGGCGCATCATCCTTGCAGATGTTCAGGGCCTTTCGGGGATGGGAGCCACAACGTCTGACAGTGGTCTACCTTGGCCTTGGTAAGCCGGGCTTTTCAATTCGGTGTCGGATTCATGGGGAACTCGGAACTTCCAGAACAAGTGAGTTCCAATGACGAGGCTTAACGCATCGTTCCAGGGGGACGCACAAATGCAGAGTTCCGCTAAACAACTTTAGAGCTGACACTCGCTTACAAGACCTTGCAGTTCCTGCATTGCTGCTGTGTCGCAAAGTAGCATCGCATTGATTGCAAAACCGAAGGATGGCTTTAGTCTCACTGCTTGATGGGCTTCAAGGCCTACGACAGCTGGGCTCGAACAGTATCAACTACTGGTACGTTGGGGGTGGCATTTCTGCTCTATTCTCAGTCTATGCTTTTGTTCTTGTTGTCTACCGTCTCTGGTTCCATCCTCTCGCCAGATTCCCAGGCCCAAAGCTGTTGGCAGCGACAACATGGTATGAGACGATAATTGACCTTTTTCACCATGATTTCCCTGAGCGGTTGGCAAAAATACACAAGGAATATGGTGAGAATGCATTGAAAGAAAATTGAGCTTAAATTTTGAACACTTTGTAACCATTGTTTAGGCCCAATTGTGCGAGTCGCTCCAAACGAGATACACGTCAACGATGCCGACTTCTTCCAGAGCGTCTTTGTGGCCGCTGCAAAACACCGAACCGATATCATTCCCCCCCGTGGACTTGGCCAAGATGGTAGGAGAAACTACAGTTGTAACGTTTATTGAATTGCTCAACTAACGGAACTAGATTCTATTGGCTCAACGCCAACACACGACATGCATCAGATGCGTAGAAAACCTCTAGACAAATTCATGGGCCGACAGAACATTGTTCGCCTCCAGCACATCATTCATGAAGAAATCAGGACTCTGGATCGAAAAATGGCGGCGTTGAAGGGCACCGGGAAGCGCGTTCGCCTCGATTGTGTATTCACTGCTTTTACTGGAGACATTGTCGGACAAATCGCCTGTGGTGAAAGTCCAGCGCTTCTGGAAGGTGAAGATTTTACACCAGAATGGTACGTCGATCGAATGGGTTCAGATAAATTCATCATCAACTGATTCGCTTTAGGTACGATATGATCCGAGGAGCTGCGCGCATTATTCCCGTTCTGCGTCACTTTCCCCAGGTTGGCGAGTAAGTAACAGGCGTGGAATGTTGAAGAATCGATGAGTTCGCTAACTTGAATAGAATAACACAAATATTGCCCAATTGGCTTGTTCAAACTCTTGTTCCCCAGTCTGCCGGCTTCAAAGTTTTGCAATTGGTAAGCAAGGCAACCCTCTAATTTTTTCTCCCATGTAATTCGTGTTGACCTTTTTGAAGCTGGGAGAGAAGCGTATTGCACGTGTCAGAACCGAAATAGTGACGGAGCCCAAGGGTGGATATGAAGGCGACTCCATGTTTCACCACCTACTTCGAAGTGATATTCCCGATTCACAAAAAGAAACCGCTCGGTTAAATGCTGAGGCTGTATCCTTCCTCGGTGCTGGAACTTACCCTACTGCTGCGACTCTCATCTTTGTTGCGTATTACATTCTGGCAGACTCCAAGATTGAGGCGCGTCTCCGCAATGCTCTGAAGGACGTCATGGCCAATTTTGATGAAGAGGTAAGACATGGACGAACAAAAGACAATCAAAAGGAGGCTAACCATGGCTAGGTCCCCAACTGGATCAAGGTGGAACAAGTAGAGTATCTGGACGCATGTATCAAGGAAGGCCTTCGACTGCTGCGTCTGTTCCGGCGAAAATCCCGCATCTCAACGGACCTTGACCTCGTATACGGGGATTATGTCATTCCGAAAGGCGTAAGTATTCTTTTATAATCCCTTTAGAGAGCCTCATGAACTAACCTCTTCAAAAGACCCCCGTCAGTCTGTCTCCGTACACTATGCACATGGATCCAGATATTTTTCCAGAGCCCGAGACTTTCAACCCAGATCGATGGTTGACCAAGAATCCGGATCCTCGCATGGAGAGAAATCTCAATCCATTCCTCGGAGGTTCTAGAAATTGCATTGGAATGCAGTGAGTAATTTCTAGGCCGACTGAACTGCTAGATCAAAGTACTGACCGAGACATGTTAGTGTTGCGTGGGCTCAGATGTATCTCATCCTGGGCACACTGTTTCGGCCGAATAAGAGCTATCAGCTTGAGTTGGGCGAGACTGACGAGTCAGATGTCTACCCTGTAGTAGACAACGAATTTGGAGTTGCGAAGTACGGGTCACGGGGCCTTAATGCTGTTGTAAACTAGATGTAGGGTATATGTACATGTGATATATCAGATATCTGGTGCACTTAAAATTTGATAGTATCCGAAAGTGATTGAGAAATTAAACCTAGATAGTCTGAAAATATTTTCGTAAATAATTTTCTATGCAATGATATAAATCAATGGAGAGACTAAATCCCGACTTCACTCTTCTTGTTACTATTCCCACACTCTGCTCCTGGGCTTTCCTTGATTCTGTCATCAGTGCGGCGGTTGGAGGTATGGGAATGTTGATCACTATATTAGTACTCTCTGTAACGGACCGCCAATTGCACGCTCCGCCGGATGAACGCTATCATCATCTAATTTAGTCAGGTGCAGGTCAAGGTTGAGTGTCATCCAGGTCGCGTGTAACGTTTCTTGTGTTTTCATAATCAAAAATGAAAGAAATTCTATTGATAGCGTCCATAGGCGTTGCACACCATGGCTTAGTCTACTATTAATTCGTATGGCTACAGTTCCTCTATATGTCCTCATACCGTTGATGCTTCTTGTCAACATCTCGCTCAACGCTCAGTCTTCAAAGCAAAAATCGGTAATAATCTTTGCAGCTTCAACTCTGCCACCGCTTTTCCGACACACCTCCCCCAGCTTCGCAGCCCTTGCTCTCATGGCATCAGCATCGCCTTTGTTTTTCCCAACAGTCTTCAAAAGCGCCGCACCAAATTCTTCACCGTCGATTAGATTGGGAGCTACATAATGTTCCGGATCGGCTACGCGAGTACGGCCCTTTTCCCGGTTTCCATAGACACCGATGCCTAGGTATTCAACGCGCGTCGCGTAGTCAAATGTATCGTACCACATTGCGAGCACAATCTGCGGAACACCAGCCCTTGAAGTAAGTTAGTTTCGTGTTATTTTCAATGATGAGAGGGGAAATGCATACCAGGTTGCCTCGAAATAAGAATTGGCTCCTCCGTGATGCACAGCACACACGATATGACCGCTTCTTAGGATCGCCACCGGGTCGGCCTTGAGCCAGTTTTCGATCCTTACCCTTCCATCTTTCAGCTCTTTTCCAAGAATCGTATCCAAGCTCTCTTTGCCGACGGTCTCAGATGCGGCTTCTGCTTTGAGTTTCCATAGCACCTGGACATCAGGTCGTGCATCAAGAAGAATGCGCAACGCAACGGCTTGTTCTCTCACTGTTTCTGCGTATGCTTCAAAGTGTGTACCAAGCGATACGAGGACGGTTGGCCTTTTTTGGAGCCAACTCAAGAGCTCCGGATCGCTTGATTCAATGGGTGGCGCGGCAACGAGGATTGGTCCAACGTTGAGAACGTTTGGGGGGATATTCATAGGAAGATCTGCTTCGGGGAGAGTGGGACAGATCTGTGGTACATCTTTGTCCCATGGCGTAAAGCTCCCCAAGTCACCTTGAATGCCGTGGGCCTTTCTTGCTTGATTGAGGGCTTGGACTTTTGGGTGAGAGAGACATTTCTTGGATACCCAGTAGCAATACAGGTTTTCTGGGATTTCACTCCAAGGGACAGGATATGTGAAACCCGTCGAAAATCTAAAATACCAAGTCAGTTTTGGGCTCGGGAAGAGGAGACTACAGGAAGAACAGAGTGTCAACTTACGCGGGATATTTCCAATATGCAGCGAACCAAGGTTGTTGCGGAATCAAACCATCAGCCAAACTCCAAGGATGCAGCACGGCATATTTCTTCTTCATAGTCCGAGCCATGTCGTGCACAGGAACAAGAATAGGGTCCACAACTACCAAAGCAGGATTCAACTGCTTGGTCAAGTCGGTAGACCAGTTGAATAACGAGATATACTGCTCAGGCTCCATGATGGCCAGGGCCTTGAGCGTCAACAGCTCTACTTGTTTCGCTCCATAGCGACCGGCTGGGTGAGGCACATCTGCCTTTTTTCTATCTTTATTCTGAGCTACCCAGGTTCCAAACCCGGGGAACGACGCGAGGTTATGGAACTTCAAGGGCGAGATTGGCTGTGATGGGTTCTCATCCTTCACCTTTTGAATCAGACTGTCAAGCCGTGGTTGCAAAGGCGGAAAAGATGCAATGTGGACGTCAACTTGATTCTGACGGAGCAGCTCGTAAGTCGTGGCTAACACGACGTTGACGTAGCCAAAGTCGCTGATTGCGAAGAAAAGAACTGCCGGACGCTCTGACATGGTTTATTCTTGCCGCTAGAACTTTTGGTGGGCGAATTGTCTAGGCTGTCTAGGGTGTGTGGGTGGTAAGAATGGGGAATAGCTATTTATCATGTCTGACGGTGTGCGAGAACAAGATGCTGCAAGGGTGATCCTAGTTGATGCAATCCCCTGAACAAACGAGTAAGACTTGCTGATCGCAAATACCCAATTTGGAAGTTGCCGAAAGCCAACTACTGGTAGTAAGAAAACAACTAATCAAAGCAGATTTTATGTAGGCACAGCATAGACGGATTCAGTGGTGTATAACATATTTGGCCTCGTTGAAAAATAAGTACTATGCGGCTATGTAACTAATTTATAAAAGCAATTGGCAGTTGGTGATTTTACAATCCCAAATAAAAAAAACCCCTTGTATCATCTATAGATGTTGTAGTGTAACCTCACAAGCCCCCGGTCGTCTGGAAGAGCTACCAACTAAGACAGGGAGCAACACTCAAGCTGTGGCTTTTAGTCTTTTAGCTCCGCTAGTCAAAGCGTTCCCTTTGTCACCATAGTCTAGTCCGTTATGGCCATTATGAACTCCATTGCCATTAATCTTTCCAGAGTCCACTGCGTGCTTTGATCCACGGCGATGGTGAACTCCATTGCCATTGGTATTCTCAGAATCCGCAGTGTTGGTTGATTCATCCACAAGCCAATCTAGGTTTGTGTTTGAAAAGATCTTGCCGTTCTTGACAAGCTCAATGTCTGAAAGAACCATCTCTTCCACGAGACTGTCAAGCGTGTATTTTGGCTCCCATCCGAGCACCTTTTTCGCCTTGGCAGCGGAGCCCAAAAGGTCGTGGTTCTCGACAGGTCGATAGAACTTGGGGTTCACCCTAACGCGGACTTTGCCAGTGGCTGACTCGATGCCGACTTCGGATATGCCTGTTCCAGACCACCTGCACCGAGGTTGCTTAGCTTTCGCTCCATTGTCTTGTAGAGGACATGATGTAGACTTACTCAATCTTGGTGCCGATGACGCTGAACGCGGCTTCGACGAATTGCCTCACGCTGCATGCTTGGCCAGTAGCTAAAATGTAGTCTTCGCCCTTTGGCTGTTGCAGTATCAGATGGACTCCTTCCATGTAGTCTCTGGCGTGACCCCAGTCTCTTGTAGCACTGAGGTTGCCAAGCTCGAAGCCTTCTGACTTCCCGCAGGCAATCAATGCCACTTGCGAAGTAATTTTGCGTGTAACAAAGGTCGTACCTGATGAATAATTAGCAAAGGGGTGTCTTATGGGAGAGTTGAAGAATTCACTGACCACGTCGTGGAGACTCGTGGTTAAAGAGGATACCATTCGACGCATGAAACCCGTATGCCTCTCGGAAATTAGCGGTAATGCTGAACTGGAATTGCTTAGATATCGCGTATGGAGAGACTGGATGAAATGGTGTAGCCTCCGTCTGCGGCGCCGGGGCATCATTTCCGAACAGCTCCGAGGTAACCGCCTGTATACAAGTCAGACTCAGTGTTTCTGCCACCCCGAAATGCGATATTCCTTACGCTGTAAAACCTGACTTTCTTCTGAAGGCCGAGGATTCTCAACGCTTCGAGCAATCGAAGTGATCCCAAAGCGTTGATATCACATGTTAGCAGCGGAGTCTCGAATGAGACACCGACATGAGACTGGGCAGCGAGGTGATAGACTTCGTCAACGTTAATGCTGCCCAAGATTTGAAGTAGTGTTCCCGAGTCCGTCATGTCTCCAAAGTGAAGCGTCACTCCGTTGCGTAACGGGTGATTCAGGGCTTGCCGTCTCTGAGAAGATGGCCGGACAAGGCCATGGACTTCATAGCCCTTCTCCAACAGGATCTCTGTCAGGTACGAGCCATCTTGACCAGTAATTCCTACACCCAGTTAGCCAACGCGAGCTCAGACCAAACCCACAGCATCTCCTACCTGTGATGAAAGCCACCTTGGGCTTGGGAGTCTCCGTTATAATCATTTTATTATGTTTTGCGAAGAGATGAATGAAGGAGAGATCGATAGAACTTGACAAAGAGCTATACATTCAGACTCTAGGAAACAGAGGTCCTTATCAACAAGGAATGGATGATTGTCAAGGTATTCGGTTATAGCAGCTCACTGGAGGGGCGGATTGCACCTATAAGAGAAAGTACCTCTGTACTTGTTTGCCTAACAAGGAAGGATTTACTTTAACAAGGTCTCCCTTCTCACCAGGGGCTTATTTATGATGTTATCAACACTACAAGGGCGGTACTATGCCGAGTAGGCTTTGATCACACACACAATGTACAGCGAGTGATGGACCCCGTTTACGGAAAGTTCATTAGTAGAAGAAATTATTTCTATATGCGTTAATTCCTACAACAAGGATTTGCCGGCGAGCTGACGGGACTAGCAAATCAAAAGAGGGAGAATCGAAACCTTGGCCGCCCTGCTCGCAACTTTCCGAAAAGGGCAAATTTTCGGTTGAAATTCGGGTCAATGCTTACAGCTCTGAAATTGTCGAATACAGGAATAGCGAGGAAATCGACTTGATCGGGATATTTTGCGGCGAATAAAAATTCCCGTACGGCTAGCAACACTTGGCAAGATTGTACAAAATCGCCCGCCAAACGCTATCCCACCCTTCTTGTATAAAAATCCCGAAAATGCTTTTCTCCTCTCCTGGCCATTTCCTCAACTCTTATCGGCCCAGACTTGAACAGTGGATGTATATACATCTTACACATTCCGAAAGAAGGCAAAAGTTCAGATCCGCAAAGAAGAGTGCTTATAAGCAGCGGCTTTGAATCCCAGTTTGAAAAAAGAGGGTTCAGAATCAACGCCTGTCAAATTAATTGGTATTGGAGTAGGTATTGGAAATTACAGAAAGCCCGGCGGGTTGACTGATAAGCCGACCGCTTGGGTCATTACGGGGGAGGTGAGAAGATAACGATGGAAATATATAATATATTACAGCTGTGGGAGAAGTAAGGTTCTAACTGCTGTAAGTATAGCCATATAATACATGATTGTAGCCCTTGCTGATTTTTTGATTTTATATCTCTTTAAATGATTATGTGATCATATTACTGCTGCTTGAAGCAAGCTTCCCTCCTACATCTACAGGTACCCCACCTTTTGGGTGCCTAACCACCAAAAACTCCCACCCGTTTGACTAGCTATCAGACAAAACG